ATACACTGGTTCACTCAGTTTTTTGCGCTGATTCCAAATGTGAAATGTATTTTAATGAGGTTCCTCCTTTTTGGTGAAATTCAGTAAAAAAAAGCGATCGAAACTAGGAAAACAGGCCTTGAAATGACGTACGACTGGATTTTAATGCATAGTGCCACGTTTTAAAAAAAAGGAAACTAGGTGATTTTGTAGAGCTCCATGAGCTGCACTGACGTATATGGTTTCCAGGGTGGACCCGAATCACTATCGCCTAACGATAGGGTCCACAAAGGGTCACAACTATAGTCCTTGACCAGTACCTCTCCTAACAGGTACCCGAGGGCCACTCGGGAGGCCATCGATGGTGCTGAGAAAGTTGTAGATCTCGAAGAGTTACATCGACCTATGCAGTTTCCAGAGTGGACCTGCATCATTTTCTCTTAACGATGGAGTCCGCAAAGGACCACAACTATGGTCTTTGACCAGTACCTCTCCTAACAGGTACCCGAGGGCCACTCGGGAGGCCATCGATGGTGCTGAGAAAGTTGTAGATCTCGAAGAGTTATATCGATCTATGTAGTTTCCAGAGGGGACCTGCATCATTTTCTCTTAACGATAGGGTCGACGCAGGGTGGAAACCATGTATTTACTAGCTAAAGAAATAAGCGATATCTATGGATATTGATCTTTGAGGAGTGGTTAATTCCTTCATTTTTGAATTCAGCGGGTTGAGTTGTAGGGATTTGAGTGAATTAGGAATAGTTTTGAGGGGGGGGGCGATTTGAGCTCTTAAGCGCCCCCGCTTCTTTAATTGAAACACACATGATTCATATCAAGTCTGCCTTACTTTCTATAGTACAGTTTTTTCGAGTTTCATCATCTTTTGATAATTTTTCGACACAAACAGATACTGAGACACATTTTTCGCCATGAATGTCATTTAAATCAAGAAAAGGAACATTTGCGCTCGCAATACTCCAAAATGATTCACTTTTCTGTGTTGGATAATCAAGTGAGACATGCTTCTACACAGACAGACAAAACTGGTTAAAAAAAGCGTTTTTACGAATTTAAAAAATTTTTCTTCACGCGCGGAAGGAGAAAACAATTGTTTTTTTTATTGCGTAGAAACGATGAAATTTCTCTGTGTATGATTTATCGTCAGGAATTGCATCACTATGTTAACTTGAAAATTCTTTTATAAAGCAAAAGCGAATCAAAGAAAACTTTTTGCGTCTACCCAGGTCGATCATTCCGGCGACTGGATCCGTTGAAATCTGAGTCGGTTCCGGTACAGCTATTCTCGATTCCGACACAGTTTTCGCCGATTCCAGCAAGTTCCGACAGGTTCCTTGCCGCCGGATTCGGGCCGGAATTGCACAGGAAATATCCGATCAGTTCCTGACCGTTTCCAGCTCGAAGTTTGCAGGAAACGGTCGGGAAATGACTGGAACCTACGTTTCAACTTCCGGCCGGAATCCGGCGGCAAGGAAATAGTCGGAAAACGAACCTAACCGGCCGGAACCGACCGTGCCATAATCACCTGGGTACATGTTATTAGATCATGGATTAAATAGTCAGAAAAAAAACAAAATCAAAATTATTACTATTAGAAAATATTGTATTATTTTTCTTGATGAATTTACAACACTCTCCGATTCTGCTTGATTCATATCATGAAGAATCAGTCTTTTGTGCAGCTAGATTTTCATTACCAAGTGTTAATTTTGAAATAAAAATATAATTTGATGATTTTGGATGATGGCTACCTTGTGAGAATGTTAATATTGATTTCTGGCGATCAAATGTAAGAATACTTGGATATTTTCCATAATGTTCATTGAGAACTTGAATATTGACATCTCATTCTGATCGGACAGATTGTCGATGCAATATTAATTCGAGTTAAAGATTTTTAGCATACGAACATTCACCAGATGTTTTTTCTTTTGTTAAATTAACAGACTGTGTCGAATGACATTTTCGAAATCGTGAAGTAGATAAACTTTCAAGATTTTTTCGTGCGTTGTTCGCTGCGACCTATAGAAGAAAGAATTTCATCACCTCGTTTTCTCTTTCGAAACAAACCTTGAACAACTACACAATGCAATGATGTGTTGTGCCAATCAGCTGGAGGAGTAACAATGGCTTTCCAGAAAGCTTGTTGATATATTTTATCGCTTGATATGACACTTTTGCCATCGGAAGGGACACTGTGATAATAACAGACTATTGATGACTAACATATGGATAGAAATCATCAACGATATAGTTGAGTTTTGTATGAAGATTTTCTTCTAAGGGCGAAAAAGGTTCCATAATCCATTTCGGCACAGCTAATTTCATCATTATTAATTATTTTTTGGATATATTTAAAGATTCTTCACAATCTGGACACATACATGCATATCCGGACAAATCTTTAACATGCAACTATCTTATCGATATATATAATTGTCCTTAAAGTATTCTAAACGACGATTTCGATTTTGTTTAAAAACAAAGGATGCATCCTCTGGTGGTGTATGGTACGGTTTACGATAAGGAGGGGGAATCCCCCCGCCCGTAATTTTTATAGATATTTGACTTTTCTCTTTCTGAAGTTTTTCTCATCATGTATTTTAGCATTTTCCTACAGCAAATCTTTTTGGAATAAGTAAAAGACAAATAAGTTCTCTGGTTCTCTCAAGGGAAAGCATAACTCTCTCTGAAACCAAAGGGACCTCTGGAGAGAAAGAAGGGTTCTTCCTAGAAAACGAGAAGTTCTCCAGCTTTCTATAGTTTTCAATGTTAAAATCGAATGTCACTGACAGGATTTAGATATGATCGTGAAAAATGTCTACATTTATACCGGTCGAGGGAAAGCATATAATATCACGATAATAAGGTGCAGGCAATTCAAACTTCAAGTGATTTTTTTTAAACTTTTTTTCGCATCATTTGGTAGAGTCGAAGCTGCTGATTACGAATATCTACTTTTTAGTCCCACCAAATTCGTCCTTTCGATCGAAAACTGCGAAATATTGAGGAAGTGTCAGTTTTGTCAAAAATACATCTTTTCTAAAAAGTACCTTTATATTTTCTTTTTTTTGACTTCTGAAAATATTTTTTTGCAGATTCAGCATCACAAACTGAGCCTGGAAAAGTTCTTAAATTCACTTAAAACCCCAAACTAAATTGGCGGTGACGCTCCAAGTGGCACCGAGTCCACCATGGAGGAGTCGTTTTTGTAAAGCTATCTAGTTTTTTTGAGTAATTGATGGAACGAAATATTTTATCTCATTCGACTGACCATACCACCAGTCACAAAGTTACGTATCCTTTTTTTCCTTCAGCTACAAACCAAATAAAAGATAATTGTTTTTCCACGTTCGTTCACTTACTTGACCACTTCTGTTGAAGTTCCAAATAAATCAAATGCTTACTCTTCTTTTGATTGAATCCAATACATACAATACGAAAACAAACACTAGGCATAATAAGTTCTTCGTCTTCATCAGAACATTCAGATGGCTGACTCAGATCAGAGATGAAAGCGTACTTATCACTTCTGTGATAAACAATGCATTTCCAAGCACCTCTGCTCCTCTCGATTTCGACAACGAAACAAAAAGCCTTGAAAGGAACTACGCATATCCTGTTTCTCGGCCATTTGTTCGTCTTCTGTATTTCGTCTAGATTGTAGGTTAGCTCCTCCTTACAATTCTTTATCGATTTTTCATTCGTTGGTTACAACACTCCATGATAACAAATTGAATGCGTCTAATGCTAGAGTCTTGGATCGTCAGGTGTACTCGACTTCCTACTAACTGCACGATTGCAGTCAATGTTGTATCGAGATAACTTTTCCGTAAGCAAAGCTAAGCACATCGCCGCCAAACTTCCACTTTCCTGCTATTCTTCTTTTGCTTTGGATTGAGATTTGATTGCCACATCCGTTCAACAGTTTTTAAGGTACCAGCGCATTCAGACGACTGTTTATATACAAAATAAAAAGCGGAATTTCTCCATATTGCTAAAGCTTCGTATTAGCGAATAGAATCGTGATTTCGTATGGTTGGGAACGTTTATTCACTTTCAAATGAAAATCGCCCGCACCAAAACTTCACTCACTTTACTTTACTTCACGCACGCATACTTATACATCAGGTGTACAAAGAGCTAGGGAGAGAAAAGGTATAACAGTTGATCTAGGCAGATAGATGTTAGCGATAACAATTAGTGCGTGGTTATCACTAACTTTTTCGTGTTCTTTCCTTACATTTGATATGGCTCCATTCCACCATACATGTAGTATAACTTGAAATTTGAATTCAACTATTTCAAGGATTCATAGATTGAGGGTGCCGCGGGGGGTGTGTTCTAGGCATACTTGAATTCAACTTTCAAGTTTGACACTACTGGAAAGCTATAATGCGGAAATAAATAAAAAGCAAATTTACTTTTCAAATAAAACATAGTTTGAAAGCTCTTTCAGAAAAGGATCAGCGAATTAATAGGATGAGCACTAGTTATTTTTCACAAGCAGATAAAAAACACAAAAAGAACGTACATTATATAGTAAACGAAACAGAAACGATTTGTCGATGTAGCGCCTCTACTAATAGGAGTTACAGTATTTGAAATGCTAACTAAAGCTATCGAGCTATTTATTGGTCTGTTTGGAAATGCATTTTGTAAATTTGACCAGACTGATACATTACTAAATGTAACAGATCCAACATTTCCACCAACAATATATCCTAAACCCTGAGAATCGGATAATGTCGGATATATGTGTGTAGATATAACTGTGCGTTCATTTGCATAAATTTCTACAAGTGAATTATCAACGAAAATATGTAAATATAAATTTTCCATTTGTGATTGATTGACATTGATCATAGTTGTAAGTAGACCATGCTTTGCGTATATATTAGTCTTGGTAAACTGTGTTATNCCAACATTTCCACCAACAATATATCCTAAACCAAGAGAATCGGATAATGTCGGATATATGTGTGTAGATATAACTGTGCGTTCATTTGCATAAATTTCTACAAGTGAATTATCAACGAAAATATGTAAATATAAATTTTCCATTTGTGATTGATTGACATTGATCTTAGTTGTAAGTAGGCCATGCTTTGCGTATATATTAGTCTTGGTAAACTGTGTTATCAAAGAAGAATAAGTTCGATCAAGAATTAAATATTGTGAAACAGGATCATAGATAAGAGTTGTATATTCTTGTCCATCCGATGATCTTCGAAAAACAAAACCAGCAGTCGCATTTTGAGAGATATTCATAGTTGCCACTAACTCAAAATTAGATGATGTTATATTCATGGATGTAAAATTCGTCATTTGATTAAATGTTTGAGTAGTAAATGTTGTTGCAGTACTATTTTGTCGAAGATTAATTGTTTCTTTAATTGGTCTAACACCAAGAGTTTTAAATGTACATGTTCCATTGTCATTTGGTACAATAGTCCATGGCCCTCCTTGTGAAAAAGTGCCATTAACATTAACAACGTTCTTGTATACTTGAACAAAGACTTCTCTAGGAAGAGTCAATTGTCCATTATAACCAAAAGCTCGTTCTCCATAGCCATTGTTTGCCTCCATTACCCATCCATAGAATATTCTTCGATCTCCTACTGGATCATAGAATGAATTAAATGCATATGCATCACCCCAATCACTAACACCATTTGCAATAATATTCATAGTAATATTTGAATTATTTGCATTATTTAGATTTCCTTCAATCCATACAGACCAATGATTAGATTGATGCAACGTTGTATTACCTCCTTCGGTACCAAGTGATACAAAAAGATGTACAGTCTGATTATCACCGCCATCAGCGTATTTTTCAAGAAGTGAGAACGCATTTGATACTTCAAAATTATAACCAAGAGAACCTGACCAAATTTCATTCAATGTATAATTGCCAGCAACAGAAACGAGAGGTCCTAAATATGTCCAATTCGTTAAATTGGTAGGGGATGCTTGATAAAGTAAAAGTCGTGGACCAACACCTCGGATGCCTGACGAAATTGTCAAATAATAATTGTTTTCATTTGATCCATATAGAATCATATCTATTTGTGGCATTTGTTCGAATTTCGGATCTCTCCACCCGGTAATATTCCATCCATTAGGTGGAGAAACGAGAATTGGATTATTTGCATACTGTTGATAAGTTATTCCATCATCGTATGAAACTGCTAATGATTGTGTTTCACTACCTTGTTTGTAATAACCATTCCAGCTGATCGGTAGGTATTTTACACTTGTATAAATGACGGTTACAGTTCCATTTGTTGTATCACCAGTAGGTGAAACAGGTAATGTAGCACCAGTGAAAACACCTAAAACACTTTGATTATTGCCAATACCTGGCGCAAGAGCAACATAATTATATCCTTGCCATGATATAACATCATCCCAAAAGATCATATCTCTCGATTTAGCATGACCCCATGAAATATTTCCCCATTCGACATAACCAGGCTGAACCTGATAATACAAATGATAAGTTTGTGTTTTGGGGTTGTAATATGGTCCGCAAGGATCATTCATCCAGGAATTTGGCGAAGCAAAATGATAAACTGGTCTCCATGTAGTGAATAAAGAATTATCGGCTAAATTGGTCAGGTTGGTCTGGGAAAGAGTGATACTTTGTTTGCCGGATAAAGATGAAATTGTATTCACACCAATAGAATAATAAAAGATAACAATAAAGAGAAACTGAATTGATTGGTAGATATCCATATTTTATTCGAAATAANAAGGATCATTCATCCAGGAATTTGGCGAAGCAAAATGATAAACTGGTCTCCATGTAGTGAATAAAGAATTATCGGCTAAATTGGTCAGGTTGGTCTGGGAAAGAGTGATACTTTGTTTGCCTGATAAAGATGAAATTGTATTCACACCAATAGAATAACAAAAGATAACAATAACGAGAAACTGAATTGATTGGTAGATATCCATATTTTATTCGAAATAAAATGTGATTATGTGTGAATTAGTTTTACTGTTTATATACTGACATTGAGCGACTGCCGTCGAGAATATATCTGCGTATATAGTTTTGTTTTTCTCTTTATCACGCAGGGAGTGTCTGTATCTTTTCTGTTTCCCTTGTGATCAACTAATTGCGTCTTTTTTTTCTCCCTTTTATAATACTTTATAAGTCATATTTTCTTCTCATCTTAAGTCTGCGTATAGATTATGTATTCATCCATACCTTTCCTTAATTGATGCACTATTGCACAGGTAAGTAAACATAGACAAAAATTAATTTGAGTACTAGTGCCCTTTCTACTAAGAAAAGAAGTACAATTGTACTTGCAACAGCAAAAACGAACGATACTCGCCGAGACATTCATACCAATGAAAACAATTTCTCAATACATAAAGCTTTATTATGACGATGCATAGAAGTATATTTTTCTCGAAAACACTATTTCCTTTTCTGAAAGAAAGGGTTATAGCGTCCTAAATCTGGTCGTTGAAATGCAAAAAGTTTGTTTGTTTGTTTGTTTGTTTGCATAATCCAATCAGATTGCAGCATTTTATAAATGAATGAATGCTTAATGATGGTCAACAGGAAATAATTGCTGAAAGGTAATCGAGGTCGAGGATTACGAATCCGAGGTTAGTTTCTTTTTATTCACTGGGCTTCGGCTACTTTTTTCCTCTTTCGAAAAAGGATACTTTTCTTTATCTGTTCTGGAAGCTAGTGGGATGAACGGTATTCATGGATGTGATATGTACGAAGATGTATCATAGGAGCTTACACTAAAAGATTTAATACATCTTACACTATGATATTTCTAATGGAAAAATCAGAAGAAGTGATATGAGCTCAATATCATTTTTGCTTTGTATGATGCAAAACGTCAGCTCTTTTAATAGGGATTCAGCGGAAATAGGTCGTAAAGTGACATATCCGTCAGTGCAATCCGATCTTATTAACTAGAAAAATATGGCGTATAAAAATAATATTCTAAACGTACAGGGCGTCCCAAAAGTAAAGAAAAATGATTTTCTTTGTTTTTGTTTTTTATATAAAAAAAATAGATTGTCTCTTAAATCTGATATTAATACCACATATAGCAGGTGTGATAAGTAAAAGATCAAGCACGTAAACGATACTTAGATACAGTAATTTATCCTAGAACATACAGATACAGAGTGAGTAACAACAAAGAAAACTCGTGAATTTCAACAAAACTTTTATTAGAAGTTCTGACTTAGAAAACAAAACATGTGCGAAAGATTATCTTTGTAGTGTTCTTATTATAAAACTTATTACAAAAACTGTTCAATATGTTCACCATTCCAGTCTTTGGAAAGTTGAAGCTTCGTCGATACTGAGTGGCAAGCGCTTTGACAAATTTTTACTGGTAAACTTTCAATTTCAGCGATTATAGCATCCTGTAGTGCTTGAAGATTTTGAGGTTTTGTAGCGTATTCACGCTCTTTGAGCACACCCCATAGAAAAAAGTCAGTTGATGTGAGGTCTGGTGATCGTGAAGGCCAGTCAATCCATCCACGTCGACCAATTCAGCTGTCAGGAAATGTCTTGTCAAGAAAATGACGAACAGATCCTATATCTAAGTATCGCTCATATGCCTGATCTTTTACTTATCACACTTACTATATGTGGTATAAATATCAGACTTAATCGACAATCTATTATATAAAAAAACAAAAAAAAAAGAAAAGAATTTTTCCTTACTTTTGGAACACCCTTTATTGCTATCAACTTGTCCGAGAGGAACAATATCATACGATTAAATTCTCTCATTCATAATCAGCTGTCTTCTGAACTACTTGTTCCAATGACCAAATACTCATGGTTCGCATCCGATTATACTGATCAACATCCGGAAGATTTTGGTGCTGTTAATGAAATTTGTTTTGACATCGACAGCAACGTTTACCAAATGCCGAAATGTAAGCTATTATCGTTCATTCATTGCAATCACTGTCGTAAATTTCTTTGCTTTGAGCATTCTTTTGAAGCTTATCATTTTCATAGTAAAGCATTTAATTATCAATGAAATGAATTTATGATTTCGAACACAATTTGCGACTTTCGAAACATTTGATTTCGCGTTATTATAGTTCATGAAAAGAACAGACTAGACCAGCTAAGAAATAATTGAATAAGAAAAAAACAGCTTGAATTATATTGTCATTTGTACTGCATTTTAGTGATCAGCAGTCAAAGACCCTGTATCATGCACAAACTTGAGAATTTGATATCTCACGCTAAGAAGGCCATGGACCCGATTCCTTTTGAGATAATTCTAGTCTAAACATTCTCTATCTATGCTACAAATATGAGCTCAAAAGCGGTGAATCAATTGGGGTAGTTCCTTCGCTAGTGGTGTTTTTGGGAATAGTGATGATTATTTATACTGTGTATGGTGTTTGAAGCCTGGTGTGGCAATGGTCACTTTATCTTTATCAGAACGCATGACACTTCTTCTTGAAAATCATTTTTATACTTCTCGTAGTGCTCGTCGATGTGGTCAACCTTGTTCTGAAACACCTCGTAAACGTACCGATGAAGTCACTCGTTCGTCGGCCAAGGAAACAACTGATCTCATGGACGATTTATTGAATGAATTATCACATGCGAGAAATACACGACTCCTTTCGGAAACTGAAAACATCTTGGCCGACGAAGACTATGTTAGTTGGACCGGTTGGACAATTGAACAGCTTCGCAATATGGCAATGCTTATTGTTCCGTACATGAGAGCTTCAAAACATCGTACACCATTTGAAGCTGTATGTTTATTTTGGATTAATCTGAAGACAAATCTTTCGCTTCGTCAAATTGGAACTTTGTTCAAAATATCTACATCAGAGGAGAGTATTCGGCGTCGTATTGAGGATACATTTCATAGTATTTCAAATTAGCTCAACAATGCCGTCGTTTCTACACATATAGATCTGAATCATTTGACTGGTGCCGAAGCACTTAATCATCATACATCTTATTCTAAAGTTTTCTTTGGTGATCAATTATCGATTATATGGGACGGTACTTATATTTATTGCAACAAATCAAATGATCAAACATTACAACGTGATTGACATTCAGGACATAAGTCAAGGCATTTGGTCAAGATAATGAGTCTTGCTTTACCGGATGGTTATGTTCTTGATTTAATAGGACCATTTTATGGAAAAAAATGATGCTACAATAACAAAGGAAATTTTACACACTTTTACTGACTTATCATTGTTATGTCAAGATGATGACTTTCAAATTGTTGGCAGAGGATTTCAGGATGTTGCTGGAAAATTCGAAGCACTGAGTTTTTATGTGAAACTGTCAGGTTTGTTAGACAAAGGCGATAAGCAACTCCCTACAAATATCACAAATGAATCACGCATGGTCACTAAGTGTAGATGGGCCGTGGAGTCATTTCATGCACGTTTCACAAATGGCGTTTTTTTTCTGAACGTATTGATCAATCGTTCTTACAGAATATTGGTAAACTAACCCGTATTGTCGCTGCTTGTCTCAATAGATATCACCCAGTATTATATGATGCTAGCTCTGATGAGAACAAAGCTATCGCATAACAAATGATTCATATGTAACACCGTCGAAGTAAAATTGAAAACTTGGTTCCCACTGGTCAACTTTCATTGCGAGAGAAATGGATAACGCTCATGGATATCAATAACACCATTGACTTTCCGGAACTTGATCTTGATTTTCTCCGCGAATATACATGTGAAACTTATCAAATGAAGCAGAGCAAAGCATATGCTAAAGCTCATTTCTATGAACATGACAATAAATTTGAATTACAGATATCACCTGATGATGATCAACTCATTTGGTGTCGACTTCATAGTCACCATTCGAACACAACTTACTACTTTAGGTGGATGCAAACATCCACTAAGTTAAAGACTTGGTCTTCGTTCACAGATACAGTCGTACGTGCTTTTGGCTCAACATGAGCACAAGAATTGGCATTGGAACAATTGAAATGGTACAAACAAACCATCAACCAGTCTATTACTCAATATTATGAAAAATTTATCGAACTATGTAAAAAAGTCGATGTTGCAATGCCTGATTCCTTGAAATTGAAATATTTGATGGCTGGAATTAAGGAATCATTGGGAACACGTGTTGCGTTACAAGATCCGAAATCAACTGAAGCATTCTTATCATTAGCACGAAAAATTGAAGATATTTTTGCACTCAAACAAACCGATCTTGAGACTAGCGCAAATAATACCTGTTTGAATGTAACCGCTTATCACAGTCAACCAAATCAAACGAACTTCACACCAGCGTCGAACAATAATTTTCGTCAAAGCAACCCTCGATATTCAACCGCATCCAAAAATCGTCTAATGTATAATCGAAACACATCAAATGGATACAATGGCAACCGGCAAAGCAAATCTTCGAAGTATACAAAGTCAACACAACGATCGAATGCATGTTTTAACTGCGGTACTCTTGGCCATTATGCCCGAGACTGTACCCGTCCGCATTTTCAATAATGGAAGCACCGGTCGATGGTGTTGCTTTCACGAATTTATATAGCAATCCATCGACGTTAAACACATCACTGCTTTACCTTGATGTTCTTGTAAATAATAAACGANCGGTCGATGGTGTTGCTTCCACGAATTTATATAGCAATCCATCGACGTTAAACACATCATTGCTTTACCTTGATGTTCTTGTAAATAATAAACAAATGAAAGCAATGATTGATACTGGCGCGAACCGAACATTTATTTCATTACAAGCACTACCTAGACCACACACTCAACAATTTATCGATAAACAACAGAGAAGTGCATCTTTAGCTGACGGACACACATCACTTTCTATTTTAGGCACATTAGAATTAAGCATTGATATCGGTGACATGTCAACAATTATCAAAGGATATGTCGTGAAGGAATTATGTGCCGAGTGCATATTAGGAATGGATTTCATTAGTAAATAGAAACTCATTATCAATGCTGATGAACGAACGGTGACAATGCATGATGATGATAAATGCATTACAACGACATTTGATGTTAATCAACGCAAAATTCGTTACCCAGCACGAACAATTCGTCAGGTCTATATTCCACCGAAACGAGCAGTCTCAATACCAGTCAACGTGAAAATATCGTCAGCCAAAGTTTTATTTCGACCATCCTTTCGATTGGCGCGACAATCACCAATGATATTGTTAAACAACATGGTCGTGGTGAATCACCAAAAGTCACACATTTCACTTTACAATCCGACTAAATATTCGTACACGATACCTGAGGGCATCGTAGTAGGAACGACCACAGTTCCAACACTATCTTTCAACAAATGCTTATCGATCGATCACGAATTAGTCAACGGATATATTACAAAGTTGACTCGACACGTTGCAGATCCGAAACAAGCAGATGAAATTAAAAATATCCTTCACCACCACGAGAAACTCTTCGACACAAGCAAACCTGCGAATGCTGTTAATGTCAAACCACATGAAATCAAGACACTTGATTATCCTCCACCAACATCACGACCATACTATTCAACGCCGCGAAAAGAAGAAGAAATGTACAACATCGTCCAAGACCTATTGGAACACGGTCTGATTCGGAAATCATACTCTCCATTTGCAGCACCAGCATTACTGGTCCCCAAACACGATAGAACATGGCGAATGGTTGTCGATTACAAGAAATTGAACAACATAACAATCAAGGACAATCATTCGTTACCAAACATGGAACAAAAGATACGACGATTGGGTAGATCACAGCTGAACGATTATACGAATGGAACGTGTTAGCTCAAGGATTGAAGAACAGCCCGCCGTCATATCAACGAGTGATGGCTGACATATTGGCACCTTGTCGACAGTTTGCATTGGTCTACATCGACGACATCGTGGTGTTTTCTCGTTCATTCGAAGAGCATGCGGAACACATCCAACAACTGTTATCCATTCTATCCAAGTACAACTTTACTTTCCTAACATTTGATAAGGGAAAATATTTATCACTAGCGTGAACCTATTTCTACTACAGTATTTATTGAAATTTATCCTGAGCAGCTCAGACGTAAAAACAAGAGGCGAAGATTCATGATGTTCAACCAAGCTGTCACATGCAATTCGTTTTCACTTGTTATAATTTTGCATGATAAGGCGAGATTCAAATATAGCTACTTGAAAGCAAACGAGGGATATTCTTTTCTCTTTTTTGTGCTTTAGGCAGAACGCGAGAAATCCTCTATATCGAATGAGTTGTCGCATGACAAGAAAATAGAAACAAGTTTGACAGCCTTTACTTTCACCAACTTCCTTCTTTATCAAATAAGCTTTTCTTCTAATGCATTATCTGTTTTACCTGGGCGAAGGATAATAGGGAAGACGGCTATGTTTACATACCAATTCTCGAAGTAATCGAATCAATTCTTTTCGAAATGACGCTTTTACGGTGAAAGTCAACAAATATTACAGTTGGCGGTATATCAAATTCTATAACTATTACTAAATGCGGTTCATTCATTTATTATTTGTGAAATTTTCTCAGATATGGTCATAATTCAATGAGCACGCTAAAACTGTTAGTGTATATGTGAATATTTGTGAAAAATGCATCGAAATAGTTCCAGATAGTCATATATTTAAAATGAAATCTACGATTATAGTAACACTTTGTTTGCAAATACTCCGATTGATGATGTTAAGAAATGGAATTGGGTCGAGCAGGAGTGAAATGTAGCATAAAATGTCGCTCTATATTGCATCTAATAAACTACCAGACATTTTATGTCGAATTGAATCATCCTTCTGCCTGGTTCACATTTTCTCTTTGGAGATAACGTCGTTGGCAGCATAGCAGTGTGTATATAAATGTATTCCGTTTAAATATAAACTTTTTAATCTATTATTGCACCCTCAGAATGAGCTCAAATAGTTCGGAAATCTTTGACGACAAAAAATATATTCTTCATCGAATTAGATTTTTCATTTTGATTATATTGGAAATTCCAGCGGTTTTCATTAGCCTTTTGATTTTTGCCTTTTTCATTACACATCGTTCTGTGCTGAAGAATCTTCAAAATCAAGCTTTATTAGTTTTACTACTCGCCAATTTCATCGAATTAGCTACCAGTATACCAATGACCATAGTTTTCTTTCACTTTTCCTATGTTAATCCGGCAACAGCAGTTTATTGTACGTGCTGGACATTTCTGGCCTATAGTCTTGCCGTCATCGGTGAATTTCTCATGGCCACCATTTCTGTACAACGACACACACTTATATTTCAACCCCAAATATCACAAGTGCTCTATAAACGGTATATAGTGTACCATTTACCTCTACTCTTATGTATCATCTATCCAATTGTGTTTTATATATTTGCCATTTTCCTTTATACATGTGACGGTACTCAATGGGATTTTCAAGAGAATGGATGTGGTTTCGCAAACTGCTATTTTGTATATGACAAAACACTGGGTACGTTTGATTGGGCAGTAAATAATGGCTTCCCGATGGTAGTTATTTTCATGGCTAATATCATCCTCGTCATACGAGTTGTCAAGAACAAACTCCGTCGACAACAACTTGTTACTTGGCGAAAACATCGACGAATGACTATACAATTATTGAGTATATCAAGTCTTTTTTTAATTGCCTGGTCACCAAGTCTGATCATTGCACTCATTCAACAATTATTCGCTCCAGATTTTGCACTACAAATTCAAATGGATTATATAACCGAGCTCATATACCTTGCATGTCTCCTGTTGCCATTAGTATGTGTTGGTCTGCTACCAGAATTTATTAAATGGATTGTGAAATATTTACATTGTGGAGCAACCACAAACAATATTGTTAGACCAACCACAGGCAATGTTGTTAGACCAATCACAAAAAATATCCCAAGATAAAATTCATTGTAGCCCCGATACATGAGAAAGACATTTTTCGCTTTTTAATGTATACTGATTATACAAATATATGATTTTAGTGACTTCGTAGAACATTCAGCTTTCTGACATATTTTACATGACAAATAAAAAAGAAAAATCGATTCTATCCTTCATTCACTCAAAAGAAATGAATATTTCGTTGCATTTTCAGATTGATTTTCATTCAACTCTAAAACGAATATTGTCCTATCTCTTCTTCACTCTGGAGACTCTTTTTGTTCTCCTTTCGTCGTTCTCAATGTGTTAGATAAGTCTACTTTGTATTTTTTTCTCCTCTTTCTTTGTTAATCTGGCGATTTAACTTACTTCTCTTATCTCGTTTAAATAAATGCAGTAAGTTTGTGTCTTTCGATGCATTCATTCTTCATATCTCTAGTCATCTGATGAAATAATTTCTTTTGGAGATTTTATTCATTAAACCTTCTAACTGAAAATAATCAATAATCTTTTGGAATAATCATCGCAAATTCATGCGATAGATGAAAAGCGCAAACAACAATCAATTAACAACTTGGAGATGGACAACGACCGCAAAAGATTCGCTAAAGGTAATGAAAATATTCTTGAAGGAAGTTACTAACATCTTTAATCATTTTCATTGTGTGATCGTCAACAAAATCGATTCTTTTCGTTAGCGATCGTTCGACTCTTTGAAGTCGAATTATTTGCTAATATCCGAATGAAACACATTACATCACACTTCCATTGATATAGATTCACTGTTGCCACCAAAACAACAGAACGAAAGCTATCAACTCTTAGTCAAGTTGTATCAAGAAACGTGTCATCTCGAGCATTGTTTATTAAATTCGTATTTGTACAGAGCATGTTCGATCAAAAGTGCACCTGGTGAATTCGAAAAGATCGGCGATAGTGATAACAATATTCGTGCTGGTATTCAATTTGAACGTGCCAGAGAATGGAAACAAAGTATTTTGATGGTAGCACACGCAGAAATGATACATTTACACTATGTTCAATGTATGCTATGTGCACTTGGAGAACTTCCTTGTTTCACACTACCGGATCGGCATCCGACGACGGGGAATTGGTTTATTCCAAACTGGAGAGCTCATGTTGGAGAGAAACCAAATAATGAAGGTGTACAAGTTCCGATTGAACCATTGAGTCCAGAGTGCATTCAACATTTTGTTTTGTATGAATCGACAGATGCTCTACAAGATCAAGATCCATTCGGACCAAAAATTATGGTTTTATTTAAACAGTTATTCGACTTTGAAGTGAATTTGAACATTGAATCAACACTACTGAACGTCGACGATGAACAAGTGCGAGCAAAATTATTCGGTCAGTTGTGAAGTCTCTATACCATCCAAGCGCCACTTCCAATACCTGCGAAACCGTTAATCAAAGTAGCATTAGGTGCATTACCACCAGTAGAAGAGCTACATTTTGCCTCGATTACTGATTTTTATCTGCAAGCTGTCGCTCCGTTATATAGGCAAGGTTTCCTGCCCGTTGGTCCCATCTATAGAAGTAAAAACTTTTATGCATTACATACTCAAAACGTTCACAGTTATTATCCAAATATCAAAAATATCGATAGTATCATTGCTGAAATTGTCGATGAAGGAGAAGGATTTAAGAATTTCGAAGAACGTGCTGAATTTTTATTTACGTTGCTGCATGGAAGAGAAAACGTCGAAAAGAGATGCTCCAACAAAATACCAATGGCTAGCTGATTGCGAACAATTTCGTCAGTCTCATCTGTATCGTTTTGCCATGATAATGATGGGTATGAAACAAGAAATGGATTTAGCAAACGTTGTCAATGTCAAATTCGATGCTTATAGACAGCTGGTAAAAATCGATCATAATGTTACTTTGAAAGATCTTACTGCTCAAATACCTTACTATTTTAATGCTTGCTATCTTGTCATGATCATGTGGCTGTCGTGAATGTACGAAATAGCACACTGGACTGGTGATAAATCTCAATGACAAGCCATTGAAATGATTGCCATATAGCCCCTTATGTCTCTAGCTATCCGACCGTTTCTGAAGCTCGCTTCCTTTTTTTTCCAATCCAGAGAAAAGAGCTGTTTTCACTATACGCTCATAACCTTCCACGTTTACCTTTGCATGTTCGCCAATTGTTTCAACTTTATATTGCAGAAGACCGATCCNACACTATCATAAGAGGGTGAAAATTGAGTGAAAATACCAGGTAGTATTGTCTATCGGAAACCTTTCATATGGTTCCAAATTGACTGGAATTCGGTGTAGAAAGATTCTCCGTCTCATTCTGCGTCGTTTTTGGTATTTGCCAAGTTAATTTTGAAATGGGCCGATTTACGGTCTTATACGCTCCCGTCCTTACAATGGATATCAATGACTTTATATTTCTTTTATCAAGACATGTCTTAATTAATCACAACGAAGCATTTTATTCTTTGGTATTTGTCGTGTCGATTAGATATTTGTGAATTACAGAAATTTAATGACTTCTTTGCTGGGATCAATGGAGATATTCGTTGTGATGATATTGTTTAGTAATGGTATCAAATTTCGATAATTTCCGTTCTTCAATTTCATTTGAAATGCATATTCTAGGATTACTTGAATGAATAACTTGGATCGTATATGAAAATCTCTATTTAATTACAGCTCAAATTGCTAGTATTCAAATCAGCACGTACATTTGTTTGAAAGCCTTTCACCTTTCGTGATGATTATATCTGTTGACGGATCATCGAAAACCAATCGTTTTCATTCGAAAAATTCCAAGCTATGTGATTCAATTCATTCATTCAAATGGATTCCTGTTATAAACAGCCAGTTTTTTTTCTCACTGTAAATTAGAAAGAACGAGATAGTCAAATATACAATCAATTTTATAAGATTGTAATGAATGATATTACTGAAATAATTTCTTCGTTATGATCATTTTTTCATCATGCTAACTGTAATGTCGCATAATTATCATTCATTCCAGTTGTCTATCAATTCATCACAAATATAAGCAACGTCTCACGCGAACCTGATCATTGTTTTTGGATTATCCAATCGAAAATATGTCTGGCAATGTTATTTTTTACATTTTCATGTCTTATTATTTCGATCTCATTAAAGAAGTAGTGAGGGTAACTTTAATTTACTTTTTGTTTCTCCTATGTCATTATTAGTAGCATACAATCATATTCCAATATAAAATACCACAATTTATTATGAAAAAGATGAAGTTGCAAGCTTTATTTCAACAATTACATTTGTGATCTTCCAATTCTGTCAGTTTCATCAGAAATCAGATATTCCTGCTATGAATGATTGAGTATGTACAGTATCGTTAGTCATTCATACATGTCTGATTTTTATTCATTTGAAACAGAATTTATAATTTTACACTACTGAAAAGGTGAAACCATTTGTTTATCTTTATTTTGACCGATTCGATATTAAAAACCAATGGAAACAACTTAAATTAAAGCAATAGGTAGGTTGGAAGATGTATTACTTTATAATCGAATGAATTAAATTATTCGTCAAAGTAGATTTATACAGTATTATCATTCTTTATTATCAAGTTTCAAGGAAGCTGACTTAGAATATTTTTGTCTTCAACTTGTATTCGATTACATCCTGATTCTGATCTCATTCGTTGATAGTATGTTATTTTTCATTGTCGTACAGTGGAAGATAAGGCACACAAGATGAAGTTCGTTACCATATTCTGTCGATTGAAATCTGAACCAATTTTTTCGATAATGAAATGTTAAGCAATCAAATCTCTTGATCAGTAGGAAACACAAAGGCTACGTCTGCCTTATCCAGATTAAAAAAAAGAACTTTCTGAGAAAGTTCACAACTTTATTCCCTCGACTGTAAAGAGGGTCATATGAAATAAAATTGTTTGTTTGTTTGTTTGTGGCAAAACGTGGGCGACGGTGGGCTACTGCGCGCTACGTGGCTGAAGTTGCGCGCGTGTACGGCCAGTGGTGGCCGAAGGTAGGAGATGTGGCCAATGGTGTGTGCAGGGTGGCACGGTGTGATCTCTCATGACCACGGGTGTGGGCGAGGGTCAAGGGCCAAGAGTGAAAGATTGACAATCAGTTTTCTCGAAATATTTGAAATTTGAAGAGTAGTCTTTTCCGATCGAACCTATGGCCGACGGAAGAGCATATTTATAACGTCGAGATATGACTTGAGGCATCAACTAAGAATTTACTAACTCGGCAATTTGGCTAAGCGAATACTGTATTGGGAACATGGACGAAGACTCCCCACATGGTCTCTTGAGAAGAAGTAGTTTGAATGGTGTCTATCTATGCCATGATTGAAGGCAAAAAATGACAGAAACGTCACGAATAGCGCGTGGAGATAGATGAGGCTGATTGAGAATTGTCGCAAATCATAAAATGGATCGACAGCTAGCGCGCGATATCAGACTGTGAAATTTGATGTCTAGGATGAATGAATCATGCATTGAGCGTCTTAGATGCCTTTGTTATGTGGCCCTATCGATAAGGCGGGTTGTAAGTATCTGATAACGTTCAATAAAGGAAAGACAAGCTGCAGCTGAGAGATTTGTTTATACTGATTGTGTTGAGGCAGTTAAATTGTGTGTGAATGGTGGAGAAGAAAGGCGCCTACCATTTGACAAAGTGTACATGCTATGAACAATATCGAGCAGTCGGGAGTGGCGGACCGGAGGGACGCCGACAACCGACTGCGAGATGAGAGGGTTGTTACATCTTTTGTGTAATTCTAATGACAAGCGTACAATGGGAAAAAAATCAGCCGAGCATTCAGCGAGAGTACCCGACCAGCGTTACTGGTGATAAATTCACAATAAATAAAGACTTTTTATATCCTCACATTTGTTTTACAAAGACAATAAGCTATTTTATTTGCGAGAGTTAATAAATAGTCGAACAGAAAAGGTTTTACCGTTTCGTCGTACGTGAAGTTGCTAGATTGATTCGCCTCATTAATAGCACACGCAGACAGTATATCTGTCTTCCACAGTCGAGGGTGAAGTGAGTCGGCACGACGAACGCTACTTGTTTTTAATGCTCCATCAAGTTCACATGGATTTGATGTGCTTATTTGTTGTCTAAAGACTAAATATTGCCACAGCAAAATAAGAATACACATAGAAACAGAAATTTTACCATTAGCAAATATAATATTAGGTGTATCTTTCTTCTTCTTCTTCTCTTTCTTGTATGCTTTTTATAGAAAAATAATATAGATTTTGATGCAAGTGATGATCGCATCGATTACATTGTATTTTTTCCTTGCAGTATTTTTTTCTCCCTCATCCTACGTGTTTGTTAATAATGATTCTATAATTTGCTTTTATTTAATAGCCTATATTATACAAAATGATGATAAGGAAACTAAATATAAGCATAATCATCGAATTTGTTGTTATTTTTAACACACTATTATTAATATTCTGTTGTATAGTATAGATTGAACTAGTTGATTCCATGTGCGCATAGCTCATGGATGTGGGAATATTCCAATATCCTCAAGATACTACTTTTGATATTGGTAGTTAATCTAGTGATAAATGATGTTGTTGATACTTTTACAATATTGGTGTTAAGTACTTTATACATCTGTGATAAATCGAGATATTGATCGATAATTTTCCAAATTCCATCAACAACTGATGGATCGTTACATCGATTATATCCACACCAATATTGTATTATACGATTTAGTTTCGTTGTATTCTTTATCAATTTATTGTTCTCCATCGTATATAAAAAATAATCTTCTTTCCTCATAATAAAGAAAGAACTGTTGATATGAATTTGTACTATCTTTTTAATATCTGATTCGCGCTTAGCTTCATTTTGGTTTTTCTTAACTGAAAAGATCCAAGCGCATATTTCACTATGACATTCTTGTACATTTTTCCTATCACTTATTTCAAAACGTATGATCTTTTTCTGTGCAGTTTTGATGATACATACATATCAGATAAAGATTTCGAGAAATTAATCTGATTTTCTAAATCAGCAAGATGATATCTACCTGAATATTTGTTTGTACCTCTTAAAAGTGGTCCAACGATAGTTGAAAATCTTTCATTTTGTAATCCGATAATCCAACCAAGATGCATGAACAGAGTATGACGATCACAATAATCTGTATCGTTGCATGAAAATTCCAAAATATCTTCAATTGAAACTCTTTTATTTTTATCCCAAATAAGTGAAATATCAAAGTATATATCAACATTCATTGTAAAGTTTCTCGGAATAATTTTATTACCAAAAAAGATATTGACTGTGTTCGATCTGCGAAAAATTTGCATTTGAACAGTACATATTTCACTTTTGACAGTTGGAATTTGATGAACAGTGGTTTTGATTCGACCACTAGCGAATTTAATTGAATTAAGAATAGTGTTCATTTTACACACAAGAGATTCATTCTTTATAAATAGTATAAATAAAATCGTAAAGAATAGGTTTATCATTATATATGAATACATCTGAATTATAGAAATCTACTAAATATGATCATTTGTGTATGAAAGTCTTATATGCATACATATCGTTCTAGTTTATCGTAAGAGATTTTTGAAAATAACTCGAGTTTAATCTTTTTGTGGAAAAAAGACTTCAATCAATTAATAGATTTAATTATAGAAAATATCAGTTCTAATCTCATCTTTTGTCTTAAGAGAGTATGTGAATAATCAAGAATTCATAGATCACATGATACAAACACAATTTGAATAAGACATTAAACGTGCAATATCATTATTTGTTATTGTCACGATTCAATCTGTATGCGTTTCAATTCAGTTTCATTTCTTTAAAAAGAACAGATATTAATTGTGTTTTTATCAATTCTTAATCGAAAAGTACATACGATAACATCACTCTCAGTTAAATTGATAAACAATTACAACTATCTATTATATCCTTCGGAGAAGAATAATGAGTTCGTGAAAACTCCTCTTCGTTTCATCGTTCATTTATTTCTCAGTGCCAATTTTCTTTCGCTCAGTTAATCTTATTTTTAATGATTAATTAGTATTAATTCGACTTCTAACATGCAATACTTCTTTTCTCATTCTGGCACGTTGTCTATTGATTCTTTCTCTCGATTCATTACACAATTCGTGTCATTGAACTTTTGTAGACTTGCTGATAGTCGTATTGATCTCATTATCCTAATTAATTTTCTATAGTTTCTAACAAACGAATATTAATTAGAAAGAGATGTATAATGTAGAAGGGCGTGATTTCTAAACGGCGTCATACTTTTAATAAGAAAATTCATTGATAAAAAAAGGTAGTTCTTTTCTAAACAAGACAGAAAATAATTTTTCTGCGTTTTTGTTTCACAAGGTTTAACTCCTTCACCTGACTATAAGACGTTAAAATAAAAATCAATGTCTAGTTCTAATGATTTTGTATCTTCTATTAATTATGTTACGATGCAAATCAATCGTCATGTAGCTTTACTTATACTTCTTTTTGGTACTGTTGGTAATATATTGAATCTTTTGGTTTTACGCGAACAAGATTTAATCAAAGTTCCATGTACACATTATATTTACTGTTCGTCGATGTCAGCAGTAGTATTTCTTTGGTCAGCATTACTAACACGAATTCTACAAGGGTAAGATAGGAGACTTTATAAATTTCTATTAAATCTTCTATAAACATGAATATTTTAGTTACAACATCAACTGGCCAAATGAGAATCGACCTCTATGTAAAATTCGTTTGTATATACTGAATGTTACTTGGGCAATTGCTATTTGGGCACTTGTTGGAGCAAGTATTGATCGATTTTTATGCAGCAGTCGTTCGGCAACTTATCGTCGACTGAGTACAATTCGAACAGCAAGATATTATTTGACAGCAATTTTCGTATTTTTCGCACTTTTTTTTGCCGAAGTGCTTTATTGCTACGAAGCAAGTGTTCCAAATGTTCCCGTTGCTTGTTATGGACAAAATTTCGCCTGTCGAATCTTTAATGATTGGATGTCTTTGTTCATGGATATCATTCTACCAAGTATCTTTTTAGCTTTATTTGGTTCATTAACTATTCGCAATGCTCAAACGAGAATGGTTCGTCCAATAACAGAGTCAATTCACCACACTGATGTCAACAATCAAATCAAATTAGTACGAAAAAATGAACGAAATCTTACTACAATGTTATTAGTTCAGGTAAGTTTAGACAAAGGATCTACTGTGTGAACTGATAAAGATGAGAGTCAGATGCAGACAATAAGAAGATATTCATAGTCGATTATCTTTTTTTATGAAGAAAATATGTTTTTACAAAAATTTCAGGTTTCCATTGTTTTTGTTCTGGATTTGCCATTTGAAGTGTATCGTCTTTATGCCAGTATAACATCAAATGTTAGTAAAAGTGCATCTCGTCTCGTTATTGAAAATTTAGTGTATGCATTGGTAATACTTCTTGTATTTTTTACACATTCTATTTCTTTTTATTTATACACACTCACTGGCACACTCTACTATGCAGTATTTTTACGTCTTGTACGACGTTACTTGCATCATGTGCGATTACCAAATTAACAATCCATAGATATCGTAAATCAATTATTTCTTTATTTATTCTCGTTGTTGATGTAAAATGATGTTTCATGTTAAAAATAAATTATAAAATACAGTAAAACCCCTTTTAGTGAACACCCCTCCTTAGTGATCACCCTGTTATACTGAACACCTTCCGGTCTCACCGAGTAAATTTTGCTGGTTTTGACCCCCTCCTTACTGATCACCTCGCGATTCTGAATTGTGAACACTTTTTTCTGGTCCCGGCTGTATGAATCACCCCTCTACTGTGAACAGATATAGAGGGAGCCATTGATCTTAACAGCGATACAATGCGTTTGATTGGTTTATCGTATGATTGGTGAGATAAATAACAAAGAGAGAGAGAGAGAGAGAGAGAGAGAGTAGAGAGCCTATCAGATAGGCGTAATATTCGATTTTGTAGTCTTTGTTTGTTGATTATGAACTGTTGATGATGGCATCACGTCGAGAACTTTGCCTGGACGACAAAGTGAAGCTAATAAAAGCCAAAGAATACGGTTCATCGCACCGTGAACTTAGTGACACGTTCCAGATATCGGTTGGAGCGGTTTCCAACATACTAAAACGAAAGGCTGAATACACCAATGATTATGAAACCAATCGAAATAAAAAAGTGAAACGTAAATCGAGGGTCGACTCCAATCAAGACATCAACGAAAACGTTTACGAGTGGTTCGTTGCACAACGATCAAAAATATTCCTATCTCAGGACCAATTCTCCAAGAATACGCACGAAGTCTTGCTGAAAAATTGGATTGTTCGACCGACTTCAAAGCAAGCAATGAGTGGCTCGACAGATTCCGGATTCGATATAATATTCAGTTTCGTGCTATCTGTGGTAAAGCTCGATCAGTGGATCTCAACACTGTGGACGATTGGAAAGATCGATTGTTCTCGATGATTGAACATTACAATCCTATGGACATTTATAATTGTGACGAGACCGGTCTGTTTTATAAATTAATGCCAGACCGATCTTTAGTCGTCGATAGAAACGATTGTCGTGGAGGAAAAAAATCCAAGGAACGTTATACAGTAATGCTTTGCAAGAACTGGTCTGGAACTGATAAGTTAAAACCCGTGATCATAGGTGAGTTCATGTCTACTTGGCTTACTTCTAAAACAGGTTTCTTTCATCATCCATTCGCCAGGAAAATCCGCGAAGCCACGATGTTTCAAGAGTATCGATTTGAAGAAGCTTCCAGTCTGCTGGTATAGCAACAGAACGGCATGTATGAATGCTAAAATCTTTATAGAATGGCTTGAAGACTTAGATACGTCAATGCGAAAACAAAAACGTCACATCCTGCTGTTTCTCGATAACGTTCCGGTGCACCCTCAAGATATTCAATTGGAAAATATTAAATTAAAATTTTGTCCACCAAACTCCACAGCTAAAATCCAACCATTGGACCAAGGCATCATCCGAGCCTTCAAAGCTTATTACCGGCGCTTTTTGGTTAAGCATATCTGTAACGATAATGATATCGTTCATCTCTTTCCTCTTCTCTATATAAGCGCGTGTCTTATTGTGAAAGAGATACATTCTGGTCATGTAGAGTAGTCAATAAACACCGATACCGTGAGAAGCGGTCAGCTACTCAACCGGTTTGTCGTTACAATATCATAGCGAGCGCTACCGCTGCAATGACAGCAGATGACATTACTGTCACTGCTCTGGATGCCGTATATTGGATCGATTCTGTTTGGAAAGCGGTCAGCGAATCGACTATCAAAAGCACTTTTAGATCAGCCGGTTTCGTAAAGTCTCCCATAATCGATGATCTTGATATTTTACAAATCAGCTCAATTGCGATCGAAGATGTCTCATAAGAAGACAAAGCGATCGAAGAACTCGATTGGATTTTAAAACATGTAACAATTGGTGGAAAAGTTATGTCGGCTTTTGACTACGTTGTGAGATCTCGAACAGAAGTTTTAGGAGCACATTTTTATAATCTTTTGTGCATTTCAGACATTTGACGACAATATACCATCATTCAACGAGTGGGATGATTCGAGTGAAAGGCTACTATCAGTCACCGGAATAACCAACGATGATGCAGAAAACAGTGAAGATATTCCAGGTGGAGATCCACCATCTTTAGCTGAATCTCTCGAGTTGATCCGTCGACTTCGCCTTCTCTCAACCACACAGCAACCTGAACTACACCCTTTCATTATTCAGTTACAGTCAAAGCTAACTGACGCATTCCTTGACTCAAATTTATCGAAGCAAAAATCAATCTTCGATTATTTCAAATGTACATCTGTTGGTCCATAGCATCAAATCCTAAGATTTGATAACCTTTTTTCTGATGTTATCAATGAATAAAATAAATCTTATCTTGATACATCTCTACTGGTGAATAGAAATAACTCAACGTATGCTTTATGTAAAAGACACTTGGTCTGCCTATAACCCCTCCTAACTGATCACCCCGTCAATGTGAACGATTTTGAAAAGTCCCACGAGTGTTCACTGTAGAGGGGTTTTACTGTATATTTTTAGATGGTAGTCGTCTGACTTGTGGATAAAGGGACAGACGACAAAAGAAGGTAGATATTGAAAGTATCAATAAATCCAAGCCAAATTATCCTGTCATTCTTATTTTCTGTTCATTATCTTCGTAACTTGTAACTACAACACAATTCCCACTAAAAAAAAACAATTTCTCTATGTACCTAGAGAATGAAAAGGCAAGATATATCAGAATATTGTTCAAGTTTATTATTTCAGCGAACTGAAGGACGTTATTTTGAGCTTCTCATCCATTATGAATGAAAAAAACGAAAGATTGCTTAGATTTTAGATGAAAATGGCTTGTGAATCTGTTACAGAAGAAAATGAAACAAAATGAGAAACTATGCTTTGAATTATTATCCTCAATTGCAAGAATTGAATTGGGAAAAAGAAAAGCTTTAACTGCAGCTTCTTCTAATTTGTTTTGTTATAAAAGTTTCTAAAGATATTACGCTTTTACGTACGACTAAGCAAGTGCGATATCTATTGTATATTTGTAAAAGAGAAGAAAAATCGCTTTTGATGTTCTCTTTGATAATCTCAAAGAGGAAAATACAATTATTTTCATAAGTTTCACAGTCATATCAAGTTTCTTTTATTTTGACTTTGTATTAATACGAAAGTTACAAATCGTTTTGGATATTTCCGGAACTTTAGGTGAACGGATTAGTATTCTCATCAATCTAAAAAACCAATTTCTATAAACGGTTTTGAATATGAGAATATTCCTATTTTGTCTCCGTGACAACCTAAACATTTATTGTATCGATTAATTAACATTATTTGCCAAAAGAGAGGATGAAGGGAAGTGCAAAAACATAGTCGTCATTTCGGATAAGTGTGCTGTTGAAAATGATTTTGTTTCATATTTAACAAACTTGTAAATTTATTTCTAATCACATTCAGTTTTAAAATACAAATGAGTAATAGCAAAGATCAACTATCGAAACATAGTACACATACACGCTTATTCTAAACAGCATCATCTATTGACTGAAGTTCAAACAAAGGATATTGATGCTTCTCATACTATCGCATGATTAGATTCCTAATGAATCGTTATTACTGAAGCTTCACTAAGACAGGTTGTTAAAAATAAATATTTCATGTAGTATAGCAATCATTCGATGTAGTTTGACCTATTTTTTGACTTTCTTATTTGGAAGAGATTTTTTAATTGATTTTTCTCAACTGTTGCTATCATCATTTGATTATCAGCACAAATGAGTAGCTGCCTAATTCGACTTATAATATAAGTGACGAATTCCTAATACACTCCTACACATACTTAGGAATAGATAGCGATAGATTTAGCTATGCCTATTCACCCATGCCAGTTTACGAATAGATAGGAATAGATTTTGTTACATATAGTCTCAGGAATACTCTCAACCGAGCTATATGTTAGCCTATGTCCATCGGTATACACAGGTATAACTAAATCTATCCCTATCTATTCCTAAACGTGTAGAATTATATAGATATACATATATTTATATTCGAACTGAGATTAGTCTATCAGATGTCCATTTATAATATAAGTCGAATTAGGCAACTCATGTAAAAACAAGAGGCGAATATTCATGATGTTCAACCAAGCTGTCACATGCAATTCGTTTTCACTTGTTATAATTCTGCTTGATGAGGCGAGATTCAAATATAGCTGCTTGAAAGCAAACGAGGGATATTCTATTCTCTTTTTTTGTGCTTTAGGCAGAACGCGAGAAATCCTCGATATCGAAAGAGTTGTCGCATGAAAAGAAAATAGAAACAAGTTTGACAGCTTTTACTTTCACCAACTTCCTTCTTTATCAAATAAGTTTTTCTTCTAATGCATTATCTGTTTTACCTGGGCGAAGGATAATAGAGGAAACGGCTGTTTACATATCAATTCTCGAAGTAATCGAATCAATTCTTTTCGAAATGACGCTTTTACAGTGAAAGTCAACAAATATTACAGTTGGTGGTATATCAAATTCTACAACTATTACTAAATGCGGTTCATTCATTTATTATTCGTGAAATTTTCTCAGATGTGGTCATAATTCAATGAACATGCTAAAACTGTTAGTGTATATGTGAATATTCGTGAAAAATGCTTCGAAATAGTTCCAGATAGTCATATATTTAAAATGAAATCTATGATTATAGTAACGCTTTGTTTGCAAATACTCCGATTGATGATGTTAAGAAATGAAATTGGTTCGAGCAGGAGTGAAATGTAGCATAAAATGTCGCTCTGTATTGCATCTAATAAAATACCAGACATTTTATGTCGAATTTAATCCTCCTTCTGCCTGTTTCACATTTTCTCTTTGGAGACAACACCGTTGGCAGCATAGCAGTGTGTATATAAATGTATTCCATTTAAATACAAGCTTTTAGATCTATTATTGCACACTCAGAATGAGTTCAAATAATTCAGAAATCTTTGACGACAAGAAATATATTCTTCATCGAATTAAATTTTTCATTTTGATTATATTGGAAATTCCAGCGGTTTTCATTAGCCTTTTGATTTTTGCCTTTTTCATTACACATCGTTCTGTGCTGAAGAATCTTCAAAATCAAGCTTTATTGGCTTTACTACTCGCCAATTTCATCGAATTAGCCACCAGTATACCAATGACCATAGTTTTCTTTTACTTTTCCTATGTTAATCCAGCAACAGCAGTTTATTGTACGTGCTGGACATTTCTGGCCTATAGTCTTGCTGTCATCGGTGAATTTCTCATGGCCACCATTTCTGTACAACGACACACACTTATATTTCAACCCCAAATATCACAAGTACCCTATAAACGGTATATAGTGTACCATTTACCTCTACTCCTATGCATCATCTATCCAATTGTGTTTTATATATTTGCCATTTTCCTTTATACATGTGACGGTACTCAATGGGATTTTCAAGAGAATGGTTGTGGTTTCGCAAACTGCTATTTTGTATATGACAAAACACTGGGTACGTTTGATTGGGCAGTGAATAATGGCTTCCCGATGGTAGTTATTTTCATGGCTAATGTCATCCTCGTCATACGAGTTGTCAAGAACAAACTCCGTCGACAACAACTTGTTACTTGGCGAAAACATCGACGAATGACTATACAATTATTGAGTATATCAAGTCTTTTTCTAATTGCCTGGTCACCAAGTCTGATCATTGCACTAATTCAACAATTATTCGCTCCAGATTTTGCACTACAAATTCAAATGGATTATATAACCGAGCTCATATACCTTGCGTGTCTCCTGTTACCATTAGTATGTGTTGGTCTGCTACCAGAATTTATTAAATGGATTGTGAAATATTTACATTGTGGAGCAACAACAGGCAATGTTGTTAGACCAACCACACACAATATCCCAAGATAAAATCCATTGAAGCCCCGATACATTAGAAAGACATTTTTCGCTTTTAATGTATATTGATCATACAAATATATGATTTTAGTGACTTAGTAGAACATTCAACTTTCTGACATATTTTACATGACAAATAAAAAAGAAAAATCGATTCTATTCTTCATTCACTCAAAAGAAATGAATATTTCGTTGCATTTTCAGATTGATTTCCATCAAACTCTAAAACGAATATTGTCCTATCTCTTCTTCACTCTGGATACTCTTTTTGTTCTCCTTTCATCGTTCTCAATGTGTTAGATAAGTCTACTTTGTACTTTTTTTCCTCTTTCTTTGTCAATCTGGCGATTTAACTTACTTCTCTTATCTCGTTTATATAAATGCAGCAAGTTTGTGTCCTTCGATGCATTCATTCTTCGTATCTCTAGTCATCTGATGAAAGAATTTCTTTTTGAGATTTTATTCGTTAACAAATGCATTCATTAAACCTTCTAACTGAAAATAATCAATCATCTTTTAGAATAATCATCACAAATTCATGCAATGGATGACAAGCGCAAACAACAATCAATTAACAACTTGGAGACGGACAACGGCCGCAAAAGATTCGCTAAAGGTAATGAAAATATTCTTGAAGGAAGGTACTAACATCTTTAATCATTTTCATTGTTTGATCGTGAACAAAATCGATCCTTTTCGTTAGCGATCGTTCGACTCTTTGAAGTCGAATTATTTGCTAATAACCGAATGAAACACATTACATCACACTTCTATTGATATAGATTCACTGTTGCCACCAAAACAACAGAACGAAAGCTATCAACTCTTAGTCAAGTTGCTTCAAGAAGCGTATCATCTCGAGCATTGCCTATTAAACTCGTATTTGTACACAGCATGTTCGATCAAAAGTACACCTGGTGAATTCGAAAAGATCGGTAATAGTGTCGTGCTGGTATTCAATTTGAACGTGCCTGAGAATGGAAACAAAGTATTTTGATGGTAGCGCACGAAGAAATGATACATTTACACTATGTTCCATGTATGCTACGTGCACTTGGAGAACGTCCTTGTTTCACACTACCGGATCGGCATCCGACGACGGGGAATTGGTTTATTCCAAACTGGAAAGCTCATGTTGGAGAGAAACCAAATAATGAAAATGTATAAGTTCCGATTGAACCATTGACTCCAGAGTGCATTCAACGTTTTGTTTTGTATGAATCCACAGATGCTCTACATGATCAAGATCCATTCGGACCAAAAATTATGGCTTTATTTAAACAGTTATTCGACTTCGAAGTGAATTTGAACATTGAATCAACACTACTGAACGTCGACGATCGACAAGTGCGAGCAAAATTATTCGGTCAGTTGTGAAGTCTCTATACCATCCAAGCGCCACTTCCAATACCTGCGAAACCGTTAACCAAAGTTGCATTAGGTGCATTACCACCAGTAGAAGAGCTACATTTTGCCTCGATTGCTGATTTTTATCTGCAAGGTTTCCCGCCCGTTGGTCCCATCTATAGAAGTAAAAACTTTGATGTATTACATACTCAAAACGTTCACAGTTATTATCGAAATGTCAAAAATATCGATAGTATCATTGCTGAAATTGTTGATGAAGGAGAAGGATTTAAGAATTTCGAAGAACGTGCTGAATTCTTATTGGATAAGGTAAAACATATTGGTACACGCGAATATTTACGTTGCTACATGGAAGAGAAAACGTCGAAAAGAGATTCTCCAACAAAATACCAATGGCTAGCTGATTGCGAACAATTTCGTCAGTCTCATCTGTATCGTTTTGCCATGATAATGATGGGTATGGAACAAGAAATGGATTTAGCAAACGCTGTCAATGTCAAATTCGATTCTTATAGACAGCCGATAAAAATCTATCATAATGTTACTTTGAAAGATCTTACTGCTCAAATACCTTACTAGTTCAATGCTTGCTACCTTGTCATGATCATGTGGCTGTCGCGAATGTACGAAATAGCACACTGGCCTGGTGATAAATCTCAACGACAAGCCATTGAAATGATTGCCACATAGCCTCTTATGTCTCTAGCTATACGACCGTTTCTGGAGCTCGCTTCCTTTTTTCCAATCGAGAGAAAAGAGCTGTTTTCACTTAACGCTCACAACCTTCCACCTTTATCTTTGCATGCCCATCAATTGTTTCAACTTTATATTGTAGAAGACCGATCCGAAAGAATCAATGAGTCTCTAGACTATTTTGGTGTGAAAACCTTGACAGATATTGCAATGTGGGCAAACGATAAGATTGGGCTGATTAGTAGATCAGACTTACCAGATGAGCACAGAGAAATAATTCTTACTCGTCTTAGAGCTCTCACAGTTTTCGTTTCGCGTTCATGGTGGTTATTCAAGCACGCTGCCTGATCTAACCTATCAAAGAGAACATGAAAGAGATAGCCTACGATTTGAAGAACATCCGATCGGCGATACTTTTAAACCTGAAAACGCTGCCTTTTATCAAAATACATTGTTGTTGCGCCTGCGATTTTCAGGATCGGGGCCTTGTCCAACTAGCTACTGATCATTTTTACAGAACACAACGACTGTAGAAGTTCTTTATTTTTAAATCGATAAAAGCAAAACGAATGTTACTTTTATCCCATACTCGTTTCACTTGTATCTCGAACGAGTTTCTTTTCGCCCCAAAGACATTTTGATTAATGTTGTTTGAGGATCAAAGATTTCTTTTTGATGAAATCTAAACCGTTGCTAAATATATCCTAGATAGCAATCAATACATACGATGAGTTCAGGGTCAAAAATTACTGTAATGTTTATACGTTAGTTTATTCGGTTGTATAATGAATGCAATTATATTTTCAAGTAGACAATTGTATCGTACCAAGCCATGCACATTCTTTTTGATGACAGCAGCAATTTCTTTGTCTATTCAGTTAATATATGCAACATTATCGCGTATTCTGGCATATCGGTGACATGCTTTTGTTTGGCAACTCTTGACCAGTTTTTAATCACATCACGATCAGCTTTTCTACGACAATTAAGCAAGATGGAGTGGGCTCATCGTATCGCTGCTGCCGTCATTATTTTCTGGGTGCTACAAGATGTACCCTTCTTCATCTTTGTCGACATCCGGTTAGTTAAAATTTGAGTATTATTTCTACTTTCAGTTCCGAAATTTTATACCATCAGAAAAGCATGCGGGAAAATTTTGATTCTAGTGTATCATATTTGTCTAATATCCTTTCTTCTCATGTATAGTTCAAATGTCTGCGGTATCTACAATTCGTTTTGGCACGCTTACTACACTTACGTTTGCTTTTGGTTTTTATACATGGCAATTCCGATCACCATAATGATGATATTTGGTATACTTGCATATCGAAATTTACGTGGCTTGACTAGTATGCAGTTGCAAGGTGCTGACCAACAACTTACCTTAATCATCTGCGGACAAATTTCTATGATTATTATTACTGTTTTACCAACATGTATTCAAAACGCTTACGCACAAATAACAGTCACTGCGAACAAAAGTGCTGAACAGAAGAGTTTAGAGTTTTTCATTGCAAATATCATTAGCTTTTTAGCGGCTATCGGACTTGGAGTGAGTAAAATATGTTTTTATTCATTATTTTGTGAACTATTCTGTTCGCTTTCACAGGGTACTTTCTATATATTTCTCGTGATTTCAAGCACTTTCCGTCGGCAATGTAAACGATGTTTATTTCACTTTTGTCTAAAGAAAAATGCTACTGTAGCACCGATAAATAACAGTACAAGTGCTAAGCAACGTACAAAAACTAACTTTGCTTGATGTAACCAATAAAATGTTTCAGTTATTCGCTTGTGGGAATTTCCTCTTCTTATTTTCCTTCCCTTTTTTTGTATATAAGTGATTGCATCCTTATAAATAAATCATTAATTGCTAACTATCAAAAGATATTCTTTCGATTATACAAGAATCGACCTAATAGCGCTAAAGAGATGTAATGGGACATGCTCAGTTCTTTATCCCTGACCAATATATCGAGTATAAAACGGGTGGGACACAATTTTTGCATTATTTTTGCTTTTGGTATAATTTGACAACGGAAAATAGTAGAAGTTTGAACTTTTTCTTGTTAGAAAAAGTGACATCTGTAGTGCAGAAATATATAGAAAAATCTAGCTGACAAAGCTTCAGGAGGACTGCAAAAGTTTCAGAACACTAGAGAGTTAAAAATGCTTCCACAAATTTTGGCATTTTTTTATACCAGAAAAAAGATAGTTTTAGTCTAACTGATCTTTTTGGATATGGAAATGGTTCATTTCCTGATAAAATAATATATCCAGTTGGTACTCTTCCACTTTCTGTCGCTAATACTGGTGATAATTTCGTAAGTGTTCTATATTGGGTTACGGGCATGGTTCATTTGCTTCTCAAATTCAACATATAACAGGTTCGGGTCTATATTCTCTAGCTATTGCTCATTTGAATAATGATAAACAACTTGATGTTATTGTAGCAAATTCAGGTGAAAGTTCCGTAGCTACATTGTTTGGTTGTTCGAATTTAGTCTTTTGAAAACAAACAATTCATTTAACTTATGGTAACAATTGTCGATCACGATCATTTGTTATCGATGATTTTAACAATGATAATCATAGTTATGTTGTTGTAGCGAACACAGGCACTGATAATATTGCCGTTTTTCTTAGCCGCGGTTAATGGAATATTTGACGTCGTTATGTTTTATTCAATGCCATATGGATCTCAACCATCTTCACTTGTTGTTGCTGATTTTAGCTGCGATGGAAAGATGGATTTTCGTCTAATAAATAATGGTACTGACAGTTTAAGCATTTACTTACGAACTGGTAAATTGAACAATTTTGTTTGTTTTTCTTCTATTTGTCGAAAGACCTTCCGATTAGAAACGATTTCAATTGATGAAAATACTTCAACAAAAAAGAACCCAATAAAATATCATTTTCGACGCTAAAAAAATCCGTGTCAATGAATATTTCATTACGACGACATAGATGACGTCAATGCTTTGTTCGATACGCAGTGCAATAAGTAAAAGAAAGAATATTATTTATAAGTAAATCGTCGATCGGATGATTTCATTTGTTTTTATCTGAAAAATTGTGATATTTTTAGTTGGTAAAGATGGAAATTGCGATTCTACTGGTTTTATCTGCGATGTTGGTGCAAATGGGATCGTTGGCAACGGATGTTTCGTTTGAAAATTGTGAAAATGCATTTTTCGATATGAGTGCGAGAGCGAAAGAAACTGGTTGCTTGGAAGTTGGAGAACAGGGAACGAGATTTTGTTTTCTTGGGCAACAAGTAGCGAAGAGATCTGCTCGTTCTCTCTGTTTGAACCGAAAAAAACGAAGCGAGTAAGAGAAAACTTCGAAATTATTCTTTTCAAAGTATCTTCGTTGACAGTGAAAGTGAAAACACCGACTGTCATCACTCAGAAAGTCCAGATGGAACATTATGCGTCACTCCAGATTTCATCTATCAACTCGGTGAAGCTTCGGCTGAGAATTGCACAAAGGTTAACAATAACAAACAAAAATGTGTTGGACATTCAGCAGTTATCACTTGCAATCATGGTACGTTCGAAAAATCTCGATATTTCTCTCGTCTAAATGCATAATTTCCTAGATCAATGGACAATCACACAAGTTTGTAAAAAAGGAACAAAATGTCAACAACGACCAAAGTCAAATCCGGATGCCTTCTGTGCGCCGAAAAATTAGAACAGACGAGAACATTGATCATTTTGATTTTTAAATAAAAAAGCCTAACTAATTTATTTATTATTCGCTGAAATTTCATAGAAAAATACATTTAAATCTTTTGTTGAAGCAATGTTAATGGACTTAACAATCCACAGACAATATTTTTAATCAATCCGAAAAGCGATAAACACATAGTTCCCGACGGACATAGTTGTTCGATGGTCCATTGACCTAAATTAAAGAAAACAGCAAAATCTCTCTCTCTCCCTGTCTCTCTCATGGATTTGCAAAACATACCCAAACTACAAGTAATCGATGTGATCAGTCCAGCACATTTCTGTTGACCTTGATTATACGAAGTACACGGTGTGGAAGCGGCTACGCCGAGCTGATAAATGTAATCATCGGTGATACACAACGTATTTTGAAATTTCGTCGAATAAACACAAGTGCTATTGTCACTAATGGTAGACAAAAAACATTAAACGAAAGTTTGTTTTTGACAATTCTTCTCTTACTCGCTACGTTTCTTTCGATTACTTCCTTGACAAAGACGAGGAATGCTGGCGATGAAAGTTTGATAACCTCGATTACAATTTTCAGGCGAGTCCGGATGAGATGCTTCACATTTATCTCTCGAAGCTTCCGCTTTCGCTGCGTACTCATCGGCACATTTCGAGCCACCCGATGCGAAAACCAGTAATTGCACAAATATCAGAATCAAGACAATGGTGATCTTCATCGATGAGAAAAGCGAAGTAATGTATTTGAGTAGATACTATTCTTTTTCTTCAATGGCTTATTTATAAATAAATCACCTTTGTTTTACTAGTTGCACTTTTTTCGATCTGAGCAACAATCGATTGACGTCATCAAGTATTGTATCTTTAGGATGAATTTGACGTCACCTATTTCTCATTTTCTCTATCTCTGATCAATTTTCGTGGAATAATTATGACGTTCAGATATGGAGAATCATCATGAGAAATCGAACGATTCTTTCTGAATTTTGAGGGTAGAAAATGATGTTGAAAGAGAGAAGAAATCATCCATGCGTACTATCAACAAAAGAAAATTATTTGGGCACACGTGTTTCGTACACGCAGTGTGAGAGCGTTTATTCGGCAAAAATTAACACGACGAATAAGTTTTGCTTATTCATCATTTAGAAAAGTATTCACTTCAATGGAAAACCATGACACTGAAAGACTGGTGGAAAGAAGAAATGGACAATCTCGTCCAGTGGAATTAGCAACGATCGAACTCAGTGATGTGAAAATCATAGTTGATAATGTCGATGACCCATCGGACAATTCTCTAGAGAAAAATCATCGATTAGTTGAAACGAAAAGTGGAGATCCAATTTCAATGACTACAAATATCATCAACGGTCTTAAGTTAGAATTAAGTCCCGTTGTCGGATACGCCACAGAACCTTTATTACCACTTTCGAAAGCATGTGCTCCACTGGATTCAATCGTCTACAATTTATCGCATCATATCAAAGTAGCATTGGATCAAACACCTGAAGAGCCGCCGAATGGATTAACCATCGATGAAAGTGCCGCTATTCGTCTGTATACGATGGAAGGTGAAATGCCATACCCGAGTCTCTATTGGATGCTTAATCAAGCTCTTATGGAGAATAATCGCGAGAAGCTGCGCCCCTATTTCAAATACCTCAAATTATTGTTGACTGCTCTTGTTAAATTGCCATGCAATCCACAACGGACCGTTTGGAGAGGAGTAACGAAAAATTTAAGTGCAGACTATCCTGTCGGTACTAAAATAACATGGTGGGCATTCTCATCATGTACGAATGAAATGAGTGTACTTACCAATGACATTTATTTGGGTAGTAATGGAAAGAGAACGTTGTTCTCTGTAGAAGCAATTAATAGTCGATCGATTACTGCTCATTCGAGTTTCCCCAATGAAGATGAAATTATCCTTCTGCCTGGAACACATATGGTTGTTCAATCACAATTGAGCCCGGCAATCGATCTTCATATTATTCATTTGAAACAGATCTTACCTGACACAGTTCTGTTGGAACCACCATTTAAAGGTATTCTTACCATTTTTTCATTATTCTATTTCAATTAAAAGTATTTGTTTATCTAGACGCTCATGTTTATCCCATAGTAAAGTAAGTTTTGGATCCTAGATGCTTTTCAACCTAAAACTTTGCCTTCTGTTTATCAGACGTGAATGGTATCGGAAGAAGAGATTTGCTATTCCAATCTTCCTAGCAGTTATTGTTACTATCATGGTAGTAATTCTTGGCTCTGTTTTAGGAACAAGATCTAACTTCAAACCAACAGGTACGAGTACAGCCTCAGTATCCTATACTTCAACATCGTTTTCTTTTAGTGTATGTATGTGATGCACCATTCAATGTTCCATTTGCAACACCGGATACTTATAAAATTGGGCAAAGTCCAGTTTCAGCCACCCTAGATCACTTTATGAACGGGCAAAACTTAGACATGATGATCGTTCAACAACAAGCTAACGACGTTACGATGTTAGTTAGTAACGGTGGTGGAACTTTTCACATTCCGATCTATCCAGTCGGCAGGAGTCCATACTATGTTATAACAGCTGATTTTAACCGCGATAAAATACTTGATCTGGCAGTGACAAACTCGGGTGACGGCACTGTCAGTGTTCTGCTTGGAAACGCAAACGGCACCTTCCAGAGTCAGAAAAATTATCGAGTCGGCAGTCTTCCAATGTCGATGGTATCAGCTGATTTCGATAACGACATGAAATTAGACCTGGCAGTCATCAATTCTGGCGACAACACTGTTAGTGTACTACTGGGTAATGGATACGGAACATTTCCAATTCAGACGAAGTATCCAGCCGGCAGATTACCATACTCTGTGATATCGGGTGATTTTAATAAGGATAAAAAACTTGATCTAGCAATAGCTAACTCGGCTGATGGTACCGTTAGCGTGCTGCTGGGCAACGGATATGGAAGCTTCGAAATGAAGGGTAATTATACAGTTGGTCGAAATCCATACTCTGTCATATCGAACGACTTTAATAATGATCGAAATTTGGATTTAGCAGTGGTCAGTTTTGGAGATAATACCGTCTGTATTCTGCTGGGAAATGGAGACTCAACCTTTCAAACTCCAATCAATTATACAGTGGGAAGTTTGCCACAATCGTTGATATCGGCGGATTTTAACAATGATACGAAGCTTGACCTAGCAGTAGCAAACTCTGGCGATAACACCGTTAGTGTGTTGTTGGGTAATGCAGATGGAACCTTTCAGAAGCAAGACATTTACACGTTTGGCGTTTATCCGTATTCCGTCATAGCAGCTGACTTCAACGATGATAATAAACTTGATCTCGCAGCGGCCAGCTTTGGGGACAATACAATCATTTTGCTCCTCGGCAATGGAAATGGAACATTCCAGGAACAAAATAAATATACAGTGGGCAAAAGTCCCTATTCTGTTATATCGGGTGATTTTAATAACGATAAAAAACTGGATGTAGCGGTAACCAATTCTGGTGAAGATACGGTGAGTGTGCTTCTTGGTAACGGACACGGAAGTTTCGAGACTCAGAAACATTATTCGGTTGGAAATTTGCCACAATCAGTGATATCAGCAGATTTCAACAATGATAAAAGCATTGATGTCGTAGTAACGAACTATGGCGACAACACTGTGAGTATCTTGCTTGGCAATGGAAATCGAACTTTTCATGCTCAAGATATTTATAAAGTTGGCACGAGCCCATATGCTGTCGTATCACGCGATTTTAATCGTGACAGTATACTTGATCTAGCAGTAACCAATTCAGGTGATGGCACCGTTAGTATCTTGTTGGGAAACGAAAATGGAACATTTCGGATTCTGAATAATTATACTGTTGGTAGAAGTCCATATTCCATCGTATCAGGTGACTTTAATTATGATGGGCGACTGGATTTAGCAGTAGCCAACTATCAGGACAACGCCGTCAGTGTTTTGCTGGGTTATGCAAATGGGACCTTCGGGTTACCGACGAACTACACAGTTGGCAGTCTACCATATTCTATAATAACAGCTGATTTTAACAATGACAACAGACTGGATTTGGCAGTAGCTAATTATGGAGATAATACAGTGAGTGTTTTGTTGGGCAATGCAGATGGAGTCTTCCAGGCTCACAACAATTACACAGTTGGAAGCTTGCCACAGTCGTTAATATCGGTTGATTTTAACAATGATACAAAACTCGATCTAGCCGTCGCTAACTCGGGCGATAACACCGTTAGTGTGCTGTTGGGTAATGCGGACGGAACATTTCAGGCTCAAGTCAAGGGTACGACTGGTACGGCGCCAATCTGTGTGCTCTCTGGCGATCTCAATGGTGATCAGAAACTTGATCTGATCGTTGTCAATGTCGTATCTGCTGATGTATCGATTTTTTTGAACAGATGCAAATAGATTGAGTACTTCATTTTCGAACAGATGTACTGATTGTTGATTACAAGATAATAATTATATGTTTATTTTTCGTTTGATTTAAAAAAAAATAATCTCGAGGATGAGGGTGTGGGTGAGAATGTTTGTAACAGAGAAAGCAGTACTCACACTCTCAAATGAGTTAAAATAAAATAACACCGAAACACAGCTTGAAGCAATGTCTTGAAATACAAATGTATTCTAATTGATGGTGTTGGTATTATAGTTCATCTATGGTCTTTGTCGAATCGTGATTAGATCAGTTAATGAAACGGAAAATGAAAAATTTGAAATAAAAGGTAATTCAAAAACAATGATTAGTCTTATTTTCAAAATCGTGTGAATTTGATATGATTTGATGATGCAGTATATTTGGTTGATATAACTTTATCATCACCATTAGATATTTCCTTCTCCGTTTTCATATAAGTTTGAACAGGTGATAGTTTATGAAGTATATAATATAAACCTCCACTAACGATCATACCAAGAAAAAAGTTCAATTGATACATTTTAGTAATTATAGATGGAACAGATACACCGATAGCATTAATAAAACCAGGCATATTTATTAATATTCCAACAATGTAAGCAATATATGCTCGCCAATTAATACCATATGTATAATAATATAGCCCATTACGTGATCCAGAAAAAAGTTCATTTATTTCCAGATGTTCATGTCGAACAAGATAATAATCCGAGAATATAACACCAACAATGGCACTGACAAATGTTGAATAAACTGATAGATAAGAAATAAATGATGAGGCATTTGAAAGTAAATGCCATGGACAAATACAAAGACCAACAATTGAACAAATATAACCAGATCGTCTCATATTTAAATATTTTGGACAAATAGCTGTTAAATCACAACCAGCAGAAATACTATTAGCAGCAATATTAACACCTAATTGTGCTAAACAAAACGATAAGGATATTAAGAATACACCAATGCGTGTAATTAATGATGGAACATCATTAAGAAATGTATCTAATAAATCTAATGGATTCCATATTTCTTTTCCGTAGATAACTTTTGATGATGATCCTATAATTAAACCAAGAAAACAAGTCATTGCAAATCCTACTGGAATAATAATTATTTGTGGCCAATAAATGACTGATGGTCGAATAGCATATCTTGTATAATCAGATATATTTACAATCGCTGAAACGCAACTAGATATACAACTCATAATTGCTGAAATCCATGTCCATATGCGGACATTTGATGAAACTTTTACTGATGTCAAAGTTAATTGATGAAGGATGGGTCCTATACCATTTGATTTAATAACAACCCAAATGAAAAAAAATATACCAGCAATTGGTACAATAATAGCTTTTAATGTAAACAAATGACGCATCTTTTGTGCTGGAAACCATATTGCAATATTTGATAATGACCAAAATATAATAAACCCAATAAAATCTCGCGTATTTGTACCTGATGAAATCGGAAATATATTTGGTAGATTGTTATATGAAGGTATGATAGCACGAATACAAATAACAACACATTGTCCGCCTATCCATGCTTGAACACCATACCATATACAAGCAATTACTCCTCGATTAAAAACTGGCCATAAACTACCAAAAATTCCAAATGATGCCCGTCCAATAACTGGAAATGATATATGATAAATAGCACCGATTCGACCCGAAATACAAGTAAATACGCCAATAATAAAAAAACCAAACCAAACACACATCCATGCTTCCCACCAAGATAAAACATTATCATTTCCTATGATGGCACTAATTACCATCCATGTAGCAATATTAATTGCATCTGATAACCAAAATGCAATATAATTCCAAACACCCCAATAACGTTGTTCAGCTTCAATCACTTTCAAATCATCATTTTGAAGTATAGCTTTAATACCAGTTTGATGCCTTACTGTTGGATCTGCATAGATCCATCCAGGTTTACCCATAATAACCAAATGAATAGAGAAATTTTATATATAAACAATTGGTTTTTGTTATTTTCCTAATTTATATTTTAACCTTCGAAGAATGTAATGTAAAAGATTAAATCGAATTTCTATATAATGTCAAAAGATAAAAATATTCGTCTATTTGAATAACTTCTCAATAGATCGATGTGTAGAACGAAGGAAGTGTAATATGTCATATTTTATTTTCATGAATTTATTCCTTTTGTTTTCTTAGAACACATTCGATATTTTTCTCGATTATTAGATTTTTCTGCTTTTCGGATGATGTTAAGCATATTCCTTGAATGTTAATTTTCTGCTATACTCATGTTGATTATCTAAATTCTTCTATAGAATAATGAGCCAAAAAAGGACTTTGACGAGATGTAAAAATAGAATCCAAGTTGTTATGGATGATTTCAGCAACGGAAAGCATCTAATATCAATTGTTCGCTCGAGGATTACGCGAGTCTGACTCGGCGAGCGTTACTTGTTATAAATGCTCTAAAAGATCTTGCTGAAGGCTGAGGAAAACGCATATTCTCCTTTTTTCACAAGAATTTACAGGAATTTTAACAGATCTGACCAGTCTCGGTCGTACAGTTTTGACATGGGTTGCTTCAATTGTTTGAAGTTTAAAAACGAAAAATCAGTAAGAATAAATTCGAGTGTTTGAGAAGATTGATGTGTCAATAGGCTATTTTGACCTTTACCTTCAACCTCAATATTTTTACAAGTCAAATTTACGTGAAAGACATATAAAGCGAACCAAAAAAAAGAGAGTAATTATTCGCGATAAGGAATCACCTCGACACCTGGCTCAATTCGCTGTTGACGATGCATGATCAGATATTGCACTATTGTCATAAGGATAGGAACGATAACTTTGAATGCAATAGTCAGTCCACCATAAAGACCAAAAATAGTAGTGATCATATATACTAGATTGACTTGCTCAATGATTACGTAAGTACATGAGGGAGCTGAACATGCCGCATAATAATTTTCATATGTGATATTTGATTCCCATTGATCAATCATAAGCACATCAACAAGAGATTGAACAGTAACATTATGAGATGAGAGAGTCGGGTCGAGAGGACGAAAAGTTATATTCGAAAATTTCGTGATATTCTTTAGTCTGTTAATACATGTAAGATCATAAAGACATTCAAGAGTTGATTGAAGAAGAGATTCGAGTGGATAACATCCGACAAGAAATCCAGGTACAATCCATTTATCAATGGTTGCGAGAGATGTGCACGAAGCATTGATACCACATGAACAATTTTTGTTGCCATATGATCTAGGTGCCATGGTTCCAAAATTATTCGTTTGTACTGGTTCTATATACCAGTTAGAAGAGCTGCGAGAAACATATCCATTTCCATGAGCCACATCTCGAATGAGGTCGAGTCTACGCAAAAATGTTCGTGGTACCGATAGTTGAAATTGAGCTAAAGCATTCCTCATTTGAGTATTGACAATGTTAAACGGTTCTGTTTGTTTACTAATGTACGTCTTCGAACGAAAAATAGATAAAGCGTTAGTAAATGTATCGTTAGCTAGAGTACATAAGAAAAAAAGCAATCGAAAGTGAGGTATGATAAAATACCGATAATCGTCATAACCGTAATCGATTAATTCTGAGTCACAATAAATAAGTTTAATCCATAATGAGTTGTGAACAACAAAATCACTTGAACAAACTTGATGATGACGAAGGGATATCGAGGCGAAGGTGCTATATGGAACGGAAATGTTCTTACAAGGACAATCCAATGAAGATGAATATTTTGAATCAGATGCAAGTCGTTCGAAAGTTGATTGAGAGGGAGAATCCACTTTGACAATTTGTATTCGTGTGGAAATTCCAGTATAAATAGCAAGAATTATAACAGAGAACGTAAGAAGAAAAATATAGATTCGAGTTGAAATAATTTCTCGGTGGCGACGATGAGGATCATTCCATGATACTTCACTTTCAAAAACATTTAATTCAATTGCCTTCTTTTTAACTAATCGACAGAGATCAAGGAAGCGGTGACGTGCTAAAAAAAAAGGTACAAAATTTATACTCAATGTTGATTCTTTAGATCGAAATGGAGATATTAGAAATGTAAATCTATTATTTTGTTTGAAGATGAATCCAAAGAATGAATGTCAGACAATTTTGATCGATCTGTACTTCAATAGATGTGTTTAACTATTAATCAGAAGTTAGCTTTGGCTTCTTTGTAAATAACCTTTTTTTATTTTAATCGAACTTACCTGCCATATTATTTACTTGACCTCTTGCACACTTTGTGTTTCGTATCCAATGAATGAGAAATGGAACAATAATTCTCAGAGTGCCTGAAAGGCCACCAAACAAGCCAATCATTGTAATAAACCCATAGACTGCATTGTTACGTGATGGATAAGAGTAAGAACAATGTTTTGGCGCACAGTATGTATAATATTTACTATAATCGATTTTCTCATTCCACGTCTCAATCATTATTTCGTTAATTATTTCTTGAATAAGCGTCTTAGGAGGAAATCGAGTCGAGTTCCGTTCTAATGTAGATATGTTTAGTTTGCGTGCTACCTCACTAATATTCTTCATTTGATTAACGAGAGGATTCAAACATGTTTGATCAAATATACAATCCAATGATGATTGAAAAACAGCTTTAATTGGAAAACAACCCACAAACATATTTGAAATATTAAGTATAGGTCTGAGCGGATTAACATCCAGATAATTAGTATAGTTATATAAAATCATTGATAATTTACATTCGTCGTCAAGTGCACATGAACAATTACCAAATTGCTTTGATATTGCTTGAAAATACATTGAATGTGAATGATTACGCCAAGAAGACAATTTCCAAAAGGCATCGCTTTGTCCCGTTGTATACGTAATCGATATTTGCGACTGAATAAGTGCGATGCTATGCTTCACTTCAGCTGCTGTGTTCAATACGAATTGATTGAATGAGTGTCGTGTATGAGCAGTGAATTCAGCATTAGACAAGGTTTGATCAGTGATTAATGACGATTGATTAAAAATGGATAATGCGCCCAATACAGTTGTTTTCGTAAGCTGACAAAGACTTGAAAGACTTTTAAAGTATTTATGTCCACTGATAAAAACATCTTCAACTTTGTTTATGTGCTGAGGCCAACCCGCATCTGCTATGGACTTAAACCATAAATCAGATACAAAGTCACTCGTACACACCGGATGAAAATGAGGAGAAAGTGATATAAACGAATAATGTGGAATAGCAATTTCGCTGCATGGACATTGAGTTGATTTTGTATATTTTTCTTTTAAATATTCGAAGTCGGCTATTGACGGATCGTCAACAGACCCATAGTGGATTTGATCATTTAAACAAGTAAATAGAACAATAATAAGCATTGATAAGCATAAAACAATAAGGTATGTCCAAGTCGAAATTCTTAATGTAATAAGTTCGAATGCATCAGTATGCATCGTTCGAGTCTTGAAAAGATTCAATTCGATTATCTTAATCCTTATCCAGTGCCATATTGCCCGAAGGTGTTGTGTATGTGAAATAACTAGAAAACATAATTCCGCTCGGTGAAAATTTACTAAATTTGAAAATCTTTAAATTTTGATACTCACTAGGGCGAGGTACTGTGAGCGTGTTGCGTGTTTTTTTGCGCCATTTATCAATAATAAATGGAATACACAGGCGAAGGGCGGCGCTCAGTCCTCCATATAAGCCCAAAAATTTTGTTATTACATATAATGCATTATTGTGTCGCACTGATGTGTAAGTACACAAGTTGGGAGCACACTGTGCATAATAATCGGAAAATGATTGTTCCGTTGTCCAAGCTTCGATAAATAAATTATCGACAATTGTTTCAATGGACGTGTTCGGTGTGAAGCGGGTTTGATTCGTGTCGAGAGGAGACGCGTCGGTAATATTGCTAGATGGAACAAATCTGTGTATAGTTTGGAGACATGACCAATCAAACAAACATTCAAGCGTTGACTGCAGTAGAGCATCCGCTGCGGAACATCCAACAAACATTCCACGTACATAAGATATGGGTAATAGCTGAAAATGAAAAAATGCTTCGATTTGTATCTTGCGAAGATCAAAGAAACCAGATGGTAAAGAACAAGCACCTCTTGAAGAACACGTGCATGTCAACGTAAGGTTAAGTTGAAAAAGGATATCTGCATACAGGATGGTGTGACCTATTATATTTATTATTTGAGATGTGGGTATTGCTGTTTGCAATGAATTGGCGTGGGTAGTCGTTAGCACTAGCTGAAGTACTTGAAGAAGATTTTTTTCTGTTGTTAATCTCAAAAATTTACTTTTCTCTTGAATGTAACTATTAAGATTGTCCTGTGTGAAAACAGACGGAGTAATAAGAGTTTCAGAGTCAAAATCATCGAGTGCATCATGAACTGATCTTTTAGCATGGAAACAAAGTGCAGCAAGTAATTGAAAATAACTACTAGCTAACACACGAAAATCAGCTTGGTATAACTTTCCAATATCGGAACTGAAAAAATGACGAATCCAATCACTAGTGACGAACACGCTCGAACACACAGGATGATAGGCGATCGTCGTTGAAGTAAAGTTACCATATGGAATCGTGAAACGACTGCATGGACATAATAGTTGGGTTAAATTTTTCTTGAACAACGTTTGATAATTCGCTTCAGATGGATTCCTAATTATGATAACTTCAGATTGAGTGTCCAATGAAGTGAGTGCGACAACAACAACGATGACGGCGAGCGTGAGAAGAGTCACATAGACTCGCGTGGAAATGATTGCAGTGCGTAAATGAAATTGATCTAAGCGAGTTCTTTCGTCTTCAAACAAATTCAATTGTAACACGAATGTCCGAATTCGATCAGCAATATTGACTAATGGTTGCATCATTGTTTTCCACAATCAGAATGAATTTCATTCAATTACGGTGAATCAAATATTCTTGCGTCTAAAATTAAGGAAATGATTTTTAAATCTTTACCTTATATCGCGTAGTATGGAAGACATGAGGATATAAACATGTAGCAACGATGTACTCAACGATGATATAATATTATTGTGGTCGGTAGGAAATATTCTGCTTCTGTTTGATATCATTTTTAAGGTTTTACAATTGAAAAGCTATATGTGCTAAAAAAATCGCCACGAGAAAATGCGTAACATCACATTAGCTGGGCAAAACTATTGCCTTTTAAACTCAAAATGAACGCAAATGTGTTTTAAGTAGCTGAGGTTTAGAAACTCTAAGTCACGATGTTCGGAGTTATGTAGAAAATGAAACGCCGTGTGTTTGATGAACGATATATTACAAAATGTTACCTTTTCGTCTGATTTTCTAAAATATATAAGAAGAAAAATCATAAACTCGATCTAGACTTTTCATCTGGCCCAATGAAAGAACTGTTTTTAATAGAAACTTCAAGTTTAAAATGATTTTTGCTTTACTGACGACAGCATTACGCCGATCTGCCATTTAACGCACACTAATCTTTGGCATACATTTTTATTTCAATATAATAAAAAATATTATTCTTCACATGCAGATGTTAATGTAATTCTCTTTATTATATTGTTTTCAAATTATTTTTCATGATTGATCAGTATCTAGATACATCTGTTGTCTCTGTTAACTAACATAATTCAACTTACATCTGCTTCATTAAATCTCATAAACAGCATTTTATTTCCTTTTCCTTCTCTTTTGATCGATAATCTAATCCGTTTTGCTGAATAAATGTTTATACGTTCTATATACTAGTAACGTTCGTCGAGGCAGACTCGCTATGCCCTCGACTGAACCACTGACTGAAAATAAAATAGTCTTATGTGCGTTTTATGCAAAAAAAGACAGACGTATAACCTTTGAAAGGGTCCCCAGAGACTGATCTTCATTCGCCTCACAATTTTCAACAGAGTCAAAGGACTACTTGTGTTGCTTTTAATTATTCTATATTCCTGACTGACAATTACTCTTCACAGGAAGCAGAAGTTCACTATAAATGGCTATTATGGATTTGCACCTTTGAACATGCCCTCCTTTTTCTGGAAGAAAGATAATTTCGGTAAGACCAAATGAGACTCTGTATATATTTCGCATTCGACCGTGTCGGATTGTTGATACTTTGGTAACTGGCTAGATTATCAGGCGCAGCTCCATAGCTGTCCCTATCTATCATATAATTACCCGTGTGCTACTAAAAAGTATCGAAAATTAATTACCATTCCATCAGCATGTCATAGATAAAATTATCCGCGTCCAAACATTTAAGGCTATCTCCTTAATTAAAAGGCTTAAAGGCCTACAATAACTTTCAATATATCGAAGGTCAGCATTTAAGATTGCTCTCCAGTATGTACCTTGTGAATGAATACATTTTTGGATTACTGGCCTTTAGTATGCGACAGTCAACCGAGTGTGTATTTACTTTTTCGTAATCAACTCTTCTATGTAGCCGCCCTCTCAGGCGCGGTTGAAGTGTTTTCTTCATTTCTGTCACGTCCCTGTCCCTTCACTCGTCATCCAGCCAACCTCGAAAGCCTCAGGATCCCTCCCAAACGATGTTTCATGAAGTTGTGAGTATTTTCAAAAAAATGTTTTTTTGACCCTGACACAAACAGACAAACTTTTTTCATATGATCCTCCTTTCAGTCGAGGGAATTTATTTTTGATAACTTTCTCTTTTCTCGTATTAGACTCTTACAAATGTTTCAAAGCTAGGTAGCAACAATTATGTTGATTGTTAAAAACAATTAAAAAAATTGCTTTAGCTATGTAGTTTCGTTCAACTTCTCAAACATTTTATAAGTTTCTTTTGGATTACATACTTGGTGAAGTAAAGAAAAAGATCTCGTTTGACATTAGCTGTTTTTCTTTGAAAAAATATATCAGTTAAATGAAACCATATGTTTAGCAGAATTAAATCATGGGATATAAACAGATGTTAGTCCATTTTTCCCTTTTCTCAAAAAAAGGGTCATAGCCGCGTTAAAAATCGTTAAAAATTTGTTTGCTTGCTTGTCCAAGCCAATCAGAAATGATGATTTCTTAAATCATCGAAATTTACCCTCTATCAACTAGAGACCGACTAGTAGATAGGTAATTGAGGTTGGGGAAGTCGAATCCGCTATTAGTTTTTAAGATTTCAATTAGTTAATTAGATAGATAGATAGATAGCTTTATTCAATCAAAGTTTAACATTAATGAAAGCACTTCAGCCGTTTTTTCCCTATATGTCACTCGGTTTCTCGCGAGTTGATGCCAGTTGTTCCCCAACTTGTCCTTCATGAGTTTGCGCCATCGATCTGCAGGTCTTCCTCGCGGTCGTCGGAAGTTGTATGGCCACCAGAAAGTCGTGCGGTTGGTCCATCTGTTATCTTCTCTCCGTACTACATGACCTGCCCATTGAAGCTTCCGTTTAACTGCATCTATGTATGCGTCTTTGAATTGAGTTCGTTGACGGATGGTGGTATTTGGAATTTTCTGGACCAGTTTGATGCCGAGCACCCGCCGTTCCATTGCTCGTTGCGTCGTTTGTAGCTTTTGTTTTTCAATATCTCGCATAGTCCACACCTCGCAGCCGTAATTAAGTGCTGGTAGAACCATCGAGTTGAATAGATGAGCTCGTAGCTTGAGGTCTTTCGTCTTTTTCAACACGTCTTCGATGTTTTTAAAACTAAGCCACGCCGCACTGCGTCGTCTTCGGATCTCTTCGTCGATTTTGTGGTCAAAGGTTATCATTTGGCCGAGATATGTATACTTGTCGACGAACAGAATAGTGTCACCGTCCAAGGTAACCGTCCCCATGGCGCATTGATCGTTCTTCATTACTTGGGTTTTGGCCCGATTAATTCGAAGACCGACTTTGGCGCTTGCTTCGTTTAGTTCTTTTAGCATTTCTCCCGCGATGTTGACGTCATGGGCGAAGAGGATGATGTCGTCGGCGAAACGAAGGTGGTTGAGCGGCTCTCCATCGACCATGATACCTCTCCTTTCCCAGTTAATTTTTCGGAAAACGTCTTCGAGAGCAGCATTGAACAACTTCGGAGAGATGGTGTCACCTTGCCGCACACCTCGTTTGACTGGGATCACGATGTCGTTGTGGAACAATCGAATTGACGTTGAGCAGTCGGTGTTGGTATTTAGGAGCGTTCGAATATACTTCTTTGATATGTTCTGTCGAACCAAAGCATTGATAACGGCATTGATCTCAATGGAGTCGAACGCCTTCTCGTAGTCCACGAAAACCATGCACATCGGGATCTTGCACTCTCGAGTTCGTTCCAATACTTGGTTTACAACTTGAAGGTGGTCGGTCGTCGAGAAACCACTTCGGAAACCTGCTTGTTCGCATGGTTGTTGCTCGTCTAATTGTCGAGTCATTCGATTTACCAGCACTTTGGTGAAAGCCTTGTAGATCGTTGGCAGAAGCGCGATAGGTCGGTAGTTCTTCAAATCTTCACGATCACCCTTTTTCGGGATGATGATAGTTGTCGACTTCTTCCATTGGGTCGGTACATTTTCGCTTTCCAAGCATTCATTGAATAGCTTGGTCAATACCTTCCACAATTCGTACCCACCCTTCTTCAGTGCCTCGTTCGTGATGCCATCAGGACCAGGTGCTTTATCGGCTTTGAGACTTAACACAGCTGCTTGAACTTCGGAGACGAGAATCGGAGGTACGTCTTCTTCTACGCCACGGTCTTCATCTAGTGGTACTGCCTTCTTCGACGCGAATAGCGATGTGTAAAAATCTTGTACTCGACGTTCCATTTCAAAGCGTTTGGTGAGACGTGTTCCATCTTCGGCCTTCAATGCACTCATCGTAGCGATCTGTTGACGCAAATCTCGTTTGCACTTTTTCAGACTTCGGTGTTCTTCGATGGTTTTCAATAAACGCTCGGTTCGGAACTTTTCATGGTCTTCACGGATCTTCTTTCGGATCAATTTGCTGAGCTCGACGAATTTGACTGGATTCGCATGTCGGTTCATGCATTTTCTCTCCAGCAGGAGTTTATTCGTCATTTCGGAGAAGCGGGATTGTCTCGGCTTCTTCGTAGAAGCAGCGTCAACGCATGTTTTCAGTTGTCGTTTAATCTTGATGAACTTCGTAGTTAGCGAGCCACTTGTCTTCCAATCATTTTCGGCAATGTTTCTTTGTAGAAGGTCTTCATTTATGGTTTGTCTGGATTTCATCATTTGTGGTCTTTGTTTTTTTATTTCGATATTTAGTGTGAATCGTACTGGGCGATGGTCGCTACTAATGTCGAGTCGGCTGAGAAATTCGACGTTCGTAACCATGAGTCGATCAGTACATAACCCAAAGTCAATTTCGTGTCTTGACTTGTTAATGTTCGTTGATTCAAATGTCCACCGTTTATTTGGGGCTTTCTGGAAGAACGTGTTGATTAAAAAGAGCTTGTTCGCTTCCGCAAATTCAGCCAGTAGTTCTCCAGTTTCGTTGTTGTTGTCCCAGCTGCCACTTGTGAACTTACCCAAGTATTTCTGGTTGATGTTTCTCGCTCCCAATTGAGCGTTAAAATCACCCATAACGATCTTTTGGTATGCAGGTTGGTCTAAATGTGTTTCTACTTCGGAATAGAAGTTTTCAATCTCATCCATGCCGTATTCCTTGTGGGGGGCATAAATTTGTATGATCAGGAGCGGTGATTTTCTTCCGATGTCGAGCTTGAGTGTTGCGATTCGGTGCGAGTGTACTTGGACCTCGATCACACGGTTGGCGATTCGGCTGTTGATAATGAATCCAACCCCACCGACACTTTGTTGGCCAATTCCTTCACCAATGATGAGTTCGTCTCCTGTTTGGACCCATTTCGTTCGACTTTCAACTTTGGCACGTGTTTCGCAGAGACCAATGACGTCGTACTTAAACTTTGCAAGCTGGTTCATGAGGAGGTCCTTCGTTGGGGCGTCTTTCAGTCCATATTTGCAGTTGAATGTTAAGATGTGTAACCGGTTTTGGGCACTTCCTTTGCTTCGGCGGTTTTGTTCTGCAAGTCCCTTCGGGGATCTGTTCGTCCTAGTGCCCAAGGAACGTCTTCTCCCGTCTACGCCGGTTGGGACTCTCGAATTTGGCTGAGTAGTTGCAAATTTAATTTCATCCGTGCGGGTTGCAAGCCCTGGCGAGCTACCCTCCTCCTTTTTCAGCCGGGCTTGGGACCGTCCTTGGCGGAGTTTTAGTTAATTAGCTAATTACTAATTAAGGAATAGAATGTGTGATATAGTGATGTCACGATTCATGACTCATGGGATGTGACATCTCCCTCCTATAGATGTCCTCGATGTCTTGTCTTCTTTGGACATATCCTAACGGGATATTCACAGGATATTTCCCATGTCTAGTCATATATACAGTCACAGTTCTTTCTATGTTATTCGGTTCAGTTGTCCGTTTATTTCCAAATAAGCTCGTACACACTTCAAGACATGACTGAATGTTTTTTTCGTGGCCGAGTACGAGTAAGGTATGACTCAAGGATAATCATCGGTGTGAAGCTAGCACGACGGAGTTAGCACGAACAAATGATATGTTAGGTAAGAACGTTTTTACTAAATATGTCTCGTTCATGAAAACTACACCATTCGACTCAGAATTTAATTCTGCGTCGAATGATGGCACTTTTATTTACCAGACAAACTTCGGAAAAATTTTTATCTATATCTTTGTTCGTGCTAACTCCGTCGTGCTAGCTTCACACCGATTTTCAATAATTGGTGGGCACCTAGAAATTGGATCAAGTCGCAATGATACACAATAAAAAGGTATGGACATAAGCTACTACCTTGCGGTGATCCTATGTTAATATTAAATTTTCCTGATTTATTCTCTCCTAGATTAATATATGCTTGTTGACAGTTTAACCAGGATACAATCAGCGTGAGCAAGTTTATAGGAATTCCCAGATCTCGAAGTTTTACTATTAAGCCATCATGTCATACTTTGTCGTAGGCTTCTTAATAGTCAGCAAGTGTAGGCATATTCGCTGCTAGGTTATTTTTAATCTCTTGGAAAATCGATAAGACTCGCGTAGGTAAGAGACCTCCTGGTCTAAAGCCCACTCTCTGGTTCTATTTAACAAGAATTTTTCGAAAATTTTTGAATTTGTTGGCAATAAGGAAATGGATCATGTTCGATCGGTTCGCGGGATTCCTCCTCTCAGTTTGTTCAATGTTACAATTTTTGCCGTTTTCCAGACCTCAGGGAATCGGTATTCTTTAATCCATGTATTAAAACATGAGATTCGACGTTGAATGTAGCCTGGATAGAGAAGTTTAAGTATATAGTTAGATATCTCAAGTTGGACTTTCATCCATTTGTGGTGATTTATCATCATTGCCGTCTGGTTTAACTATAATAGCACTATCTATATGAGAATTTTGTTTCTCTTCTTCGTTCAGTTCATTGACATCCATATCGATAGCATCATTATCATCATCATTATTTTTATTTTGATTGATAGGTGAACCTTCTGCCATGAATTCGTCACCACTCGAACTTTCATTATCATTGACTTCTTGGATGTAACCAACAAATTCGATTATGAACCGCATCATAATGAGAAATCAAAAAATTCGAAAGCTGCATAGACACAGGCTTGATTCCTTTCGGCATACGTGTAAATTTCTCATGATTTATCGGATTTTCACAATATTTTTGTCTTGGCATCGAGATAAAATTTTGGAAAAATGAGGTACTTTCTCGAATATTCATCGTATGATAAAATCAAGTCCACCGTACAAAAATTAATCGAGATTTTATTTGTCGAACAGTATAGTTTAATGATCGTTATTATAAGTTCTATTATGATAAATGTCTACCTTGAGAATATCATTTGGTATTAATTAAGAATTTTCGATTTATTTATATAGTCACAACAACCATTCATATTTTTGGCGGCTTAATCAAAGTAACTGCCGCAGGAACACCTTTCATTATTAAGATTTCTTATAAACGTATCCGATATTTTCAATACAAGAGATTTCTTAATGATAAGGATGAGGATAAGCATCTGATATTCTTGTCCTGACTGATACCCTCACTTATCGTAAAAATTCTGTTTTAAAAACACTTCTTGTTCATGCCGACGCATAGATAAAAATATGCAAAATATTGAGAGATTGATTAGTCTGATCCGCCCGTTACATATACTTTTCAGTAGATTTTTACTATTTTGCACAGATTTTCGAGTCAATGCAATATTAACCACTACTTAACCCTTTCCAGCCGGCTCCTAGAAACACTTAAGAAAAAAAATCTTGCTCAGCATATTTTTTCTTGTTGAGTGATGGACATGATAATATTTCACTATGAGGTACGATAAATCAGTATATAACAGAACGCGAAGATGTTGCCAAATGGCAACAACCGGCCGCAAGGGGTCAAGAGGTGAGAAAAATTTTTCTTATGCAAAAGTTTCGGTATCATGTAGCACCCGGTATTACGACAACGCCCTTTAGTTGTTGTCTTAGGCCAGTGCTGGAATCCGTCTCGACGTGTCTTCGTTGATGGAAGTTGAGTAGCCGTAGCTCGTCGTTGATTAGATCGACTTGTTTCTTCTGAGCGATGGCGTGCAACTGGTCGCCCTCGCTGGACTGGACGTTCAGGTACTACTGGTTTCGTTAAAGCGTCAGCGACTGCCATCCTAAATTGTAGTAAAGTAAGAATTTTATTTTTTGGTAATCGACGTTGATCACAATGACGACGATATAATAGCCAGCCATTAACAATGGATAGATCGATCAGATGAAAGATGATTTTAATATAATATTTTTGAGAACGAACATTTATTCTATATAATGATATGAGCATGTCATGTAAATCCACACCACCCATGAATTGATTGTAAGACTTGATTACATTTGGACGTGGAACTTCAATGTGTTTTTTCTCTGATGCAGACCATCGTTTGACTACATCCTGTGATTCACAGCCGTGCAACGTAGAAAGACAGTTAACCACGTTGTTGTCGAGCCATCTAGTAGCGCATAAAACAACGTCGTCCACTAAAACAATACGCTCGTCCATGGCACCTCGACCTTCCTGTTCTAATGTTTTAGCATCCTTCATCACGAGGTTTGACAAGCGGTTTGTTCGAATAGTACCGACCGAATAAATTCCTAGTTTGTGTAGTTCAACTTCCAGCCGAATTGTTGTAAAGTAATTATCGAAATAGAGTTTGTAATTTTTCATTCGTGGAATAGTTTCACTTAATTGCAATACTATATCTGTGCAAAATCCATGTTGTGTTCCATTGGCTTTGCCTGTGTAAAAAGCAAAATCGTAGCAAATACCGCTTTGGCCACCCGCAAGTAAGTACATCTTGTAGCCCCATCGATTAGGTTTGTTCGGCATATGCTGTTTCATTATGCTTTTACCTTTGAAAGGTATTATTTGTTCATCGACGCTCAGATGTTCCTCTTTCGGAATTTGTCGAAAACTTTCTCTGACAATGTTCAGTAAAGGTCGAACCTTGAATGCTCGATCAAAATTAGGATCGTTTCGATCTGGTTGATTCGTATTATCAACGACATGAAGAAATTTCTTTATTTGAAGGAATCGATCTCGGCTCATCGCCGAAGCAATTGATGGAATACGTGTACCATTTGTCCAATAGAATCGTTGTTGTGGAAAACCATATACTCCAGTCATGATAAGAATGCCGATAAATTGGCGGATTTCGGTGTCGGAAATATTGACAGGTCGGTTTGGATTAATTTGCACAGAATATAGATTGGATTGATTCTTCAAAATATCGATTGAATCTTTACCAAACATCGAGTAGAAATAATCGACTGGTTCGAATTCAGAATTGGTCGGTAGTGGTATGTTTTCGCTGAACGTTGCTGAAGGAGCTGTGAATGGTCTTTTAATCCAATGCAGCGTTTTCTTTCTTTTGGATTTCGATTTGGATGTTGCTACTTGAAATCCCTCTTCACTGTCAGTATCGCTACTTTCATATGACGAAGAACTAGAATCCATTACGAGTTGATTCTTCAAAACATCCTGAATTTGCTGTATTTCATCTTCTGATGCTGATGTATCAACGTCTTCACTTGTACCATCCGGTACGACAGTGTGGTTTTTACGAATTCGTTTCTTAGGCATGTCTAAAAGTCAACGGTATCAAGATTCTCGACACTTCTTTCGATCGTAATGGTAGCTCACGTTATTTTCAATACATTTGAAACAAAGTTCGGTGCAAAGGCGAGTTTTTACAGTATTGATGCTGACTTTGACAGATGAAATTGACAGATCCAACGGTTCTTCATCAAACTATAGTGAAAGGCTGACTTACTGGCCAGTGAAACTATATTTCGCCAGATGGCGCATGTGCGCTGTAGAAGATGTTTAGATCGGCACAGAATTTTCTATTGTTTTTCGATTCAATATTTTAGAATTGTTGGTTAATGACTATATATAAATCATCTCCTATTTGATTTTCATTCTCAATATGTACTATTTCCACGATCAATAGAGCTACCACACACTCTTAATTTACTATTTAGAATTGATGATATGTCGTAGTGATTGAATAACATCGCCAAACCTTTGTAATTACTTTGGAGAATTTTGACCCTTTACAGCCGGGAGTTGCCAAAAGGCATCATTTTCCTTTTTTTAATATTATATACTAATAAAAGCCCATTATTAATGGCACTTCATACAGATGATAGAGTGAGATAATTTTTAGAATCATTAATTAATATGTTCAATTTTCATAAGTTATCCAGAAACGACAGTTTTAATAAAAATACTCTTCCATGCGAATTAGTATGTGTTGTATTATTTTCCGAATATCACACGCATTCATATCGAATGACAGACAGGTGAATTGTGTTATATATACCTTTAATTATCGTAGTGTACAAATAGGGATCAGCAGTAGTTTGAGAGAACTATCGATAAAACATCATCTCAATGTTGCCATTTGGCAACATCCGGCTGGAAAGGGTTAACAATCATCAATAAAAACGAATGCTCAGTAAAAATGACTAAACCGTATAACCCTTTACGTTTATTTTTTTGCACCATATCGATCAAAAAATGGAAAGAAAGGACAAAATCGTGCATTGCAGTCTAATGAAAAAACGTCCTCGATAGTTACTTATGCGTATCCATGTTATTCGTGTTTGTGTCAATTGCTCCATTCTCGTATTCATCTAAACATACACATATATACACGGCTTGAGGAAGAAACAAGTAATATCATTCAGTATACATACGCAACACGGCTTTCTAACAAAATTTACTAGACAATCTTCAATATCTTCCAACATTAAATAAAACGTAAGTTCACATAACGCAACACTTCAGAACTTGAAATAGATGTTTATATTATCCTGAAAACTAACTATTGGAGTCCATGTCAAAGCAGCTTTTCCAATTGGGCTATGTTTTGTCTTATAATCTGATTCTAACTAAGCATCTTAGTGTCGCGCATTTTCTTCTTATTGATTTGTATCTACCCAGGTCAACAAATCCGATGCTGGATCCGATCGGATCTTACCAGATCCGACCATCCGACAAAATCCGATCGGATTCCGGGAAACGGAATTGCATTGGAATCCGACTAGAAAAATCCCGTCGGTTGTTGCAAATTTTATGAGCGATCTTTCTAGCTATATTGTATGATGAGTCTTAGAAGATCGAGGNGTGGGCAAACGATAAGATTGGGCTGATTAGTAGATCAGACTTACCAGATGAGCACAGAGAAATAATTCTTACTCGTCTTAGAGCTCTCACAGTTTTCGTTTGGCGTGCATGGTGGTTATTCAAGCACGCTGCCTGATCTACACTATCAAAGAGAACATGAAAGAGATAGCCTACGATTTGAAGAACATCCGACCGGCGATACTTTTAAACCTGAAAACGCTGTCTTTTATCAAAATACATTATTGTTGTGCCTGCGATTTTCAGGATGGGGCCTTGCCCAACTAGCTACTGATCTCGATCCACCGACTGACGAGGCCGGCTGTACAGGTACACATATGTTGCAGCCATCCGATGGTGAAGGATGCCGTCTGAACAGAGCTCTCGTCTGGCAAAAGCATACCGATGACTTTAGGATATTGTGCCGGAAATCAGAGTCAATTGTGTCGATATCAGTTTGATGGTTGCAGGTTCGAATACCGCAGTTGGTTACACACCTTTGCAAGTATTGAATAGTAAGGGTGCGGTACAAACAAGTGGTGTTCAAAATGTGCTCAGCATCAATGACTTGTCTGGGTTACAAGGACTAAAACCTTTTGATGTCACCGGCGATCCAAGTAAAAAGGTGCGTATTGATCTTCTGGAGAAGAATGGCTTCAAGCCTTTGCTGCTCGGCGAAAATCATCTCGTATGGAAAGATGGTGAACCAATCGATCCTTTCGTTCTGGCTGTCTTGGTCGATGGTAGTGATCAAAAGCAGCAGCCGACACTTCTATGTAGTCGTGAAATCTACAATGAAAACAAACGTCTGATTAAAATGACACCGTATCGCCGGTTACGTTGCGGTCGAGCACCATTCGATTTTGATGGCGTGCAAAATATTCCAAAATGGGCAACACAAAACTTCTCGAAGAAAGCAGCCGAACTAATTAGCAGTCAAGAATATCCGAAAAACTATCTTATTACACGAGTGCTTCACCTTCAACAAGCGCTCGAATCCACAATCGATAAGGCTACCAAAGCCACAAAGATGTAAATAATACGTCTCCTTAGCTGATCGAATGAGAAAGATAGCATCTGATCCAACAAAAACTTTATATCAAAGGCTTCTTTATTTACTACATTATGGTCATTCGATCAGCGGTATACCGAATTCTCCAAACACGACACCTATACTCGACGTCATACAGAAATATACGGATCTTTCATGTGGTATTACTGCTAGCAACAACAGAAACGAAACAAATTCAAGATGGTTAATCAAGTATACTTCAGGTATAGTGGACGTTGATGCACTCTCCGACTTTATTTTCGGTGAACTTTACATACCGCTGACATTGCTAGTACTCCGAATCAGCCCATTCAATTATTTCACAGTTGGACATTCAACAAGGGCATCTACGACGCACTAAAAGATTTTTCTCTCGATTTCTTTCGCGCTTTGTGGTCTGATGATTACACTTATGGTCGAATGTAACAATACTCGTAGTTTGCAGATCGATGCTCAGCAGAAACTTATCGAAACAGTAAGTTAATTAAAATAAAAAATGCTCTATTGCGGAAATTAAAAGAAGTTTCATTGAGTTCTAAATGTATTTTTCAAACTTTAAATGCATCAATTTTATATAAATTTATTTCTTCACGATATTCCGTATATTTTAGCTAAATAATTCTACGAAGAAACAGCCAAGCAGTTCGTCGCAAGGCTATGAATACACGCAGGTGGGCTTCACCGACATTTACGTGGAACATTAGTTTCGTTGCAAAAATGGAAAAAGCAATAGTGAGTATGGCAATCTTCTTTACGAATCAAACTGTTCAAGCGGATGCTGCCTTTCAAAAATTTCTGCTGCCGTCGGCGGATGATTAGCCTATATCATATTGGAGCGTTCGTAATAAGGAACTGATGACGTTGATCATTATTCTCATTTGTTCGTTCACATTCTTTTAAGAGCTAATTTTTGTCTGAGTTTCAATTAGACTTTGTCTAGGGATAATATTATGCATCGAAGTTTTAATTTTAGGATAATAACGGACAGGCCATAACGAGTGTCCCTCTCAGTACTTCGCATTTTTCTCACGTATGGCCCAGGTTAAAAAACTTTTCTTTTTGTAGAAAGATTCCTCGCCAAATTCTCTACAAAGCATAGAAACAAAACTAGACAAAGATTATTTTATACATATGAAATTCTCAACTTTCCAAGTTACGATACATCTTACCGATAGATTATGTTTGTATGGTTTTTACTATTGCTAATAGTGTTTATTTTCACATCGAATTAGACCCTAAGGTGCAGCGTGGAATGTTCTCCAACTTACAATAAAAGTATAATTACATAAATATGCATTTTATTGTTAAAAATGAACAGAATCACGCACTACACATTTCTGATTGTATGAATCAAATCTTCTGTTCTTTGCATTGGATCCTGCTTATTATAAGAACGAACGAAACATAAACTGTTCGTTACCAATTGTAGAGCTTTTCATGCTGCACCTTCTTATATATTTTGATTTTTGAAATAAACAATATCAAGCGTAACAATTCTATTAAAAGAATAGACGTTAACTTTGAAAGCTGAGGATTTCATATGTATAAAATAATCTTTGTCTAGTTTTCTTTCTTCGCTTGGTGGGAATTTGGCGAGAAATCTTTCTATAAAAAGAAAAGCTTCTTTTAATCTGAATCGCAGGTTAAAAAAATGCGAAATACTAAGCGGGACATTCTTTATGGTCCACCCGTTATATATAACAGCTTCGATGACATTCATCTATTTTCTTTTCAAAAATATCTTATAAAAATAGTTGACATCCTTCTTTGATTGTTGGTATACATTAAGATACTTTCTTGACAAGATGGAAAATCTTTTATATATTTGAAAACTAAAAAAAGCGTTCTGGTATATCAAGCGTAAGAAAACTATCTTTGTGAAAATTCTATGAGCTTAGATACGTTCGCTATGTGTTTCAGTGTTACAAGAATCATGTCATTTTTTATATATTTCGTCTCACTGATTTGCTCACTTCAATTATACGTTGTGAAATCTACATACGCAATAAGCTAAGCGAGTGGATCAGTAATATTCATTTATCTTCCAATTCTGGGAAAAGGAACATTTAATTAGTAGTTTAGCTCACCCTCTTTCTACACCAGATTTTAGGAAAGAATAAAAAAGTCTGCTTGATTTATTTTATTTTTAATATTATAATCAAGTCAGATAATAAGCACTTTCGGAAAAAGATACGCATGTTAAAGCAAACCAGAATCTGCTAGTTCATTTATAAATAGAAAATGGCTAGACTGTTGAGAATAATCTTAGTAATTGATAAGAAAATTAGTTGATTATTCGTAAATTAGTTTTAGATTACAATAAAACTGTGCAGCCACTTTTAAAAATTCGCTCGAGTACTTCGACAATCGCAATAAGATTACTTTGTATGACATAGGATATGAATATTTGATAATAAATCTTTACGACACAACAAGTTTATATTATTTATGATTCAAATAAATTTAACAGACAAGAAAATGTCAAGGTATATTTTCTCAGATTCTTACACTTTGCCTGCTTCATAAAAACGAAAATATACCTAAAGGGATGAATTAGCTTTTTTGCACAACTATCGTTCAACACCATTTTTGAGTGCAGTCATTTTTACAGAACACAACGACTGGAGAGAAGTTCTTTATTTTCAAATCGATAAAAGTAAAACGAATGTTACTTTTATCCCATACTCGTTTCACTTGTATCTCGAACGAGTTTCTTTTCTCTCAAGCAGTTCATTTTCGCCCCCAGAGACATTTTGATTAATGTTGTTTGAGGATCAAAGGTTTCTTTTTGATAAAATCTAAATCGTTGCTAAAGATATCCTAGATAGCAATCAATACATACGATGAGTTCATGGTCAAACATTACTGTAATGTTTATACGTTATGGAGGTATACCAATTTTATGCGTTAGTTTATTCGGTTGTATAATGAATGCAATTATATTTTCAAGTGGACAGTTGTATCGTACCAAGCCATGTACATTCTTTTTGATGATAGCAGCAATTTCTTCGTCTATTCAGTTAATATGTGCAACATTATCGCGTATTCTGGCATATGGTTTCAGCAACGATTTAACGGTTTTATCATTACCATGGTGTAAAATAAAGCAACATTTTGTTGCTACGTGTTATGGCATATCGGTGACATGCTTTTGGTTGGCAACTCTTGACCAGTTTTTAATCACATGACGATCAGCTTTTCTACGACAATTAAGCAAGATGAAGTGGGCTCATCGTATCGCTACTGCCGTCATTATTTTCTGGGTGCTACAAGATGTGCCCTTCTTCATCTTTGTCGACATCCGGTTAGTTAAAATTTGAGTATTATTTCTACTTTCAGTTCCGAAATTTTATATCAACAGAAAAGCATGCGGGAAAATTTTGATTCTAGTGTATCATATTTGTCTAATATCCTTCTTTTTCATGTATAGTTCAAATGTTTGCGGTATCTACAATTCATTTTGGCAAGCTTACTACACTTACGTTTGTTTTTGGTTTTTATACATGGCAATTCCGATCACCATAATGATGATATTTGGTATACTTGCATATCGAAATTTACGTGGTTTGACAAGTGTACAGTTGCAAGGTGCTGACCAACAACTTACCTTGATCATCTGCGGACAAATTTCTATGATTATTATTACTGTTCTACCAACATGTATTCAAAACGCTTACGCACAAATAACAGTCACTGTGAACAAAAGTGCTGAACAGAAGAATTTAGAGTTTTTCATTGCAAATATCATTAGCTTTTTAGCGGCTATTGGACTTGGAGTGAGTAAAATATGTTTTTATTCATTATTTTGTGAACTATTCTGTTCGCTCTCACAGGGTACTTTCTATATATTTCTTGTGATTTCAAGCACTTTCCGTCGGCAATGTAAACGATGTTTATTTCACTTTTGTCTAAATAAAAATGCTACTGTAGCACCTATAAATAATAGTACAAGTGCTAAGCAACGTACAAAAAACTAACTTTGTTTGATGTAACCAATGAAATGTTTCAGTTATTCGCTTATGGGAATTTCCTCTTCTTCGTTTCCTTCCCTTTTTTGTATATAAGTATTTGCATCCTTATAAATAAATCATTAATTTCTAACTATCAAACGATATTCTTTCGATTATACAAGAATCGACCTAATGACACTAAAGAGATGTGATGGGACATGCTCAGTCCTTTATCCCTGACCAATATATCGAGTATATAACGTGTGGGACACAAGTTTTGCATTATTTTTGCTTTTGGTATTATTTGACAACGGAAAATAGTAGAAGTTTGAATTTTTTCTTGTTAGAAAAAGTGACGTTTGTAGTGCAGAAATATATAGAAAAATCTAACTGACAAAGCTTCAGGAGGACTGCAAAAGTTTCAGAACACTAGAGAGTTAAAAATGCTTCTACAACTTTTGGCATTTTTTGTACCAGAAAAAAGATAGTTTTAGTCTAACTGTTCTTTTGGATATGGAAATGGTTCATTTTCTAATAAAATAATATATCCAGTTGGTACTCTTCCACTTTCTGTCGCTATAGGTTATATCAATAAACGACTTGATGCTACTGTAGCAAATTCAGGTGAAAGTTCCATATAGCTACAATGTTTGGTTGTTCAAATTTAGTCTTTTGAAAACAAACAACTCGTTTAACTGGTAACAATTCTCGATCACAATCATTTGTTATCGATGATTTTAACAATGATAATCATAGTGATGTTGTTGTAGCGAACACAGGCACTGATAATATTGCCGTTTTTCTTGACCGCGGCGATGGTTCATTTGCAAATCGAACAACATATTCAACTGGTTCATCTTCATCTCCGTATTCTCTCTCTGTAGAATATTTTAATAAAGATGCATATCTCGACATAATTGTTGCTAATTATAATAATAATAAAGTTGGCGTTTTTCTAGGACGTAGTAATGGAATATTTGATATCGTTATGCTTTATTCAATGTCATATGGATCTCATCCATCGTCACTTGTTGTTGCCGATTTTAGCCGCGATAGAAAGATGGATTTTGGTGTAATAAATAATGGTACTGACAGTTTTAGCATTTACTTACAAACTTGCTAATTGAACAACTTTTTTTTGTCTATCTTCTATTTGTTCAAAGATCTTCCGATTAAGAGCAATTTTAGTGGATGAAAATAACTCAACAAAAAAACAATAAGATATCATTTTCGACGCTAAAAAATCCGTGTCGATGAATATTTCTTTATGACGTCATAGATGACGTCAATTCATTGTTCGATGCGCAGTGCAATAAGTAAAAGAAAGAATATTATTTATAAGTAAATCATCAATAAGTGAGATGATTTCATTTGTTTTTATGTGAAAAATTGTGATATTTTCAGTTGGTAAAGATGGAAATTGCGATTCTTCTGGTTTTATCTGCGATGTTGGTGCAAATGGGATCGTTGGCAACGGATGTTTCGTTTGAAAATTGTGAAAATGCATTTTTCGATATGAGTGCGAGAGCGAAAGAAACTGGTTGCTTGGAAATTGGAGAACAAGGAGCGAGATTTTGTTTTCTTGGGGAACAAGTGACGAAGAGATCTGCTCGTTCTCTCTGTTTGAACCGAAAAAAACGAAGCGAGTAAGAGAAAACTTCGAAATTATTCTTTTCAAAATATCTTCGTTGACAGTGAAAGTGAAAACACCGATTGTCAACATTCAGAAAGTCCAGATGGAACATTATGCGTCACTCCGGACTTCATCTATCAACTCGGCGAAGCTTCTGCTGAGAATTGCACAAAGATTAACAATAACAAACAAAAATGCGTTGGACATTCGGTAATTATCACTTGCAATGATAGTATGTTCGAAAAATCTCGATATTCCTCGTCAAAATGCATCATTTCCTAGGTCAATGGACAATCACACAAGTTTGTAACAAAGGAACAAAATGTCAACAACGACCAAAGTCAAATTCGAATGCCTTCTGTGCACCGAAAAATTAGAACAGAGGAGAACATTGATCATTTTGATTTTTAAATAAAAAGGCCTAACTAATTTATTTATTATTTGCTGAAATTTTATAGAAAAATACATTTAGTTCTTCTGTTGAAGCAACGTTAATGGACTTAACAATCCACAGACGATATTTTTAATCAATCCGAAAAGCGATAAACACATAGTTCCCGACGGACACAGTTGTTCGATGGTCCATTGACCTAAATTAAAGGAAACAGCAAAATCTCTCTCGCCCTGTTTCTCTTTGATTTGCAAAACATACCCAAACTACAAGTAATCGATGTGATCAGTCCAGCACATTTCTGTTGACCTTGATTATACGAAGTACACGGTGTGGAAGCGGCTACGCCGAGTTGATAAATGTAATCATCAGTGATACACAACGTATTTTGAAATTTCGTCGAATAAACACAAGTGCTATTGTCGTTACTAGTGCGCGAAAAAATATCAAATGAAAGTTTGTTTTTTGAAAATTCTTCTCTTACTCGCTGCGTTTCCTTCGATTACTTCCTTGACAAAGACGAGGAATACTGGCGATAAAAGTTTGATAACCTCGATTACAATTTTCAGGCGAGTCAGGGTGAGATGCTTCACATTTATCTCTTGAAGCTTCCGCTTTCGCTGCGTACTCATCGGCACATTTTGAACCACCCGATGCGAGAGCCAGTAATTGCACAAATATTAGAATCAAGACGATGGCGATCTTCATCGATGAGAAAAACGAAGTAATGTATTTGAGTAGATACTATTCTTTTTCTTCAATGTCTTATTTATAAATAAATCACCTTTGTTTTACTAGTTGCACTTTTTTCGATCTAAACAACAATCGATTGGCGTCATCAAGTATTGTATCTTTAGAACGAATTTGACGTCACCTATTTCTCATTTTCTCTATCTCTGATCAATTTTCGTGGAACAATTATGACGTTCAGATGGAGAATCATCACGAGAAATCGAACGATTCTTTGTGAACTTTGAGGGTAGAAAATGATGTTGAAAGAGAGAAAAAATCATCCATGCGTACTATCAACAAAAGAAAATTATTTGGGCACACGTGTTTCGTACACGCAGTGTGAGAGCGTTTATTCGTCAGAAATTAACACGACGAATAAGTTTTGCTTATTCATCATTTAGAAAAGTATTCACTTCAATGGAAAACCATGACACTGAAAGACTAGTGGAAAGAAGAAATGGACAATCTCGTCCAGTGGAATTAGCAACGATCGAACTCAGTGATGTGAAAATCATAGTTGAAAATGTCGATGATCCATCGGACAATTCTCTAGAGAAAAATCATCGATTAGTGGAAACGAAAAGTGGAGATCCAATTTCAATGACTACAAATATCATCAACGGTCTTAAGTTAGAATTAAGTCCGGTTGTCGGATACGCCGCAGAACCTTTATTACCACTTTCGAAAGCATGTGCTCCACTGGATTCAATCGTCTACAATTTATCGAATCATATCAAAGTAGCATTGGATCAAACACCAGAAGAGCCGCCGAATGGATTAACCATCGATGAAAGTGCTGCTATTCGTCTGTATACGATGGAAGGTGAAATGCCATATCCGAGTCTCTATTGGATGCTTAATCAAGCTCTTATGGAGAATAATCGCGAGAAGCTTCGTCCTTATTTAAAATATCTCAAATTATTGTTGACTGCTCTTGTTAAATTGCCATGCAATCCACAACGGACTGTTTGGAGAGGAGTAACGAAAAATTTAAGTGCAGATTATCCTGTCGGTACTAAAGTAACATGGTGGGCATTCTCATCATGTACCAACGAAATGAGTGTACTTACCAATGACATTTATTTGGGTAGTAACGGGAAGAGAACGTTGTTCTCTGTAGAAGCGATTAATAGTCGATCAATTACTGCTCATTCGAGTTTTCCCAATGAAGATGAAATTATTCTTCTGCCTGGAACACATATGGTTGTTCAATCACAATTGAGCCCGGCAATCGATCTTCATATTATTCATTTGAAACAAATTTTACCTGACACAGTCTTGTTGGAACCACCATTTAAAGGTATTTTCCCCATTTTTTCATTATTCTATTTCAATTGAAAGTATTCGTTTATCTAGATGCTCATGTTTATCCCATAGTAAAGTAAGTTTTGGATCCTCGATGCTTTTCAACCTAAAACTTTGCCTTCTGTTTATCAGACGTGAATGGTATCGAAAGAAAAGATTTGCTATTCCAATCTTCCTAGCAGTTATTGTTACTATTATGGTGGTAATTCTTGGCTCTGTTTTAGGAACAAGATCTAACTTCAAACCAACAGGTACGAGTACAGCCTTAGTATCCTACTTCAACATCGTTTTCTTTTAGCGTATGTGTGTGATGCACCATTCAATGTTCCATTTGCAACACCGGATACTTATAAAATTGGGCAAAGTCCAGTTTCAGCCACCCTAGATCATTTTATGGACGGACAAAACTTAGACATGATGATCGTTCAACAGCAAGCTAACGACGTTACGATGTTAGTTAGTAACGGTGGTGGAACTTTTCACATTCCGATCTATCCAGTTGGCAGAAGTCCATACTATGTCATAACAGCTGATTTTAACCGCGATAAAATACTTGATCTGGCGGTGACAAATTCAGGTGATGGCACTGTCAGTGTTCTGCTGGGAAACACAAACGGCACTTTCCAGAGTCAGAAAAACTATCGAGTCGGCAGTCTACCAATGTCGATGGTATCAGCTGATTTTGATAACGACACGAAATTAGATGTGGCAGTGATCAATTCTGGCGACAACACTGTTAGCGTGCTACTGGGTAATGGATACGGAACCTTTCCGATCCAGACGAAATATCCAGTCGGCAGATTACCATACTCTGTGATATCGGGTGATTTTAATAATGACAAAAAACTTGATCTAGCAGTAGCTAACTCGGCTGATGGTACCGTTAGCGTCCTGCTGGGCAACGGATATGGAAGCTTCGAAATGAAGGGTAATTATACAGTTGGTCGAAATCCATACTCTGTCATATCGAACGACTTTAATAATGATCGAAAGTTGGATTTAGCAGTGGTCAATTTTGGAGATAATACGGTCAGTATTCTGCTGGGAAATGGAGACTCGACCTTTCAAACTCAAATCAATTATACAGTGGGAAGTTTGCCACAATCGTTGATATCGACCGATTTTAACAATGATACGAAACTTGACCTAGCAGTGGCAAATTCTGGCGATAACACCGTTAGTGTATTGTTGGGTAATGCGGATGGAACCTTTCAGAAGCAAGACATTTACACGTTTGGCATTTATCCGTACTCCGTTATAGCAGCTGACTTCAACGATGATAATAAACTTGATCTCGCAGCAGCCAGCTTTGGGGACAATACAATCATTTTGCTCCTTGGCAATGGAAATGGAACGTTCCAGAAACAAAGTAGATATACAGTGGGCAAAAGTCCCTATTCTGTTATATCGGGTGATTTTAATAATGATAAAAAACTCGATGTAGCGGTAACCAATTCTGGTGAAGATACGGTGAGTGTGCTTCTTGGTAATGGACACGGAAGTTTCGAGACTCAGAAACATTACTCCGTTGGAAATTTACCACAGTCAGTGATATCAGCAGATTTCAACAATGATAACAGCATTGATGTCGTAGTAACGAACTATGGCGACAACACTGTGAGCATCTTGCTTGGCAATGGAAATCGAACTTTTCATGCTCAAAATATTTATAAAGTTGGCACGAGTCCATATGCTGTCGTATCACGCGATTTTAATCGTGACAGTATACTTGATCTAGCAGTAACCAATTCAGGTGATGGCACCGTTAGTATCTTGTTGGGAAACGAAAATGGAACATTTCAGATTCTGAATAATTATACTGTTGGTAGAAGTCCATATTCCATCGTAGCAGGTGATTTTAATCATGATGGAAAACTGGATTTAGCAGCAGCCAACTATCAGGACAACGCCGTCAGTGTTTTGCTGGGTTATGCGAATGGGACCTTCGGATTACCGACGAACTACACGGTTGGCAGTCTGCCATATTCTATAATAACAGCTGATTTCAACAATGACAACAGACTGGATTTGGCAGTGGCTAATTATGGAGATAATACAGTCAGTGTTTTGTTGGGCAATGGAGATGGAATCTTCCAGGCTCAGCACAACTACACAGTTGGAAGCTTACCACAGTCGCTAATATCGGTTGATTTTAACAATGACACAAAACTCGATCTAGCCGTAGCTAACTCGGGTGATAATACCGTTAGTGTGCTGTTGGGTAATGCGGATGGAACATTTCAGGCTCAAGTCAAGGGTACGACTGGTACTGCGCCAATCTGTGTGCTCTCTGGCGATCTCAATGGTGATCAGAAACTTGATCTGATCGTTGTCAATGTTGTATCTGCTGATGTGTCGATTTTTTTGAACAGATGCAAATAGATTGACCACTTTATTTTCGAACAGATGCACTAATTGTTGATTACAAGATAATAATTATATGTTTATTTTTCGTTTGATTTAAAAAAAAATAATCTCGAGGGTGAGGGTGTGGGTGAGAATATTCGTAACAGAGAAAGCAATACTCACACTCTCAAATGAGTTAAAATAAAATAACACCGAAACACGGCTTGACGCAATGTCTTGAAATACAAATGCATTCTAATTGATAGTGTTGGTATTATAGTTCATCTATGGTCTTGGTCGAATCGTGATTAGATCAGTTAATGAAACGGAAAATGAAAAATTTGAAATAAAAGGTACAAAATCAATGATTAGTCTTATTTTCAAAATCGTGTGGATTTGATATGATTTGATGATGCAATATATTTGATTGATATAATTTTATCATTATCATTAGATATGTTCTTCTCCGTTTTCATATAAGTTTGAACAGGTGATAGTTTATGAAGTATATAATATAAACCTCCACTAACAATCATACCGAGAAAAAAATTCAATTGATACATTTTAGTAATTATAGATGGAACAGATACACCGATAGCATTAATAAAACCAAGAATATTTATTAATATTCCAGCAATGTAAGCAATATATGCTCGCCAATTAATGCCATATGTATAATAATATAGGCCACTACGTGATCCAGAAAAAAGTTCATTTGTTTCCAGATGTTCATGTCGAACAAGATAATAATCCGAGAGTATAACGCCAACAATAGCACTGACAAATGTTGAATAAGCTGATAGATAAGAAATAAATGACGAAGAATTAGAAAGTAAATGCCATGGACAAATACAAAGACCAACAATTGAACAAATATAACCAGATCGTCTCATATTTAAATATTTTGGACAAATAGCTGTTAAATCACAACCAGCAGAAATACTATTAGCAGCAATATTAACACCTAATTGTGCTAAACAAAATGATAAGGATATTAAAAATACACAAATGCGTGTAATTAATGATGGAACATCATTAAGAAATGTATTTAATAAATCTAATGGATTCCATATTTCTTTTCCATAGATAACTTTTGATGATGATCCTATAATTAAACCAATAAAACAAGTCATTGCAAATCCTACTGGAATAATAATTATTTGTGGCCAATAAGTGACTGATGGTCGAATAGCATATCTTGTATAATCAGATATATTTACAATCACTGAAACACAACTAGATATACAACTCATAATTGCTGAAATCCATGTCCATATGCGGACACTTGATGAAACTTTTATTGATGTCAAAGTTAATTGATGAAGGATAGGTCCTATACCATTTGATTTAATAACAACCCAAATGAAAAAAAATATACCAGCAATTGGTACAATAATAGCTTTTAATGTAAATAAATGACGCATCTTTTGTGCTGGAAACCATATTGCAATATTTGATAATGACCAAAATATAATAAACCCAATAAAATCTCGCGTATTTGTACCTGATGAAATCGGAAATATATTTGGTAGATTGTTATATGAAGGTATGATAGCACGAATACAAATAACAACACATTGTCCGCCTATCCATGCTTGAACACCATACCATATACAAGCAATTACTCCTCGATTAAAAACTGGCCATAAACTACCAAAAATTCCAAATGATGCCCGTCCAATAACTGGAAATGATATATGATAAATAGCACCGATTCGACCCGAAATACAAGTAAATACGCCAATAATAAAAAAACCAAACCAAACACACATCCATGCTTCCCACCAAGATAAAACATTATCATTTCCTATGATGGCACTAATTACCATCCATGTAGCAATATTAATTGCATCTGATAACCAAAATGCAATATAATTCCAAACACCCCAATAACGTTGTTCAGCTTCAATCACTTTCAAATCATCATTTTGAAGTATAGCTTTAATACCAGTTTGATGCCTTACTGTTGGATCTGCATAGATCCATCCAGGTTTACCCATAATAAGCAAATGAATAGATAAATTTTATATACAAACAATTGTTTTTTGTTATTTTCCTAATTTATATTTTAACCTTCGAAAAATGTAATGTTAAAGATTAAATCGAATTTATATATAATGTCAAAAGATAAAAATATTCGTCTATGTGAATAACTTCTCAATAGATCGATGCGTAGAACGGAGGAAGTGTAATATGTCATATTTTATTTTCATGAATTTCTTCTTTTTTTTCGTTAGAACACATTCGATATTTTTCTCGATTATTAGATTTTTCTGCTTTTCGGATGATGTTAAGAATATCACCTGGACGTCAATTTTCTGTTATGCAGTTGATTATCTAAATTCTTGAATAAGTCTTCTCAACTGCAGTTAGAATTAGCATACTTTTTGAATTTTTTACGAAATGACTTATAGAATAATGAGCCAAAAAAGGACTATGACGAGATGTAAAAATAGAATCCAAGTTGTTATGGATGATTTCAGCAACAGAAAACATCTAATATGAATTGTTCGGTCGAGGATTAAGCGAGTCTGGCTCGACGAGCGTTACTTGTTATAAATGCTCTAAAAGATTTTGCTGAAAGCTGAAGAAAACGCGTATTCTCCTTTTTTCACAGGAATTTTAACAGATCTGACCAGTCTAAGTCGGAAAGTTTTGACATGGGTTGCTTCGACTGTTTGAAGTTTAGAAACGAAAAATCAGTAAGAATAAATTCGAGTGTTTGAGAAGATTGATGTGTCAATATACTATTTTGACTTTTACCCTCAACCTCAATATTTTTACAAGTCAAATTTACGTGAAAGACATATAAAGCGAATCAAATAAAGAGAGTAATTATTCGCGATAAGGAATCACATCGACAACTGGTTCAACTCGCCGTCGACGATGCATGATCAGATATTGTACTATTGTCATAAGGATAGGAACGATAACTTTGAATGCAATAGTCAGTCCGCCATAAAGACCAAAAATAGTGGTGATCATATATACTAGATTGACTTGCTCAATGATTACGTAAGTACACGAGGGAGCTGAACATGCCGTATAATAATTTTCATATATGATATTTGATTCCCATTGATCAATCATAAGCACATCAACAAGAGATTGAACAGTAACATTATGAGATGAGAGAGTCGGGTCGAGAGGACGAAAAGTTATATTCGAAAATTTCGTGACATTCTTTAGTCTATTAATACATGTAAGATCATAAAGACATTCAAGAGTTGATTGAAGAAGAGATTCGAGTGGATAACATCCGACAAGAAATCCAGGTATAATCCATTTATCAATGGTTGCCAGAGATGTACACGAAGCATTGATACCACATGAACAATTTTTGTTGCCATATGATCTAGGTGCCATGATTCCAAGACCATTCGTTAGTACTGATTCTATATACCAGTTAGAAGAAGTGCGAGAAACATATCCATTTCCATGAGCCACATCTCGAATGAAGTCGAGTCTACGCAAAAATGTTCGTGGTACCGATAATTGAAATTGATCTAAAGCATTCCTCATTTGAGTATTGACAATGTTAAACGGTTCTGTTTGTTTACTAATGTACGTCTTCGAACGAAAAATAGATAAAGCGTTAGTAAATGTATCGTTAGCTAGAGTACATAAGAAAAAAAAGCAATCGAAAGTGAGGTATGATAAAATACCAATAATCNCCTCTTGAAGAACACTCGCACCGCAACGTAAGGTTAAGGTGAAAAGGGATATCTGCATACAGGATGTTATGACCTATTATATTTATTATTTGAGATGTGGGTATTGCTGTTTGCAATGAATTGGCGTGGGTAGTCGTTAGCACTAGCTGAAGTATTTGAAGAAAATTTTTTTCTGTTGTTAATCTCAAAAATTTACTTTTCTCTTGAATGTAACTATTAAGATTGTCCTGTGTGAAAACAGACGGAGTAATAAGAGTTTCGGAGTCAAAATCATCGAGTGCATCATGAACTGATCTTTTAGCATGGAAACAAAGTGCAGCAAGTAATTGAAAATAACTACTAGCTAACACACGAAAATCAGGTTGGTATAACTTTCCAATATCGGAACTGAAAAAATGACGAATCCAATCATTAGTGACGAATACGCTCGAACACACAGGATGATAGGCGATCGCCGTTGAAGTAAAGTTACCATATGGAATCGTGATACGACTGCATGGGCATAATAGTTGCGCTAAATTTTTCTTGAGCAACGTTTGATAATTCGCTTCAGATGGATTCCTAATTATGATAGCTTCAGATTGAGTTTCTAATGAAATGAGTGCGACGAGAACAACGATGACGGCGAGCGTGAGAAGAGTCACATAGACTCGAGTGGAAATGATTGCAGTGCGTAAATGAAATTGATCTAAACGAGTTCTTTCGTCTTCAAACAAATTCAATTGTAACACGAATGTCCGAATTCGATTAGCAATGTTGGCTAATGATTGCATCATTGTTTTCCACAATCAGAATGAATTTCATTCAATTACGGTGAATCAAATATTCTTACGTCTAAAATTAAGGAAATGATTTTTAAATCTTTACCTTATATTGTGTAGTATGAAAGACATGAGAATATAAACATGTAGCAACGATGTACTCAACGATAATGTAATATCATTGTAGTCGATAGGAAATATTTTGTTTCTGTTTGATATCATTTTTAAGGTTTTACAATTGAAAAGTTATATGTACTCAAAAGTCGTCGTCAGAAAATGCGTAACATAACATTAGCTGGCAAAACTATTGCCTTTTAAACTCAAAATGAACGCAAATACGTTTTAAGCAGCTGAGGTTTACATATAACACCGCTGTCCATCGCGGCGCATCAGCAAGTATTGTATCCCAAGCAACTGATACAAAAAATATCGTTAATTTTATGACTACAATGTTTTAGAACTAAGTCCTTGGGGTAATCGAAACTCTAAGTCACGATGCTCGGAGTTATGTAGAAGATGAAACGCAGTGTGTTTGATGAACGATATATTGCAAAACTTTACCTTTTCGTCTAATTTTCTAAAATATATAAGAAGAAAAAAATCATAAACTCGATCCAGACTTTTCATCTGGCCTAAGGAAAGAACTGTTTTTAATAGAAACTTCAAGTTTTCAATGATTTTTGCTTTACTGACGACAGCATTGCGCCGATCTGCCATTTAACGCACACTAATCTTTGACATACATCTTTATTTCAATATAATAAAAAATATTATTCTTCACATGCAGGTGTTAATGTACTTTTGTTAGATAAATATTCTCTTTATATTGTTTTCAAATTATTTTTTCATGATTGATCAGTATCTGGATATATTTGTTCTCTCTCTTAACTAACAGAACTTAACTTACATCTGCTCCATTAAATCTCATAGATAACATTTTATTTCCTTTCCTTTTGATCAATAATCTAATCCGTTTTGCTAAATAAATTTTTATACATTCTATATATTTATTTCTAATAACTTTCTCTTTTTTCGTGTTAGGCTCTTGAAAATGTTTCAAAGCTAGGTGACAACAATTATGTTGATTGTTAAAAACAATAACAAAAACTGACTTTAGCCATGTACTTTCGTTCAACTTCTAAAACATTTCATAAGTTGCTTTTGAATTACATACTTGGTGAAATAAAGAAAAAAGAGCTCGTTTGCCATTAGATGTTTTTCTTTGAAAAAATATATCAGTTAAATGAAACCGTATGTTTAGCAGAATTAAATCATGGGATATGAACAGATGTTAGTCCATTTTTCCCTTTTGTGAAAGAAAGCTTTCAGCGCAATCCCTAGCGGGATTAAAAATGTGAAACACGATCCAGCCAGACAAACTTTGAACGCATAGAATGCTCAATTTATTTCCCAGTCTGCATTCCCATTTATCTAAACTTAAGCTGTTGAAAGCAACATATCATTATCAATAGCGATGTCTGCTGCTTTTTAAGAAATGTTTGCTTCATCGGTCACAATATGCGATCCTTCCTATTGTGCTTCCATTAACCGATCTCGATCTGTGACGCGAACTACACGTGTCGATGTAACGAAGTTGAGAACGAACCTGTCTGTGAGACAATGATACACAGTTCATTTGCCTTTTCCTCTATAAACCTCTCTCTCTCTTCATTTTTTAGGTGTCCGCTTCTACAGATAACAGCGAATAACGGCCAAGGCCTGTCGGTAACAGTCTGTGACAGGATCTTTGGGCTTGTTTATCAGGATATTTGACCGGTTTTTGGGGCTGTCTGTGATAGGGGTTTCAGGCCGTCTGTAACGTCTGTGGGGGGTCCAAATTTCTGCCCCTACACACTTCAACACTCTTTCAGATCATGTTTCACAAAAGGGTTATAACCGCGTTAAAAGTTTGTTTGTTTGTCCAAGCCAATGAGAAATGAGGATTTCTGAAATCATCGAAACTTATCCTTATCAACCAGAGACCGACTAGCAAATAGGTAATCGAGGTCGGGGAACTCGAATCCGCTATTAGTTTTTAAGATTTCAATTAGTTAATTAGCTAATTACTATTTAAGGAACGGAAAGTTTTTTGGTGGTCGAGTAAGGGTTGACCAAGGGTAATCGGGGTTGAGGATCCCGAATTCGATGTTAGTTTTCACAAATACTAATTAATTAATTAATTAGCTAATGATTAGTTCTTATAGTGTCGGATAAGGGTTGACCGAAGGGTAATCGGGATCGAAGATATCGAATCTGGTGTTCATTTTTCAGCAAAAAAATTCCGTTCCGTTTTTTCAAATAAGGGACGTTTTGTTTTTTGCAAGGAATTTTTTAGGCGATAGTGTTTGAAGCAGCAATATGTAAAACAAAAGGAAATAGCTGATTAACGTTCGATTGTCGGATATTCATACTCATCAGCATATTGATAAAATCACAATTATATACACAGTTATATTACACAAACATCATCTAATGCTAACCACTCAAAACAATACTTTCCCTGACAAATGTTGTTTTCGACAGTCATAGTGACAGAAGGATGGTGATTCTTCAATAGGGAATAGAACTAAGTGGTTTGATTCAGTTTCATGGGGATCTTAAGCTAGATGAAAGAATGAAAGTTGGACATGTCACGGCTTGCCGCTAGTGGCCAACCGGAGCGAGGCCGACGAGCGACTAGATGTCGATTTGAAGAGTAATATTTTAAACAACAAGTTTTAGCGACTTTCATATAGTTTTAAGATTTCTTAAACAGAATTTAATCATCGATTCGCAAGAACATATCCGGTAACCTTTTAAGTTGTCTGGTGATGAAGAGATGAACGGAACCTTTAGTAGAGAGCGGTATACCTATGTAAAGCTCCTACATTTTCGATTATGGATTGATTTTCGAGAGCGAACTTCTTTTCAGATAACATCTTCATCTGAATAAAGTGAAACTAGGAAAATACATGGAAACGACTAGCCATGGGCGGCCGAGCGGCGGCAGGCCGACGAACGACTAGGCGATTGTTGGAGTGGCTTAGAAGAGATCAAATAAATGTAAGTAAATTTATTTTTGATTATAAATAGTGGGAAGAGAGTCAATTAATAAATGTTTAGAAACAGTGGTTCTTTGGCTTACATCTTTGGACAAATGAAGTGAAAGTAGTTTGACATGAATAAAGTAGAAAAGGATTAAAAGAAAAGAATGTGCATAAAAGTGGCTTTAATTCGAAGCAAAGTAGAGTGAGATATATGTTGGAGTTTTTATCTAAAAGTCTTCTAATTCTTTCAGAAAAGGGCCAGCGAATCCAACAGATGAGCGCGACTTGTGCAGTAAATAGTTCAAAAGAAGTTGTAGAAACATCCGAATAATATATATCATACGTGATACGAGTCTGTTAAAAAAGGAAAAAGCAGTTTTTTTTAAACATCGTGAGCCAGCGCCATCTTGAGGCTAAATGTTTCGAAAATGTTTGCTAAATTGATGCTCTGACAAAAAATGTGTCCCGTATGCAGTGAAAAGTTTTAGCAGTGAAAAAAAACCTCAACAGTACTTGTAGCAAGATTTGCCGTAACTAGATCAGGTTTGGAATCACCGTTTACATCAATGACTGCTAATGAGATTGGAGAACTGTTAGTTACGTAGGTAATGTGAGAAGAGAATGTGCCGTTGCCTGTGTTGAGCAAAACATTAATTGTATTTGCACCAAAATTTGCCGTTATTATGTCAAGCTTGCTATCCGCATTAACATCTCTAATTACTATTGACCTTGGAGCATCGCTAGTATTGTAAGCAATTGGAGAAGCAAATGTACCGCTGCCATTATTGAAAAGAACACTAACAAACTTTCCACCAGAAGTTGCAACAACTAAATCGGGTTTGCTATCAAAATTCAAATCTGAAATGGCTGTTGCGACTGGAGGATTGCTAAATGAGTAGGCAGTATGAGTAGGAAACGTACCACTGCCTGCATTGAGAAGTACACTAATTGTATATTCAGCATTATTTGGGGTAACTAGATCGGGTTTTGAATCACCGTTAATATCACCAATTGCTACTGAGAATGGACCATTGCCAGTTGCGTAGGCAGTTTGAGGAGAAAATATACCACTGCCTGTATTTAGAAGAATACTAACTGTGAGATCAGCAAAATTTGTTGCAACTATGTCTGGCTTGTTATCCGAATTTACATCGCTGACCGCTACTGAGTATGGATAAAGGCCAATTGGGTAAGTAGTTTGAGAAGAGAATGTGCCGTTACCCGTATTAAAAAGAACACTAACTGTGTTGTTACCATAATTTGCTGTAATTAGGTCCGGCCTGCCATCAAGATTTAGATCACCCACCGCTACCCATTTTGGATAATTATCAGTTGCGTAGGTGGTTTGAGATGGAAATGTACCGGCGCCTGTATTGAGAAGAACGCTAACTGAGCCAGGAGCAGTAGTGCTTGCCGTGACAACATCAGGCTTCGAATCGTTATTCAAATCAATAACCGCTATTGACTGTGGATTAGCGCCAGTTGCGTAAACGACCGAACTCAAGTACATGTTGTTGCATCCTATGAGATACAAAGTGATAAGAACAACTGTTAAAAGTACCAGAGTCAACATGTGTCATCGACGTTTACTGTGTTGTAGATTTCTCATCATTCTATGCAATAAACTTATCAAGAATATTTTTATATTGGATTGCACTATATGCTGGCTTTATTTGAATTTTCGATATCGGACTTCTGTCATGATTATTTTTTCACTTTTGTGGGAAATGCGTAATATCCTACAAAACTCTGATCGATTTCAGTTCTGATTTTTGTCAGTAGTAGGACTTTCTGTAATTCTGCTGATTCTCTTGACGAAGAGCGCAGTCACAAATAGTGTACTTTGAGAATTCAATTCAACTGTAGCTTAGCTTGGATCCATTTAGAGAAGACTTTCTATATACCTGGTCATTACACAGAATCTGGGAAGCATCGGCATGACGCGCTAGTTCTTTACTGATTGTATCGAAGGTAGGAGCTACCTTTTGAACGCTTCAATAGACTCGTCGATCATCTTGCAGCGATAAAGTCACAGAAGAAAGCTTGCGCATAGATTTAGTAAAAAGCTGAATCGTATAAATTGTTAATTTCTGCAAATTCGACTCTTATTCGATGCGGCGATTTATAGAAAGGGTAAACAAAGACTACATATGCTTATATGAAGCCGCGATCCAGAAAAACACGAATAATCACAAAAACCGTAATGTCATTATAAAAAACCGCTATGCTGAGAGTAGCTGAAACCTTACCCTAATTATCAATATTTATCAGGTGACTTTCTCGTAGATCATCTTTAAGAAGGTTGCAAGTCTACTAGGAGTCTTGATTCACAAATTTTGCAAGTTTTCTACGTCACTTAACTAAATCATTGAATTTGTTTCGAAAATGGTAAGCTCTTTCTTTATTTTACTAATCTATAGGTGACTATTTCTTTTTTTTTGCAGATGTTTTGAGATTATAGTAATAGTAACATATTTTTTCGGTGTATAAAACGTGATAATCATTTAGTCTATTACATACCGGTAGTTAGTAATGAGGTCGATGATGTTGTTGTTGTTGTTGATGTCGATGATGACGTTGATGTTGCTGTTGATGATGAGGTCGAGGTTGTTGTTGACGTTGACGTTGATGTTGATGTTGATGAAGTTGATGATGAGGTTGAGGTTGTTGTTGACGTTGACGTTGATGTTAATGTTGATGACGTTGATGTTGTTGTTGATGATGAGGTAGATGATGAGGTTGAAGTTGACGTTGACGTTGATGTTGATGTTGATGAGGTTGACGTTGATGTAGTAGTTGGCTCTTTTTTGTGAAAAATAAATTAATTAAATAAGATAAATCAAATGATGAGTCATCCTTAGGATTCGTTCGATTCATCTATTGAAGATATTTTGAACTCTTAATGAATTATGATAGTTTCAGAAGTATTTGCCGAACTATTCTTGCCCCTTACCAGCTAAGTTTGCTCAAAGTACGAACGTAAATTATTTCTACTCAAATTGTTTAGGATCTCGAAAGGAGAGTGTGAGTATGAGAGAACACATCGAGCTATCTCTTCATTACCAACAACATCATCCTCAGCTTTAAGATGAGAATAGATGGGATGATTTAAAACTTCTACGGATCGAAGAATGCGACAAATAAAAATAAACTGGTTCATACATTTTATGATATACGGCATCGATACTTACCAGCTGGTGTTCGCGTGCCAGAAATGACCGTCATAGTAACAGTACCTATAGTTGCTTCCAAATAATCGTTTTGATTTACATCGTTAAGAAACAATTGACAACTGGAAGTTGATTGATGAAAACTTATAGATTTGCATTGAGTCTGTCCTAAACAATTCCTTTGACACTGAAGACTAGTGGATGTTGTAATAGTAGTAAAGGGTAAACAAGTTGTTGTAGCGCACTGAAATTGCCATCCATTCATGATAGACATCGTAAATGATCTTGCATCTTGTGTAATTACTTGATCAAAAATAACAATCAAAAATAATAATGACACTTTAGTCAACCAAATCATATTTAACCAGACTTCTACTAGTTGGATCAAATGGGTAGTATACAGTTGAAAAGGAAAAGGAAAATGAAAGCATCTACTAATGATGGACGTCCTATTATTTCTCTCTCTCTTATTCTTTTACTTTCTATAGAATTTGTTTTTTCATTTAGTTAATATGTTGAAGGAAACTATAATCATGCATTTTCTTCCTCTTTCAGTTAATAAACAGAATGTTCTTTTAAAATTTACTGCATTTTCTTAGCAGAGTTCTGACATTATCAAACTGTGAAAATCTATGATTTTATCTCGATCAATACGTAAGTGGTAGGTGAAGTTGAACATCATGTTCACACTTGTTGCATAAACGAACAGAGAGTAAAATCATAGAAAGATATTGTGTATTTAGAAGATTGAATTGAACACAGAGAACGGAAAAGTCTGATCATTATCAATCTTTCATCTTACAAGAATATGCGTCTACTTTTCTATGACATAGTGATGAAAAATGATTTCTGCAATTATAATACTAGAATGTATTTATCAAAATTCTGTACATAATTTACGTAGATATTCTTGAAAACTTGTATTTAATTCCAATCTACCAACTATTTATTTTTTATCCATTTTCAGAATTAATAATGATAAATTTTAGTAAAACAACAGAAATAAAATACAATTCAGAAAAAGACACTCGTAACAATTGACGATGTTAATCGATAGAAATAAATACTTCTTATATTTATATGGAGTGATTATCATACAATTATCGGTTGAGACTCTGTATCCAAGTTATATTTCATATAGTATGTTTGATGCATTTATTATAACACATTTTTGGTACACAATGAGACAAAGAATTTGGCACTTCTGGCTTCTACTTTTACTATTTCACATAGTAGAAAAAGTTTGTTTAGTCTTCGGAATGAAGAAAACTATTAATCAATGAAAGATACAGAGAATGTTTTTCTTTTTCTTCATTTGTTCTACTCTTGAGAAGTATCAAATAATGTAATAACAACTACAAAATCATAAAAGAAGTATTGTCAGCATGCATGATTATTTGGAGTAGAACTAGAAAATGATTTGAAAGCGTAGATATTTGTTTCTTCAACAGATTTTTGTCCATATCGAAAGAAACTATCGCGGTGGATAACATCTTCTCTCGGAGTTTTATTTAAAAAAAGATGCTGTTCTTATGAGGGTGTGAGGAAGTGAACTTTATTCTTATACTTTTTAGAGAATTAGATAATCATTATGAAGCATGACAATATTATCAAGTATTTCGAGAAAAGAATATGCTCAATAATACATTTATTGGGTCAATCCATGAGGACTCATCCACCTTTTGGAAAGTTTTTTTGTCGATTTTTTCGGCTCAAATATCCGATCTCGGTTAGAAAACACTTTTGGTGAAAAAATTGGGTCCTATCTGCGAAAAACCTCGAGTTTTTCAGCGTTTTTTCATACATAGAAAAAATGGCAGAAAAACGTCTGGAACTTTATCAACAGCTCTTTTTTCGGAATTGTCCGGTTTTCATAAATATGAAACAAGTCTAGGAACATGTTTTCTGGTAGAAATTAAACTGACCTTATTGAATTTCATATATGGTAAGTCATTTTCTATGTATATGATAATAGCCCTATTGCATGAGTGTGAATTAGATTCAATTAATTCGAAGAGATCTTATCTTATTTTCGTTGTAGAGTTATAAAGAAATTGATGTCATTAAATTTTGTCAGAAAATTAATCCTAAGTGATGAATTCTATACGAAAGAAAGCTTGTGCAGTGATGAAGAGAGCGGGTATGTGTAAAAAGATCGAAAGAAAAAATTTCGAAAGAAAAACATCGAAAGGAAAACATCGAAAAATGGAATTTCGAAAAAAGTAAAGATCGAAAACCTGAAATTTCGAAATTACCTCTATTAGAAAAGGAAAAGATCGAAAAAATGTATCCCGAAAAAGAAAATCTCGAAATGGAACAAGTCCGAGAAAAGTCCCNTGATTAATTTGTGTCTTTGGTAACTGTAGAAATATCTTGTAGAATTCAAATTTCTTTCTATTCACTTATTGTTTGTAAATATGAGTGCAAGTTTTGTTTTTAGTTTTACTGTAAATACTATTTTTTGTTTCGCTTTCCTAGTTTGTATTCGTTCATACTCAATATTATTCACTTGTCTTTTCTTTTGTGTCGCCGATCATTATATCATCAGTGCGTCTTTATTTCAAAGAAAAACAAATAAATAAAGTTTATATAGGAAAACAACTTCTCCTTAGTGAAATAAAGATGAAATAAAGAAAAGGAAATCTCAACTAGATCATATATTGTGATATTTACAGTCGAGGGTAAAGCGAGTCATCTGCGACGAGCCTTATTTATTGATCATATGTGATATAGGTTCACGATAAGGGTTATAACACATTTTGAACACACCATACATGCAACTAAAACCAAAAGTGTTTTCTCTCTGTCAAACGAGCCAAAATATCTCGTACTCTCATCTTTCACTACATTGAAAAAGTCATTTTAAGTCTTCGTTAGTAAGAAAATCATTAATTAGTATTTTATACTATTCTAACTTACCCGAATATAGTATTTAAAATAATACATAGATAGATCTTATCGACTACTGTCTTGATCTAGTGTTAATCTAACTTAGTCTAATGTTCAGGCACATAAAAGTACTCATTGAATAAATTCATTAGTAAAGAAATTACTATTTAGTAGTTTTGACCACTAAAATAGATTCGAATATAGCATCTAAGGTAGTCATGCGATAGAGCTTGACGAGCTCTATGAATCCTAAAAGTTTCGTCATTTGGTCCCATCTATGAGCGAATCCATACAGGTTTTAGTGAAAATTACTCGTAAAACTGATGTACTTAGTGAATTTTACTACTAGGACTTCTTTGAATTGGGTTAGAAAGGTGCTCATTCGATAGAGCTCGTCGAGATCTATCGATCCTGAAAGTTTCACTGCTTGGTCCCGTCAATAGTCGAATCCATTTAAGTTTTACTAAATTTTTGCCATTTTTTACCTATTTTTACCAGAAGAAAAGATCTTTTGGGAAAAGTAAATACACCATTCGATAGAGCTCGTCGACTTGCATCTTGATCCGATGTTGGTCTCGTGCGGTCCCGTCGTCAGGCGAATTCATTCAGGAAATACTCGAATCCTATTCTAAGATAACCTACGTTTCCGTTTGTCATTACATTTGACGTATCTTAAATGCATGAGGATGACAGTGGGTGTCACTGTCGGAGTTATGTATTTAGGGAATAGGCCAGTTGAATGAAAGAACTAAGTGAGTGTATCGCATATTATTAAGAACGGAGATAGTTGACTGAATGAATTGAAGTTTCCAATTGAGAAAGACTGTTGTATGTCATCGTGCGCTTCAGTTTGCAATATCGTGAGGGTGTACAAGAAGGGACAGTACTTTTTGCTAACGATAGAGATTAGGGTAGTAGTGCTAACTGCAACATTTCGATAGTGGCATGTCCCTGCTATTTCTATTAGTTCTGATAGTTCAAAGCGTTTTTTGTAGAAAGATTATACGGAAAACAACATATTCAAGATTGATAAATCGGAATTATTTCGATATTCCAGAGTTATGGAACTGAGCCACGTGTCTTCTTGTTCTTTCATCGACAGTATAGTCTGTCAACATAAATTGAAAGACACTTGTCGCGAGACGCGTTGAATAGTTCATATATTAGATATTGTAACAAATATTGATAGATATATCATTATTTATTTGAGAAAATATGTCATTTTGATTGACAATCTATATTGTCACAAAAGATAGTGGAAATATATGTGTTCTTTATGCACATTTTTACTGTCAAAATCAGTATTATTATTAAAAGGCGTTCAAAGAATGATTTCATTCGTATTGACTATGCAACTGTTTCTAACTGTTCATGGATTATTTCATTTATATAAGACGGATATATTCAATATTTTTCAAGAAAAAGATTGTTTATATTCGTTTACAGTTGACAATAATTTCAATGAATGGCAATTAGTACCATATTGTATCCGAAACAGTCTGATCTTCTCGGACGACAATGATGGTTTTTGTTATGGAGATCCGAATTATACATTTAAAGAGTTAAAATTAAAAGGTGTTAACAGTGATTATTTGTATAAATGGAATACACCGATTGATACAATGAATAGTTATGAAAAATATCGAAGTTTAAATGATTCATCACTTGAGACTCATCGTTATTGTAATTGTTCAGGTAATCATTCATAGAAATATGTCAATATTTTTTGTTATGAAAGATTCTATAAGTAGACAATTGGTTTGGCACTCGATGTCAATATTCATTTAATCAGTCTATGCAAAACTTTGATGAAATTATTTCATTTCAATTCAAAGAAAAACAATCATTAAAAGAAAGATATGAAATTATCAATGATCCATCTTTGCTGACATGTTATGAAGGACTTCGTTGTCATTCAACAATTTGTCTTGATTGGCGAGAGATTTGTAATGGACTTTTTAATTGTGAAAATGGTGAAGATGAGCCTGAAGAATGTTTTTTACTTGAATTAAATGAATGTGAAAAGGATGAATATCGTTGTCGTATTGGTACGTGTATTCCAAGAACGTTTCTTGTTGATTTCAATCCTGATTGTTCTGATTTAACCGATGAATATCTTACTTATGATGAGTATTTTCAAGATTCAGATTGTTATTTATCATCAACACTTGTCTGCGATAATCGTTTATGTAATAAGTTAAATGATTTTTCATGTGCAGATGGAGAGTGTCAAGAGATTTCAATGCAATGTAATAATGGTCGTGATCTGTTCCTTCGTCATAATCTTTTATCATCATCTATGATGAATAACATTACTTTTCAATGTTGGTTTTTGATGCTTTGTTCATCAGGTGAAATCAATGTAAATTTAATGGGTTATAATTATACTGATTGTCAATCTCCAGAAGATATTCCTGATAAATGGGATTATTTCGATTCTTTTCAACAAATCTGTTCCACGACATTTTGGTTCCAGGATGAAAGAAATCTTCTATATCCATTCACTCGACATCTATATCATAACAAAATATCGAATGATACAGCTTGGTGGGAGCCAACTCATATTTGTTACAATCAAAAGGAATGTTCTAGCCTTCCCATTTCTAATTTATCATTGATTAATGATTGGTCATGTATCGATGTAGAACAAAATGGGATTCAATTTGATACATTAGAATTATATTTATTATTTTCATCCTGTTCTAAAACTCATCTATCATTGTTCAATGAAGATGATTCACTCTTTTATTGTGATGAATCGAGGAAATTCATTTCGAAATCTCGAGTATTAGATACTAAAAGCGATTGTTATTATTTTGAAGATGAAAATTTCTATTATAATTTTACTCTTATAATCCAATTGAATTTGACTGATCGTTTTCAATGTTTATTCATTAGTCAATGGCTACCGCGTCCACTGGCTCTCGATGTTCGTTGTTTTCAAGATTTTGATAGATTAGGCCTCGGTAAATGCGATAGCAGTTCAGATATTGCATGTCTGTTTCTTCGTGATCAATACACACCGTCTATGAATTATATTTTTCGACAAAACTGTGATGGTATTATGAAATTTGATGGAGAAGATGAAAATAATTGTGAAGAATGGCGTTCATATCGATGTGATGGTTATTGGGATATGATGAATGGAGAAGATGAATTGAATTGTACGAATACAGTTTATGGTTATATTACGCATGCAGTTTTTAAATGTCAATCAACTGAACATTATTGTTTTCATCCAAATGGTACTGTTAGTTGTTTGTCAAAAGATCGTGCTGGAGATGGATTTGTCGATTGTTTAGGAGGCACTGATGAAAGAAAAACTTTATGCCATTTTCCAGATTCAATTTTAGATTTTCAATGTTCTGATGGTAAATGCATATCAATAGATTATCTCTGTGATCAAGAAAGTGATTGTTTGGGAAACGATGACGAATTAATATGTTCATGGATATCGAATTCTACAAAAATTCCCTTTTCAATGTTTAGTTGTCAAAATTTAACGTTTATTTTGCGAGACAAAGTATGCGACAATATTATTGATTGTCAACCAAATGGTGAAGATGAATGGTTTTGCTTAATCATATTTCTTAGACCATCTCAATTTGTACTCGAAAGACTAGAAGAATATCCCTATAGTACAACAAAATTGGTATCTTCTGATATTGACCACCATTCATCCGTACGACAACAAAGACATATCGATACGAATTCAGGTTCAAATTCACTTGAAAAATGGTTTTGTAATCGAGGTATTATTGTCATTAAACGATCATCCGACATCGAATGTTTGTGCCCGTCAAGTTATTATGGTCGAAGATGTGAATATCAATCAGAACGTCTGTTAATTTCTATACGAATTACTACACCCGTTACTCTTCGTGGTCGTCAAAATAAACAAAATATTTTTCGTTTAATCGCTTGTTTGATATTCAATGATTCATTTGTAGATTATGAAGAAATTCTACATGTACCAATGATGAAACAGATGTTTTATTTGAATTATCCACGACCGCCACCAAAACAACGTGGTAATTGGACGGTTCAGTTTTACGCCTATACTGTGACACGATATTCGGTCAATTTTATATCTTCGTGGTTATTTGATGTACCATTTCCTTTTCTTCCTGTTAATCGATTAGTATTGGATCTTTTTTTGAAAGAACAAGAAACATGTTATACACTTTCTTGTAAGCATGGCTCTTGTAGAAAATATCTTAATTTACCCTATCAAGAATATTGTCAATGTGAACCAAATTGGTTTGGTACTTATTGCAATGTTAGTTATCATTGTTTCTGTGCTAATGGAGGAGATTGTATCAGTAGAAACTCCATATCAATTTGTGTATGTCCTCTCGGTCGGATAGGTCGTGAATGTCATGTATTATTTGATCCATGTAGCAATATAACATGTGAAAATGGAGCGACATGTTTGCCAATGGATGAACGCGAAACGAACAAGTTTATCTGTGCATGTCGTATTGGTTTTCGTGGATCTCGTTGTGAATTGAAAGATGCTCAGATGGACATTTATTTTTCAAAATCATTCATCTTTTATACTCGTTTATCATCGCCTGCGATTATTGTTCATTTTCTCGAACTGCACGATCATTCTCCGGGAATTGCATTAACTCAAAATCGTGTAATACATAAACAAGTTCAACTAAACAAATTATTCCGTATTTATTATAATAATCATCAATATCTGTCATCTCTAATTCTTCTTGAAATCTTTTTTGAACCTCAAAACTTTCGTTACTATATTGCGAGTATTCTTAGCAATAATATGACATATGTTACAACAACAATTAGCAATTCAAATCATTGTCCTCATATTGATGAAATAATTATGAATGAAACTATACGTCAAATGCCATTAGTAAAACGAGTAAAATATTATGAATATATATGTCGAATATCTCGCAGTAGAATTTGTTTTATGGATGAAGTTCATCTTTGTTTTTGTGATAAATATGGTGATCCTGATTGTCTTGCACTTCAACGTCAATCAACAAATTGTCGAACAGATTATTGTCAAAATAATGGACAATGTATAGAAAATGAATTCAATGGAACTTGGGATTTTGGATGTGTATGTGGTCAATGTATTTACGGATCTCTATGTCATTTAACAACATCAGAATATGTATTTTCATTAGATATGATAATTGGTCAAGATATTCTTGAAAATGAATCATTGTCAATACAACCATCGTTGATTAAAGTCATTATGTCAATTCTTGTTCTTATGTTGATAATTGGATTCATTTCAAATGGTATATCATTTATCGTATTTAAACAACCACGTGCTCAACAAACTGGTTGTGGAATCTATTTGTTTTGTCTCCCTATTATTGGTCAAATTGGATTATTATTTTTAACTGGTCGATTTTTCTATCTATTAGGAACACAAATGTCTATTGTTAATAATCGATTGGCTGCTCATTGGAGTTGTATTACACTTGAATATGTTTTGAATGTTTGTCCGATACTTTACGATTGGTTTACAACGTGCGTAGCTGTAGAGCGAAGCATTAATATCATCAAAGGAATTTCATTCAATAAATCAACTAGCGTTTGGTGGGCAAAACGTATGATTTTTTCTCTCATCATTGTCGTTTTAAGCAGTACATGGTATGAACCATTTATTCACCATTTAATTGATGATCCTCGAACGACAACTACTCATACATGGTGTATTGTAACATTTCCCTGGTTATGGCTAAAATATTATCGATTAATAATAAATCTTATAAATCTGATTGTACCAGGTTCAATTCATTTGCTTGCTACTTTGTTTCTTCTGCATCGAACAACAAAAATAAAACAAATTTTAATAAAAGATCAACGTCAACGTCATTATTTTCGTTTATTAATAAAACAGCTTCCATTATATGGAAGTCCACTATTAGTTGTTACGCTTAGTTTTCTACGATTAATCTTTTCATTTACATTATCTTGTCTTACTTACCAATGGCAAAAATATCTTTATCTTACAGCTTATTTTATTTCTTTTTGTCCATTAATAATGACTTTACCAATGTTTGTTTTACCTGCGAAAATTTACAGGACAGAATTGAAAAATTTATCTTATTTTCGTTGATATTCCATATCTCTTCCCAAGTCGTTGTGACTCAGTCAGTTCCGATCGAAGTCTATTGAATTCAGATCAGATTCAAACGGATCCAATCGCTGTAATGATCGACCTGGGTTGTTGTTGCTGTTTTTCATCATAGAAGAAAAGTTTATATTTCGAGTCAAACTTGTCTTGTCAATGAAAATAGAATATATTTCCACTTAAAATCCAAGTTTTGTCTGAAAAATATTTATCTTCTCGAAGTTTCGTTTGTAATTCCCTTTTCTGAAAGAAAGGGTTATACAGATGTTAAAACCTGGGTTCGAAAAGCTTGAAGTTTGTTTGTCTGATCTATTCAATCAGAAATCGGCGTTTCTTAAATCAATGAAAATTACCGATAGCAACCATAGAAACTGAACACTAGTAAGATAATCGAGGTCGAGGAACTCGAATTTGGTATTAGCTTTTCAAAACTTTAGCTAGCTTATTACTAATTAGGGAATGAAAACTTTTTCGGTTATGGAGTAAGAGTTGACCAAAGAGTAATCAGGGTCAATGATCTCGAATCCCAGATTAGTTTCAACTGATTACTAACTGTTAATTAACTATCGGTTAACTAGGTATGAGTTATCAATATATATATACAGTAAGGGTTGATCGAAGCGTTATCGATATCAAAGAATACAAATTTGAGGTTAGTTTTTCCTTACTCACCAAGATGCATCTTATTCCCTTCTCTTTCTAAAACAGATATTTCCTGTATCTTTTCGAAAATCTTCTGTCGAAGTCGGTGAATGAAACGCCATTGTTAGACACGATTGCGCGAAGATAGTGGTTTATACCTTTGCACACAAGTATCACTCATCCGTTGAATCTTGAGGGTGAGGGTGAGGGTGCAGCTCAAAAGAGTAAAGTGAGGGTGCACGGGAGAGTGCGGCGCTAAGAACAGAGCGATACTGAACTTCATGAAGATCATTAATAGTTCGTAAGTTGATGAACATTATCCAGTTACTAAATATTTAATAATTCATTAGTCATTAGTATAAAATTTTAAAACTCGAATCGAGTTAACGATTTCTACACTACTCAACTAAATCCACCTGATATACATGAATTGGAAGAAATTCATTATTTCCTATATACGTATATTCCAATAAATGAAATAAAATAGATTCATCAATGGATATCAATGCATATCTCTTCCAGGTGAAAATATGATTTATATATCAATATTTTATTATTCATATTTATCAAACATAGCATCTATGCTTTTCTGCAAGAAAAAATATTTACTGGAAAAAGATTTGTTCGTAGAGTTGAAAAATGATTGATCTACATTTGTTGAGTTTTTTCTGGTAATAAATTTTCTTTCATTCAATTTAATATTGAGAAGTTCTATATGAAAAGTCAAATGATTTATTATGACATGTTTTATTTTATATTTCAACAACGCAACTAATATAAGTGAAAAGGCAGTTGATCTGTTTCAAAACATACTTGACAACAACAAGATTTTCTTTGAATTTCAATTTTAGCAATAATATTCGGTTGTACTTGAATAATGAGTTTTAATAGCAATAAAATAGGTGTTTGTGCTGTAAGATATTAAAGATTTTTAGAAAATCAATTAAATTCATATGATCATTTTAGACCACTTCAAATAATTCGAAACAAGACAAAGCTTTAACTATTGAATCAAGAATACTGTAAGTTATTTCTATGAAATGATTATGAAATATTGAATACAACTTGATAAATAATCAAACGTTTTTTTGTCTTAGATCTGAAAGAAATCGGAAAAGTAAAATAATTCGACTATTGTTGGCGATAATTACAAGTATTTTGTTAATGGGAGGTATTACAATTCCTTTACTTATTATTCGCAAGCTCAAATTGGACCCATCAACACTATTACCATTGACAAATCTAACAACAATAAATAACGCTCGTCGAGGCAGACTCGCTCAACCCTCAACTGAATGCATATACTGAATTATGCCTTCTATTGATGTCATTACTGGTATTAATTTGAATGATAGTTTTATATACTTGTTATAGCTCTTTTTGCCTAACTTGTCATCCGATAAATTACTTTATAACAAATTCAAATAATACACTAATTTAAGATGCAAGTGAGAACGTTTATTCTTAAAATTTTCATAATCTACTAGAGAACAGAAAGATTGCTTTATATTTGAATAAGACAAATAAAAATGAACATAAACAGAAATTGATATCTATGAAATAGCGTGTATAATATAATCAACAAAGAAGAAAATCTGCTTTAGAGAATATTAAACTATAAAATATATTCTCTCCTAGCATGACAGCGTCCTAAGAAGTAGTATCAATTGTGAAGTAGTTAAGGACGCTAGGACGCTGCATCTTTGGAGAAAAGTTGAAAATGCTATATAAAATATATTTTCTCTTAGTATGACAGCGCCCTAGCGTCCTAAGAAATAGTATCAATTGTAGAGTTGTTAAGCATGCTACTACTGTGTAGAAAGTGTAGAGATAGACCAAGAACAGAAATTTGTTCCGAAATTACAAACGATTACGGATTTTTAATTTGCCTCAAGACCCCTTGCAAACGATGTTTTATGAAGTTTTGAGCATTTTCAAAAAAATGTTTTTATGACCTTCGACCTTTGACCCTGACACAAACACACAAACAAACAAACTATTTTTTTTCATATGACCCTCCTTTCAGTCGAGGGAATTAATATCCCAATGCCAAAAGGACGAAAACATTATCAGCTTAGTAATTTTTTTTATAAGCATTTGACTCAAAATAGTCGATGTATATCCATTAAACAAAAACGTCCAGCATATGAACTTGATAATGATAATGAATTAACTGTCTCGTTTTCTCCATCAGTTTCTTTCAATTTATCAAATCAATGTCATACAGAAACAACAAATGAAGGTGTTGAAGAATCGATGGAACTGGACAACAATTCAGCGAAGCCAATATCTAAACGCAAGCGACGTCGAACATAATTACAGCGTGGTAACTAAATAACAATGATACGTTATAATAAGATTTCTTTGAAATTTTATTTTTTTTTTAGATTGAACTTCATCGTTTTTCAACCGATTTGATGCGTTATAGCGTTTTCCGGGAAATCCATTTTTCTTTGAAACTCCTTTATGCAGTACAGAACGGCAGAAGGATATATACGCCAGTGTGGTATAGGACGTATAAGGTGGTATAAGGTGGTATAGGACGTATAGGGTGGTATAGGGTGGTATAGGACGTATAGAATGCTAGAGGGTGGTATAAGGTGGTATAGGACGTATAGGGTGGTATAGGGTGGTATAGGACGTATAGAATGCTAGAGGGTGGTATAAGGTGGTATAGGACGTATAGGATGGTATAGGACGTATAGAATGCTAGAGGGTGGTATAAGGTGGTATAGGACGTATAGGGTGGTATAGGACGTATAGAACGGTATAGGCGGGTGAGGGTGAGGGTGATGACAACTTTGTTTGGTAACCATTTGTCACTGCGCTCTTGAATTGTTTTGTTCGAGAAACACAATCAAGTGAAGGAAGAAGATTTGAACATTTGAGATTAGTTCTATGGTGATGTTGTGTTTCGCTTGGATGCGGCTTACGTTCCAATGATAGATTGAATGGAGAATTGAAATAGCTACAAAAACTTGACATAGAACCAGTGGATTATAAAGATGTTGTTTTTGTTTTTGTGCTGCTTGCTCTGGATGCAATATTATATCAGCTTTTTTTACATAAGCTGTTATGAGAAGGAGCATATCGTAATTACTCTATGTGTTTTGGAGGTTCTTGCCGCATGGGCCGTTAAGACACCGTCCTTCAACTAAATGTTTATAAAAGTTGACCATTTGTTTTTAAATCGATATTTGTGGATTTTTATACGAGTAATATTAGTAGATGATTCGATCAAAGAAGTTTGGATGAACACTTCAGCATTAGCAAATTCTTGCTTCCCTACATGTATGTATGAATGAACGAATGCAGTTACTTTTGTAAAACATGCCGGATCTGTTAGGTAATAGAATAGTTCTTGATATCAGAAAACTGAGTTGCTACGAAATATTGTGCCGAAGCCAGAACTATTATCTATGAGTTTTGCATTTAAATGCTGATTGTTGTGTGAATTCAGATTAGTGCATAAAACCTACTAATAATTTCCTTCAATTGCTCATAAGTTTATCTATATTTTCCAAGGAAAACTGTATTTTGGTCAAGTGCTGTGCAATTAAGTTATCGTTTACTGCAACGCATTTAATCGCATTAAAATGAACTACATTCCAAAGGAGAAAATGATGTACCTGTTATTTCAAAGGATCAAAATGCTTTCCACAGATGAAGTCCCCATTTCGGAGTTTGGAAATGCACAGAGCAGAATAGCTGGCAATTAACAAAAAATTTATAAGAAGCTGATGATCTTATTAGTATTTGTGTATTTTCATAAGGCCATTTTAAACTATAAGATGAGTAGATCATTTCTGATGGAGATCGAAACTATTGTTTTAGCATTATAGGAGTCCTATTGAACTCATCTATAAAAAGAAAAAATTTAAAAAAGTTAAATTTCGTTGACAGCATTATCCTGTTACTTCTTTATTGCTTACTTGAGATAGAAAAAGATATCCGGCTAGCATACAAGTATTAACTTCTGAGAAAATTCTCTATGATAATGAGAGAGAATGTACGCTGGTTATCATTTACTATATGAACTCCTTTTTGATTGAAAATTCAAATATTACTTTGTGAATAATTCGTCTTTTCTCTATTTGATGTTGCTTATGTATCACATGATTTTTAAAAATACTTTGAAAATTTATGCACAATTGACTATATTGTTTAATTGCTCTCGTTATCTCAATTATTTTCTTTTGTCACGCTATGTTGTTGGATCTATTTGAGATTTTCTTAATATGTGACATGCGATTGTTCGATTTCTACAAGCTGTTTTATTCATGTTTTCTATTCGTTCAATTTCTGGTGTCGATTATTTTTTCATTTGATCATATTAATGATGTTCTAATCTTTTCTCACAAGATTTCTATGATCAATTTTTTTTTAATAATGCTTTCTATTATAAGTCAACTAGTTTGCTTTACATATATTTGTGAGAGAATGAACAAAGCATAGTTTTCCCGTCTTTGTCAAATGTTGTCTATTCGTTTTCAAAATAATTTGATAACTATTTACTGTTTTGAGTGTATCATGGGTGATATTTATTTAAACGAATATCGATATTAAGTATAGGGATAATCGAAAATTAACATATGAGTCGTTTTCTGTTATTTTATGGTCGTAATTTTTCAATAGAAATTATGATAATCTTAGTATAAATTTCACGATGATGTTTTTTTACCGATTAAATTATGTTAAATATCACATTGAAATCGTAAGAATTAAGTTATTTCTTAATATTACAAAGTCTACAAAGAAAAATCAAGAAAACATTGTCTAGAATTACAATAGTATACAATCTCATTCATTAATAAGCGCTAGCACTAGATGTCAAAACACAGTTGCCGATGAATCCTAATGTTTATATCTATTCTTAAACATACTGACCGTTTCGATTGATATCTTCTTCTATAAATGTCAAATGATGAAGGAATAATCTGGTTCATACTTAAGTATAAAAAATGCAAACATAATAATAACACTTCGTTTTCACTAACTGTTCGTTTTTATATTTCTTGTATTATTATTACTGTTTTCAAATAATAATCTTATTAATTCGAATAAATTTTGACGGAAGCACCCTATTTGAGTCTTATAATCAATTCAAAAGCATGTAAAATTATCAGTAAGTACAGTTGGAACATCATTCATACTATGGCATTCTTCATTATTGAATATTCATGTCGAAGAAATAGCCAACATCATATCGTAAAAAATATCAACGAAAAAATTAAAATTAACTACGTAAATAAGATTTAGCATTCTCTTCAGTCAGCAAATAGGAGAGATTTTCTATAACGAAAAGAAAACAAAATAAATCATAATCTCACATGTATTTTTTACAATCAAAAGATGAATCACCATTAATAAAATTTAAATTTTACACAACATCGTTTATCTTGATCGTGAGATGATAAATTTCTGCTAATTTTTTTGAATTCAATAAATGATAATGAATTTTTTCAATCAATAACTAAAATAACAGAATATGATTTGGAAAGAAGATACATTTACTTGCATTCATTCATACACACTCGTTCAATATAAGAATTCCAAAGGTCTTTTATTACATAATATTAATTATTGCCTTTTCATCTCCACTGTTTACTTATTGAATTGTGTCGTTCTTTCTCAGCATCTTTTATTGTTTTCTTTTTTCCTCTCGTGTATTCAAAAAGAAAACAAAATATCGAATTTCTAGTTTCGTAGAATTTCATGTTAATGTTCTCGATTTTAATTTTTCTTCTTGTCTATTATTAGTTGAAAATGCATTAAAATGCATTAAAATGTATTAACATGTATTAAGGTACACTTAAATGGATTAAAATGCATTATTTTATATGAAAGAAAACGAATATCTCAATTAAATATACGAATAATGAAATGTGTATAGACAGAAAATTTTTCTTCCTTCTCCTATATCCCGTCAATACACATACGATAGGAATGTTCATTTTCTTTCCGTTCTGTTCGTTATATACGCGAAGCAGACGTCTATCGCGTTCAGCTATAGATGACTGTTCTGACACTATACGTGCAAAGACAGCTATTTTGAAATAACCAGCCATTAATTGCCCGATGGTTTCTACTAACACTTCTCCGCCCTGATAAATTTTTTTTTTCGAATTCTGTATTTGGCTGACCGATAAAGCTTTTTCTGTTTCTTTTTTAGATATCTAACGTCGTTAACATTACTACGCAAGCAACGTGAAATTCAAAAGTTAGGAAAATAGACAACAATTCATTAAATTATCTATTAACATTGCAAGTAAGTATGAAAATTGAATAACAATATCAAATATCTATTTTTTAGATTTTCTCTTGGGCTTAATAGTTCTACATTTATTACGGTGAATTTGCTAATTTTTTTTGCAGCACTTAATCAATTGAATCGTTATCAAAAGTAAGTATTTATTATTCGAATACCATGTACTAACGTTTTGAGAAATGGGTATGTGTAAAAAGATCGAAAGAAAAAATTTCGAAAGAAAAACATCGAAATGAAAACATCGAAAAATGGAATTTCGAAAAAAGTAAAGATCGAAAACCTGAAATTTCGAAATTACCTCTATTAGAAAAGGAAAAGATCGAAAAAATGTATCCCGAAAAAGAAAATCTCGAAATGGAACAAGTCCGAGAAAAGTCCCATAATAATTATAAAGTCATCTATTGATGCAATGAGCGGCGATTATGTACTTATATTTTTAGTTTTCATTTCAAGAGATCATGATGAAGAAATTAAAAAAATAATGGAAGTTATGAAAATAAAGCGCAAGATCGGTTATTTGGTTGCTCCGATTAGTAGTGATAGTCCTTCGAGTAATTCACTCAGATTGATTTGCCCTTCGTTAAACTGCATTTGAATAAAAGAAATTCGTTCTTGTCGAAGAAGAACTTTTTTGCATTTGTCCTTCTTTTCGCCTGTAATCATTTTTAACATTTGTTGACGTACAAGAACTTCTTCCTTCTTCAAACAATCAAACAAATGCCAGACATTCGGATTGTATTTGGATACTAATCGATTGAATCTGTGGTTCCAACCTATACGAAAAATTAAAGACAAGAACAAAGAAAAGATGAATTACCTTCGACAAAGTTATTTGTTTTCATCTCGACGTCAGAAACATTCCATAATGTCCACTTTACTTTTGTCATCCAATACCGATCAAAATAATCAAGTAATGGTTTTAATGAACTTGGAGATTCACGTACAACTTCTTTAAAGGCAATTTCAAGTGCATCGATGGGCACAAGTGCAAGCGCCATCAGTTCACGTGAGCATGACCGTACAGATTCATCATTACGAAAATCAGCAACCAATCCAAGTTGTTGAATCTGACGATTAATTGCATTTACAAAATGAAAATTGCAGCCCACATGGCGTGTATTTGGCAACTAAAAATTATTATAATTGATTCAAAAGAAGAAATTATGCAGAGACGTACTTGGTCAGCAATTGTTTTGATAAGAGCAGCTTCGAAATCAGATGTAATTTTTTGTGGACGAAATTGAAGATTAAGTCGACCAGCATGCTCAGTGAGAATCGCGAACAACTCTTTATATGTTGCCGCAGTTCGATTACCAAGGAGAGCCGTAACACACAGAAAACCTGTACAATTTAGTCGAACGTAAAATGGGTAAGAGAGATCAACGGTGAAATTTACTATGATCATTTTTCATTGCATGTATCGTATAAACTTGATGAAAGTGCGACGGAGACGAATGAAATGTCCCATCCATCATAATATGGGTGGAGTTGAATAATGTTTTCAATTGATCATCTGTTGCAAATATTAGGATCCGATTAAAAACTTCTCCATCACACTTTTGCACGCGATCAACCAATAAGTAGCGTTTACCATCGTTGGTTGTTTTGTATTGTGTTGGAATATCAAAGTTGATTGCAGTTGGCAGGTTTGGAGTTGTTAATCGACGAGCTTGGTTAAGACCAGAATCTACAAGACAAGAAGTAGTAAAATCTAGTTTGAAAGTATACTCACTAGCATTTCTCGCAGAAGAAGCCATAGCAAGAGCTGGCTTTGAAAGATCTGCTTTCGCAAGTTCCTCGTTATAGATTTGACCAATTGCGGTTGTCTCGCTCAGGACTCGTTTTTTTATATTCATCATTAACTGACGAACTTCAACTCGTTCAGGCACCGGCATGTGATTGTGATGATGTTTGGTGAATTTTTTAAATTCCTTATTTGGATACAGATGAACACCTGCCCCACACGATATCTCTTCGCATTTCCAATATGACACGTTTTCAGTCGATTTGTTATGTTGGTAAATGTAATCATCAATTGATAATAATTGCTTCTTCTTGTTACTTAATATAAATACTAGTTTGGGTTTTATATTTGTGTTGATTTCTTCCATGGTGGTCGTGTCTTTGCGTTTAATTACACTACGGATTAAGAATGGCAATATATGTATAGGCGGTTTATGAATGGAAGAGTGATACTAGTTCATGTTAGACGGATTATATATACTAGAACGATAAACAAAGATTTTTACACAAACAGAGAATCCAGGGATAGAAACTGAACGGACGGATGAAGTAATCGAATTTTTTATTGGTGCTGACGTTTACAAAGGCTATGGTATGATGATATGATACGCTGATATTTTTCGAGGTAAAAAATTCGAAAATCTGCTTTTCGATATTTGAAATTTCGAAATATTTATTTTCTAGATTTTTATTTCTATATTTCCCTCTTTCGAAATTTCATATTTCGAGATATTTTTTTCGGGATTTTATTTTTCGAGATTTCTTTTTTCGAGATTTTTACACCAATTCAAGAGAGCTATTCATTATGAATACTCGATATCGTCACCGCGTATGATCTTGATAAGAATTCAGTTTCTGAAGAAACATAAAAAAGAAGTTTTATTTGACTTGATCGAGACGTCAAAGTATATTGAACTGTTGAATGATCAGTTGGCTTAAGTTCATGCATACTACGAATACCTTGTATTGTACCTAAACCAAAAGCAACGTAAGAGAATAAAGTCAAAAGTCTTCTTAACTGTTGCTCGAAGTTTTTCGGTTCTAGTTTTATAAGTAAGTTTTCTTAATTTTTTCTACTTCATCCGAGTCAAGATAGAAGATATTAACAGGAGGATTATCTTTGTTGGATCTTTTTGCTGTTTCAAGTTGTTGTTTTTTTGAAAACTCGTAAAAATCCTTTGAGTTTGACATGAGAATGTTCTTGGAAAGTGTATCACGTCTGGCGGTAGACTTTAGTACTGCCCCAATTCCGTCTCCAGCACCTTTCCCATGACCCGTAGCTGTGAACGTCCAAGAAGCATCCAAACCAAAATCGTGCTTTTGATGCAGCAGGTTCAAGATACTAGCGTTATTCTTAAAATGGGCAGATGCTTCATCACTAAACGAATGAAGAGAGATAACATAGCACGTCAAGCACATAAAAAGATAAGATTTACCTCGCATAATCGATCTTTTTTACCAACGGAAAGTTTTTCTTAATAAATTCAACGAGAATTTTTTGTGCACAGTGAACGAATGCTGTTGAATGTTCCATATAATTGCTAAATTTATGTGTTCATCTCTAATGGTAAGATGGATTGTAAATAAGCTGGCTTGGTGCTGACTAAAGAATTCTTGTTGAACTTCACGCTGACGTATCAATGTATAATTCATTGAGAAATCTATCTGTGCCACCACAACCGAGTCGTTCGTCGACTTGCTGCGCGAGTCTTTGATGAATTCACGTTGTCCTCTGTTTATGTGTGTGTAGCGAGGATGATGGTCATCTATCTTCAATTTCCGATATGACAGATTCAACTGAGCCAAACATCTGTTGAAGGACGAACTTATTGTTAACTTTCTTTCACAGAGTCCATGAACATTCCTCATCCAGATTCACCATACTGTTACTAGTGAGAATATCTCTGATGTTCTTCGATGAACAATTCATTTGATTAATCAGATCTTTCATATTAATCTTGTTGGTTGCTGATAAAGCAGCTGTGCCAGCACATTTTCGATAGTGGTTGTTTTAAGCCTATAATGAAACTATTTAAAGTTTGAATCAACATACAAATGGCACAAACTTTCAACAACAAGTCAATATTCTCATGAGTTATACAGATACACGTATCATGTGGTGTCGCAGTTTTTACTTCTCGTGGTCGAAGGGCATTGAAAGTTGATCGCGCAACAGGTCCAGGATGTTGTTCATTGAATATTCGATACGCGTTCAACACAGTCATTTCTAAAAATCGAACTGCTACTGATTGTCCATCGATTTTGATCGTGTCTTCGGAATTGGATAAGATTCGACTGATACCATCTTCACGATAAAACTTGACCACTTCATCAATCGTTGAGTCAGACAAAGCACGATTAGTTCCTCGTAGACACTGTGGATAAGCGAGTATTCCACTGTTTTTTTCGAAGAACAAGCGATCGTCGAGCCTGATTTGGTTTTGATTGAAACCTGATAAATAGAAAGAATACGGAGATATTGAACAAAAAGAGAATAGAATACGCACCATTTTGCTATTTTTTATCGACCTCAATCTTTAGGAGCAATTGTCATCAGGCGAACCCTTTCATCAGCATTACTATCAGCATATAACTTTTTTAAACCACTCAAAAGTTCGTTCGATTCTTGTATTGTTAGTTCATTAGGATTGGCATCATTCGAAAGTTGAGATTTCTCATCCAGTATATCGCATAATCGATTTAGTTTTCGATAAACTTCCTCAACTTTGGTCCGAATGGGTGCTACTACTGATCTAAATACAATCGTCATTTCAGAAAATTCGAATTGAGTTTACAAACTAACCTGTCATGAATCGGATCTATGTTCAGTAATTTGAATACAGCTGAGAATTCTTCCATTGCTTTGCCGTTCTTATATTCGAGTTCATAGAAAACATGATCTATCTCGTCGTTCTTCGATTTGGGATCAGTTGGGCTTTCATCCATTTGTGGTGATTTATCATCATTGTCGTCGGATTTAGCTATAATACCACTATTCATATGAGAATTTTGTTTCTTTTTTTCGTTCAGTTCACTGACATCCATATCGACAGCATCATTATCATCATCATTTTTATTTTGATTGATAGGTGAACCTTCCGTCGCGAATTCTTCACCACTCGAACTTTCATTATCGTTGACTTCCATTGATTGATGATTCATCAATTTCTTCGATTCGAATGTATGGCATCTTGGATATAATCAACAAATCCGATTGCAAACCGCATCATAATGAGAAATCAAAAAATTTGAAAGCTGCATAGACACAGACTTGACTCCTTTTGGCATACATGTAGATTTCTCATGATTTATCGGATCTTCACAATATTTTTGCCTTGGTATCGAGATAAAATTCTGGAAAAATGAGGTACGTTCTCGAATCTTCATCACATGATAAAATCAATTCCACCGTACAAAAATTAATCGGGATTTTGTTTGTCGAACACTATGGTTTAATGATTGTAATTATAACTTCTATTATGATAAATGTCAACCATGAGAATGTCATTTGATATTGATTAAAAATTTTCGATTTATTACATAGTCACAACAACCATTCATGTTTCTGGCGGTTTAATCAAAGTAATTACTGCAGGAATACCTTTCATTATTAAGATTTGTTATAAACTTATCCGATATTTTCAATACAAGAGATTTCTTAAGGATAAGGATAAGCATCCGATATTCTTGTCGTGACTGATACCCTCACTTATCCTAAAAAATCCTGTTGTAAAAACACTTCTTGTTCATGTCGACTCATAGATAGAAATATACAAAATATTGAGAGATTGATTTAGTCTGATCCACTTGTTACATACACTTTTCAGTAGATTTTTACTATTTTGTACTGATTTTCGAGTCATTGCGATGTTGACTACTACTTTACAATCATCAATAAAAAAGAATCCTCAGTAAAAATGACTAGACCGTATAACCCTTTACGTTTATTTTTTTTTGCACCATATCGGACAAAAAATGGAAAGAAAGGACAGAATCGTGCAGTGCAATCTAATGAAAAAACGTGCTCGATAGTTATTTATGCATATTCATGTTATTCGTGCCTGTGTCAATTGCTTCATTCTTCTACTCACCTAAACATATACATTGCTTGAAGAAGAAACAAGTATTACCATTCAGTATACATACACAACACGGCTTTCTAACAAAATATACTAGACAATCTTCAATATCTCCCAACATTAAATACAATCGTAGGTTCACATAACGCAACACTTCAGAACTTGAAATAGATGTTTATATTATCCTGCAAACTAATTGTTGGAGTCCATGTCAAAGCAGTTTTTCCAATTGGGTTATGTATTGCCTTATAATCTGATACTAATTAAGCATTTTAGTGTCGCGCGTTTTCTTCTTATTTATTTATATCTACCGCTAAGATATCGAAATAGAACTCAAATCCCACAAAATCCGGATTCAATGGTGACTTCCAAAATCAAATTTCGAAAAGAAAGTTAGGCGTCGATTTCTTTTGAGCATATGAATATCAAACGTTTTTGAAAATAAGTGAAAGATTTTCTCCTGTTTCCAGATGGAGTTATTCTCAAAATAATATATGCACAAGTAAACTTTTCCTGCATAACAGCGGCCTTTTCATATGCTCATTGCAGCGTATCATTCATTGATATTGAGTTTTTTTTTGCTTTAGATTCGAAGAAAATGGGTAATTTTTTCAGTGATCTGCTGGGTATCGAAGCGGCTAGTGATAACTTTTCCAATGCTATCGTAGCAGCGGAAGTAGATGCATCTAGACAGTTACGTTATGTCTTGCTTATGGCTCTCAAATATGTTAGGTCGTTCACGCCGATCATCGTTTTGACCATGATTTCTCTAATTCTTCTCTTACTGGTCAGTATTTTATTCACATTGAATCGATTATTTATTGATCTCGAAGTGAATCTCACGGTTCGTCGATATATCACGTATGGAATAGCAATTCTTCTATATGTCTGGTTTACCGGTGTTCAAATTGTAGCAGCAGTTAAACAGAAGAGTGCGACTTCTATTTTTATTGTCATAATGGCTTGCCTAGGACTGACGGTTATTATAGCTATTTCTATCGGGTCCATTCGTCGATCGACCAAAAATAATCAATGGAGCTCAGATTCTGAAAAAGAACTGCTTCCGACTAAAGGCAGTACAGCGGATTATTCCCGATCAAAAACAGATTACACCAAGCTATCAGATGAGAAAAATTGACACTTTTTTCGCAGTCGTTGAAGATCGCTCTATTTAAACTTTAATTAAATTCTATAAAATCCTAGAAGTTTTGATCTTTTTAATACACTTATCTATAATTTTACTAAATAGAATTCATGGATTTTAATGAAGTTTCTATTTTGTTTTTTTATTTATTTTCAATCCAGCAAATAGGAACACTTTGTGTTACCATCCGTTGTGTATTCTACTGGATAAACCGTTTTGCATGCGTCGCCTTGACCATTATTTGGAATACATGGTTTCTGCCTATTCACAGCCCAATAACAAATTCCACGACAACTTCCCGAACTAAAGAATACCTGGCGTAAATACGAATATATATTTTAGATATTGTCTATTTTATTTTTGCTTCTCGAAGTGTTTTCGACTGTTCAATGAACAGTTGATGCTTTATGCTGATTCACCCTCATCGATGTGAGTTTTGCAAATAAAAATTGAGTCTTATATGTGATTTATCAAACAAAACATATGCGTTCTTCTTGAAGATTTTTGTAATTTTATCCATCTGGATTTAATCAGTTTCTTTATTGGCTATTGTCGATAAGAACGAGTGTTTCTGCATTAATAATCAATCTGCTACTTTTTTCCAGTTAAGGGGTGGGAATTTAACCAATATTCTGATGATTATGGCGGCAATGTATCTTCAGAGACAACAGGTTATAAGAGTCTTCGTACCCCCTCTTGACAGATTTATCCGTCAATTAGACGAAGTTTTTCTTTTATTAAGCTTAAACGACTGATTATCTTGTGACGATATGTAATACCTTTACAAGCACGTGTATGAGTAATTCGTTATCAGAAAGATGAATTTTCATTTTCTCCTCTCTACCTAAAAGAACAGCGCAAAGATATGACAGATTTCGAACAAAAGCTACGAACAAACATCGTACAGACAATAATCGATGAAAATCTACCGTCAGATAGTGTCATTTATTACTCAAACAATCAGGGTTGGATTAGTTCCATTAATAACAAATGTCCTCTTCAATCGCTTGGTCCTTTTGGTAAGAAAAAAACTCAGTATTGCATAATCATTTTCTTTATCAATTTCATTTAAGTACTGAACCAGCCAATGTTTCGACCGATATTATAGCAAATATAAATATGTATAGGATAACACAGTTAGTGGAAATATCACTGAAATTTATCAAGCCGACGACGTCGATTGCATTGGTCAGCATGCTCTGATGACAGCAGTAACTCTTGAGGGTGATGCTCTTGACACTGCAAATATACTACGTAGTGCAACACACTTCTGTTGAGTTCATCCACCCGTTGGATTTACTCAATTGCACCTGAAAACAAAGAAAATTAATAAACGAGTGGCAAGGAGTGATCCATCATGGACATTTTGTCGTTTGGTAACGCGTGACAAAAAATATCCTTTGTCCTGGTACTTTCTTTTGTAGGGAATGAAATTTCGGATCGACTGCTATGTCTAACGACATGTTTTGGAGAGATCTGACTACATCTAGAATACTCCTTAGAAATGTTATTTTATGTGAACAACTTCATATGCACCACTATTGTTGTTTTCTAATTATTTCTTCCGTCAAAATTGAATACGATCTGTGTCAAGTAGCTAGAAAATAATCAAAACTAAAATGGAACATGAATACAACTCTCAGTCGTACATATCACAGTAGTTTACGTAATCGTTCATGTCTCCAGTGGCATATGAAATATAAATAGAAATGATTATCTTATCAAGCTGATTCTCAGAATTATGACTATTCTAGTGCACACTTCATAGATGAATGTTAGAATCAAAGTCTACATCTGCACAAATTCCAACCTTGTTCAGAAAATATATACACGATTGAAATAATCTACAATTGTGTCAGTAACTCGCTAGTTGTGTGGCGAATATACTAAACGAATGAAAAACGGGGGTGCTGCAGACGTGCAGAGAGCAAAAAGGGAGAGCGATTTATGGAATAATGCAGACATATGTCATAGTAACTATGGAGAATCAAGATGTAAAAAGATGAAAGTTATAAACTTATATATATAAAGGAAAGTGTGGATCTCGTAAAACTTTCAGATTTGTCTTTTCTTTTTATTAGCATTTATGACGAATCGCTGAACGTTAAATTAGAGATTAAGTTAGTCCTTATAATCTAACTGCCTTGGGCCGTTTGTCCAGATAGTAGAAGGTGTGGGTATGGATCTAATCAAGGTTATTTTTTTAAAATCTCTCTCCTTTGTTCTTTATCGTTATGATTGCTTTTTAATTCTTCATATATGAAGCTAATAGCCAAAGTTCAAGCGTAACGCTGTGGCGCGTTTTTTTTCATTTATTTGAATATAGATACTGTCTGTTTTTCTTTCCGGTCGTCTATTGAGTAAATTACGCCAATATGATACTGCTGAAGAAATTTGTAAAATGGCACTTGATCATACAACAGATGAAAATACAAAGGCAACAATTTATATAGGTCTTGATAAAATCAGATACAGTCCAGGAAAATATGAAGAGGTAATCAAATTCAATGAATTACTCCTTTCCTTACTCTCTTGTGAAACAATTTTTTCCACAGATCATTCATTTCTAACAAGCATTTATCAAAATATCGGTAGTACATACCATAGGATGGACGACTATCGCAGAGCACTATTTTATCTCATACTATAAAATCAATTGAAACACTTTTGACGGAAAGTGAAGATGGCTATATAGAGATATAAATAATATAAGTAAACGATTTACAACACCTTATTTGATATCATTATTATTTTCTGTTCGGATAGCAGACCGATATATAAAAGTGAAATAAACTGTGGAACGCTTTTGATCAATCCATATATCATAGTCTATAGGCACCCGACTCCTATGTAATTTGTTATAGCAGAGACGATTTTTTGTAGAAAATTGACTGGTATTAAAATATGTGTCGATTAATAAAACACAGATTATACAAAATGACTTCAATATCTTTTTGTTGAACTATGTGTACTCATTCTCACTTCTCTCAAATGAAATATTCTAATCACGTTTCAAAAAGCTGATGCAAAGTAATTACAATATTCTAAGCTTTTACACAAAGAAACACGTTTCACGAAAATTTTCATTGGCATGTTTATGATACCCTCAAATTGTGTAGATAAAAACATAATTATGGAGTAACGTTTGTATGATTGTATCAAAAAGCACGTGTGCATACGAATCGAAGGTAAGAATATTACATATTTACCTGTTTATTCATCATTTGAGGAGAAAAAAATGAATGGAATAAGATCTATTTTTGCTCGAAATTTCAATTGGTTTTCGAGAAAAGCAAATAATAACTCGTCGTTTAGTTAGTTATTCAAGAAATTCTATTCTTTAATAAAGCTTTTGCTTCGATTTAGGTGGACGGTTAAAACGAAATGTAAGAAATATTATCATCGTTGGTATTATTGGTGTTGGCACATATCATGGTTATCGAAAATATCATCGTTATCAATGGAGAAATGCAGTCAATGATTTAAATGAAAATCTTGGAAGAAAACCACGATTAATTGTCTTAGGAACAGGTAAAACAAAATGAAAAATCTATTCTTATCGAAAAGATATTTGTAGGATGGGGTTCTGTATCCCTTTTAAAACATATTGATACATCAAAATATGAAGTTATTTGTGTATCACCACGAAATTATTTTCTCATGACACCATTATTACCATCAGTTAGTGTTGGAACAATTGAAACTCGAACTGTTATCGAATCCATTCGATCATTAATTGGACCACATATTCAATTTCTCGAAGCAAATTGTTTTAATGTTGATATCAATTCCAAAACAATTTCATGTAAGACAAATAATGAATCGAATCAATCAACATTTAATCTGAATTATGATATTCTTATTGTTGGAATTGGTTCAGAAAATAATACATTTAATACGCCTGGTGTTGAACAATATGCACATTTTCTTAAAGAAATACCTGATGCTCGACGTATAAGAGCAAAGATTAGTGATGCTTTTGAATTTGCAATGATACCAACACAAACAATTGAAGAAAAAAAACGTCTTTTACAATTTATTATTGTTGGTGGTGGACCAACCGGAGTGGAATTCGCTGCTGAAGTATTTATTTTTATAGTTTATCTATCTATATTAGTTATCTTTCTTCTTTATTAGCTATCTGATTTAATTCATGAGGATTTAAAAAATTATTATCCACAACTAGTTACCAATGATGTGAAAATTACATTAATTCAATCAACAGATCATATTCTTTCAACAATGGTTTGTTTTTTTTCTCTAAAGATTTCTTTTATCGTACGCTTTTTTCACTAAAATGTATTTTGATTAGGATAAGAAAATCAGTGAATATACGGAAAAACATTTTCATCGTGAAAATATTGAAATTTTGACAAATACTCGCGTAAAAGAAGTACGAGAACGTGAAGTTTTACTTCAATCAAAAGATTCTAATGAACAACGACAAATTCCATGTTCAGTTATTGTTTGGGCAACAGGAATTCAATCAAGACCATTAACTAATGAAATTCGACAAACAATTGGATTAAATATTCAAAATAATCGAATGGGTCTTCTAACAGATCAATATTTACGTGTGAAAGGTGTTTCAGATCAATCAATATTTGCTTTAGGTGATTGTGCAACGATTGAACAACTCAAACTTCTCGATCAAATTCAATCTTTATTTGAACAAGCGGATACAGATCATCAGAATGGTTTAGATTTACAAGAATTTCGATCATTAGTTCAAAAGAATATCGCTCAATATCCACAAGTACACTCAATTTTAATTTTCTTATCTGATTTTTTGTTTTTTAGTTAGAAATCTTTGCAACAAGTATTGAAAAAGCATTTGCAGAAGCTGACAAAGAAAATTCGGGTTATTTAACAGTTGATACACTTCGTTTTATCTTAGAAAAAGCTGATAAAAAGATACGTACATTACCAGCAACAGCACAAGTTGCATATCAGCAAGGTTGTTATCTCGCAAATTTATTAAATCATATCAATGATTTCAAATCGATTCATTTTCAAGAAGGAAATTTCGAACCATTTCGTTATAAACATCGAGGTTCATTGGCATATGTTGGTGGAGATTCAGCTGTTTTAGATTTCAATCATTCGAAAACGATTTTCGAAAGATTTTCATTGAAATCATTATCTGGTCGTAGTGCGCTTTACCTATGGAAATCATTTTATTTAACTGAAATGTTTACTGGACGTACAAAAGTTTTATTAGCTTCTGATTGGATTCGTACTCAAATTTATGGAAGAGATATTAGTCGATATTAAATCAATGACAAATTGTTCAGAAATAAAGTTTGAATAAAAGATAAGATTTATCAATATAGGATTCAAACTTCTAAAAACTAATCGTAACTTTATGACCTTTGATGACTCTTGCGAAATGAAAATGACTTTGATATTTTCATTGTGTACTTTTCTTCATATTATTTTAAAAGAACTTTGAATTCATATATTTGTCAACTCATTATATTGATTATTGTACTGAATAATAATAAAGAAACTCACATAAAGTCGTCGATAGATTAGATCAGCTCAAAATGAGTGTCATATGGAATCTATTAGGCTGGGCAAAACCGAGCTTCGACTCTCGATTCGTTTTTGGAAGTTGAAATCTGTTGCGAACAACTAAACCGTGTCTACGACAAGTAGATGAAGCGTGCTGAGAATTCTTCGGTTCGAAGCCAGCAGAATGGTTCTTCAGTCAAATCCGAATGCTTGCAGATCGGTGGCGGAAGATTGTTGAAAACAATGGACTTTGTTATGAAGAGTAGTTATTATTTCTGAATAAGTTTGTGAATGAAAATCAACTTTGTCAAAAGTGTTGCAGAACTTTTTGCCCAACCTAGTAATTGTTTGAACTGGGATTTTGGCCATTTTTGATCATTATTAATTCAACAAGCCATCCAATACTCTTCTAAGCCGAAGTGAAATCTGGATTATGGCAGCTAGTTTCACCCCCACACTCTTCTTCAGAGTCGCACGGAATTCATTTCGTTCGATGGGAAGATGAAACATTATGTTGGTCAAATGACTTTGCTTAGAAGCTGTTTATCCTTTCTACAATAATTTTCATCAATTTTTCGTAAAAAAGTAGTTTGAAAAGAAATATAATAATGTCGCTCCATCCAAATCACAAACAATTCCACAGCCATTATCTTAAAACTTAAATAACTTTAGCTTAAAATTTGATTTTTGCCAAAGTCTCGAAGGATGAATTGAACTGGATATTATGAAAGCATTTTCACCTTCAGAACCATTCACAAAACCCTCAATTTTAGAGCCACTGTATTCACCGAATTTGGAATCTGATTCACTTTGAGATTTCATGTTACTGAAAATTTCGTTGAGTTTATTCGCACCGTTTATTCGTAGTTTGATGTGCAAGAAATGTTAAATATAGTCAACGTTACATTGTTTTACCATTAAAATGTAAATTAAGACTTATTTCGTACAAACGCAAATTAAATCAGAACCAAAACACACATATGTGCTTCCCATTACCAAAGGATTAATATACTGATGAAAATGCCACAATATATTTAGAAATAGCTTCCAACAAATTGTACTTTATCAGCCTTTACGGTAAGTTTTTCTTGATTAAATTCCAAATGAAAGGGGTTGTCTGACTTCCAGCTTTTTCATTCTAAAATTACTTTTTCTTCTTCTAATCTTTTACGTATATAAATGAAAGAGGTAAAAGTTTGTGCGAATAAACCTTTATCTTTGTCTTAAACTTCATCATGGCAGATCTAGCAACTATTCTTTCTATTCTTCAATTGGTTTTAATGGGTTTAGCCTTAGTTTTGACTTTGATCTATTCACTTTCAATTCTATCAAATCGTCGATTTCATCATCAAAATAATATCTTTATACTTAATATCTGTTTTGCTATAATGACAAGTGCGATTTTTTTTCTTGCATATCTTAGCATATTAAATTTCAATGTGAAGCTTTTCTATATTTCCAATATTTGCATAATTATATACTATGCATATAGTATAGCAAGTATTCAAATACCATTTGCATTTGTGGCATTTACTGTACATCGATTTTGTTTTATATTATATCATACTCGACCTTTCTTTCGAACAAACAAATGGGTAATTATTTGTATTGGAGGACAATGGATTATTCAATTTCTTATTTCATTACCATTCATTATTAGATCACAACCAGTAAGTACTATACGGTTCTTATTTTACTTTCTTCAAAATTTGTTTTTCTTTTCTCCAGTATTGTCTTATTCCAGTACCATTACGACTTTATTTTTTTATGATAGTAGTCATTGTACCATTATTTATGAATATTATTTTGAATGTGCGTATATTTATACATGTTCGATCATCAAGTTGTCGTGTTCGACCTGCGTGGACTGCTTCTACAATTATCAATGTAAATAACACTCAACAACAACAACAACGAAAAGCATCAATTAGCCGCCGAGAAATATCGCTATTACGCCAAATGATTTTTATGTTTACTATGTTTATTGGTGGTTGGACTCCAATATATTTTATGCTATATCTTAGTCAAATTATCTACATCAGTGGAATAATACAACTATTTGCTACAATATTATGCGAATTTGCTTTATTAAGTTTAATCATCAATTTATTTATTTGTAATCGTGAATTACGAGAATATTTAATGAACAAACTTCGCTTTTGTCTTATGAGGGAATATATTTAGATGATGAAGCTATTCAGATCCCATCTTTTAGTGATAGACAGATCTCAATGAAGTATGAAAAAGGTCATGAGGATTCGTGCCCTCGCGCCTTTGTTCCAAAGATATTGAGTTCTCAAGATGTATACAAAAAGAGACTGAAATAAAGAATGATCGTTTTTAGAGAACAGTAGAGTTTTCAGGTGAAAACTTTTCCCCGGTCTTCTGCAGTGCTTGCATGATCCACCCTTGGTTATGAGTTGGATCATGTCTCATTAATACTACGTCTACTCAATGTTCATTGACCCATGGAACTATCAGAATTTTCCACTTCACGTCCGATATTATTATACATCAGAAAAGTCCTCACATGGGAAAATCAGTGAAAATGATAGCTCAAAAAAAGTGATTAAAACATAGTGATTTTTCACACCAGCTGCATCAGATAGAAGGAGCCACATCGCATGAATCTGCGGCACATACTTTCGTGTCGAAAGAAAAACAGACTTCGATCACAGTTTTGAAGGGTCCTGGATAGTTGTCTGTATAGCCACTGGCATACCAAGCGTACTCGATCATAGGACGAAAAACTTCGGAAGACAGTTAGTTATGAGTGAGTGACATAAGACGAACAATATCTTCCCGCTCGCTACTGTTGATGTTAACTTGATCGAGTAGCACACGATCGTACGATCGACGAGGGATCACTTTCATCTGTCTTTTAAAAAAGACATCTAATGGCTGAATTTGGTCTGTCATTTTCTTCGGTATTTCGACTCTCGTACATCCAGAAAGATGATCGTGCAAGCCCTTTCCATGTGTTGGACCGCCCCAACAGTCCGAAATAAGTGGGAACTTTTGACGTCTTAAAAAGATGTGAACGAATATTCGCACTCATATGTTCGCTGAGCTCCTTCAAGCAAAGGTAAAGTGGTGAGAGGAGCTGACCATCAAGTGTACTTGTTGGCTGCACTGTAACTGTGAGTAGTGGTGTTTATGGAGCGAACAGTTCCAGTTGTAACTTTTCTCTCCTTTGTGGCGCAATGTTCGATTAGAGTGCAGCTCAAAATGGGTTTCACTTTGATCGGTGTTGACGCTTTCGTTGGCTTGGTATCGGGGCGAACGTTTGCGAACATCAGATATGAACTGATCGGCCGAAGTTCTGATGATCGCTCTAACTTCTGCATGATGCTTCGTCACAATCTGCAAATAACAAATAATTTCGGTAAGTTTTTTTTCAAACGTTTTTGGCGAACTTAACGATTGACGAAAATCAAGAATTTTGGAACTCGTAAAATCTCCTTTTCTCATCTGTCCTTAGAAGAGAAGTTTCTCTCGCAGATTCATAAAACTGATCAGCAATCTCTTACCTTGGTCACCTTGCGCGAGATGACTTTGTGTTTGTTTTTAAAGGAGTGCAACCAGTAACTAGAGGCGACAAAGTTGTGTAACGATTCATCCAAAGCCTTCCTAAGAGCCCATCGACGTAGATCAATATCGTGTACTGGCAGTGCATTCTCCCGAGCCCGTGCAAACATATCAAATACATAATCATTGATTTTTTCGAGCTTTTGTTTCTTCGTTCCGTGTCCAGTTGCTTGTTTGTATGCCACTCGTATATCGTATACAATCGAATGAAGAAAAAAAAAATGAACGTCAAATAGTTATCAAGAAGACGTGATCGCACACTATAGCAAAGGACACGAAAAAGAGGGTAACCGATAAACTATCATCATTCTTTCCAGCAATTTTTTTTTTCGTGTATAACAATATTAGATGTGAAGTGAAAAATTCTGATAGCTCCATGGGTCGATGAACATTGAGTAGACGTGATATTAATGAGATATGATTCAACTCATAAACCAGAGTGGATTATGCAAGCACTGTAGAAGACCGGAAAAAGTTTTCATCTGAAAACTCTACTGTTCTCTAAAAACGATCATTCTTTATTTCAGTCTCTTTTGGTATACATCTCGAGAACTGAATATCTCTGGAACAAAGGCGCGAGGGCACGAATCCTCTTGACCTTTTTCATACTTCATTGAAGTCTGTCTATCACTAAAAGATGGGATCTGAATAGCTTCATCATCTAAATATATTCCCTCGTTAGTCGAAGTAATCAATTCATGTATGCAAAAGATGTACCGAAAGCGGCTAGTGGTTCTTCGGTACCTTTCTAGCGCTTTACTCATGACTAGCCGCACGTATCGTCTCGATGTATATAGACTAGCAACTCATCTGATCAAGAAAAACTCATAATTGATCATAGTTTCCTGGCTCATGCACTTGCAGACTCATTCTCATATATAGTCCGTAAGTCTTGAACTCATTAAAATTTCAGCTATAGATTGTTATCGAAATCGCTTAGACCAATATGTAAATCGTGCAGCCTATAAATGAAGATTCTTTGATACTTCTTCGAGGGTTAGTATCGGGGGGTGTACGATTTGAATCCATGTTGTAGATGAAGACTAAACATTATCTTGAACGTCTCTTCAGAGAAAACGATTTTTTACTTCTGAAATGTAGACGAACGTATTCTCCAAACATTCTATCAATTTTATCATCAGATATAATCCCTTCCAGTCGAGGGCACCGGTAAGAAATCAAGGCATCAACAGTACATTATCACCTCTCTACCATAGTTCTAGGGATATTGGAGGGGCTTGTGGGCTAGAATCCCTTTGTAAAATCTAAGTAATGTATCCCTCCCCAGCGCTACAACTTTCTTTCCTAAGGGATTCGGGAAAATATTTCTTTGGCCTCTGACTTTTAAAACCGAGATGTTTCTATCACCTATGGTCACTTACCTAAAGAAGCTTATTTTCATCTTTATGAGATATCGAAAAAAATCTTTTTCTGACTTTTGATCCCGAGGACGAATGCACTCTCAACCTCATCCCACTCCTCCTTATCAACATCCCTCCCAAACCGTATTTAACCCTTTGAGTCACATAGTAGCATTTTGGCTACACATGTTTTGTATTTATATTTTATCGAATACTTAATACGAATTTGCTCGTAGTTCTTTTTGAGTAAAGCTTTAAAGAATGTTCTAGAATTCGCACAGAGCATATATGAATAGAAATATTGTCGTATTGAAAAAGGTCTTGAATGTATGCAAATGCTACTTAAATACATGTATATGTTGTGTTCAAACTAAATGTTTTACCTAAGATGTGACTTGGGCACATACTATTATATGGAATTTATTGTGCTACAGTATTTGCAATTTTTTCTAATATATCCGTCATTCGATTTAGAAAAAATTGCAAATACTGTGACACAATAAATTCCTCAATACTTATTAGCATAAAACGGAATATTCAGAATGTCTCTCTTTATGTAAAACGAACAAAGATTTGCTCAAATGTGGTTGAAAATAAATATAACAATTAAAATATATGTTCACACTAGACAATTTCAATGAATCTAAGCGAAGTGAACTGTGACCATGTCCATCACAATTCTTTATTCTATACACTCTTCACTTAGTATACACCAGTTTGATAATTTACTTGGATGCATCTTAGTAAAAATAATTTGGGACTCAAAGGATTAACAAACTTTTGAGCGCTTTTGAGGAAAATGTTTTTCGACTCTTGACTGCCGATCCTCAGCTCCCTCCCAAACAATGCTTTATGAAATTTTAAGAATATCAATATACATTGATCTTTGACCTGCGACAGACACACACAAGCGAATTTCAGTGTTTTGACGACTTTTTTTGACATGACCCTCCTTACAGTCGAGGGAACAAGGATATATATTAAACGTGAGTTGTATACGTAGGTGTTCTATTTCTATAAGTGCTGAGTGTCTTTAGTAATTCTCCAAATATATTGTAGCAAAAGAATGATAAATGCATTTAATTGCCTTTCCATTCCAATCTATTTTCTCAACCGAAATGATGCATTCTTTTGGGAACAAGGTGACATTTTAATTGTTTTTGCCAGAGCACTGAATGAATTTGTCAAAAAAATTATGAGAAATATCTCAAATTATGTCAAGTAGGTGAAAAAAGATAATATCTATAAGTATAATAGAAATGTCTGATGGAGATTCAATACAATGTTCTCAATATACAAACGATAAATAGAATGATACTTAGTTTGGAAATCTTTGACAAAATCGATTTAATAATTACATTCACCTATGTTGTATTTACTAAGCTCACAAATGAATGCATAATGCGTTGATTTACGCATACGAATAGTGCACGTTTAGAACATATTTTGTATGAAAACGATCATAATTTTATTGTGTTGGTCGTAACGCACTTTGAGTTATTTCTTTAAACGACGAAATGGAGACTGAAACATGTGAATCACCAATCACAGATCTTGAACATACAGCACAAAGTTATATAAATTCAAAACCAATTCTGTTTTCAAAAGAAATCTAATTGTCTGTATATTTCTGAAGTTATATATACATTCGGCAACGGTGTTTCCTCCTACTTGTCAAAGCAAAATTTGACTTATGATTGCCATTTAAAAATCTGAAATAAAGAAAAATATGTTTCCTCGCTGCCACTGTTTGAAAAAAATATTAAGAACTATATCGGAAGTAACGTTTAAAATAAAATACTTCATGGAATTGAAATAAACTCGATATGTTTCTTCTAAGACAAAATAAACATCTATTAAGAAATGCAACTAACCTTTAAACCATACTAAACGATTTTTAGTTTCAAATCCGTATATACTGTGAGGCAACATATCTTGTATTTTAGCATTTTTTGACACAGAAAAATGCCTTAGCAGATTTTTATGACAGAAAACAATTGTGTTTTAAATCAAACACGTCAAGATCCAGTTAAAAAAGCTGATTGTCTGTGTATTCAATCCTTAACGTGATCGATCTATAGAAAAAATACTGATATAGTTAAGCGTGCTTTGTTTCACTAAAATATCTTTCAATGACCGCGACCGAATTGTGTATTTGCTTTGAATTCGACGTTGACAGATAATACATAATTGATCAGAAGGTACAAAAGTTTTGCGCTGATAGAGGTTTTTCATCCAATGCTGTCGAGCTATATTCTAACTCAATTAAAAGAACGCTTTGGAAATTTAGAAATAGACTAATCATATTTTTGCTAATAATCCATGAAAAGAAAAGGAGAACGCAAGAAATATGGGTAGAGATTTTGTTAAAAGTAAAAATTTTCTATTCTATCGGGAAGATAAAAATTTCTCGTTGTTCGGAAAAACTCTCTGCTATACTTACAAGGTAAATTCTATCCTTTATCAAAATATTAACAGTGGAAATAATTTATACTCATATTCTGTTTGCATCGAGTCAATATGTTATCATTACCAGAAATAACACTTAATCTTACTTTCGTCGGTTTCTTTACTGTTTTATTTGTTGGAACAACTGGAAATATTCTCAATCTTACCACACTATTATCGAAAGATTTTCGAAAACAATCGTGTATATTTTATCTGATTTGTTGTTCTGTATTTGATATGCTCACCGATGATGCTGCGATTATCGTTCGATTCTTGACAGAGTATTTTGGAAATAACCTGTATGTTACAAGTCATGTTGTATGCAAAATTCGTCCTTACTTCTTCTTCTGTTTACCAGCAACGGCTTCAACATGTCTTTTATTAGCGGCATTTGATCGATGTGTTTCAACATCATTACACGCTTGGTGGCGACGATTGAGTTCAATGTGGTTTGCTAAGCGTCTTTTCAGCGTACTCATGTTATTTCTTTGGACTACAAGTATTTTTCATTTTATTGTATTTGATCTTCGAAATGGTACATGTGCACCTTTGCCTGGTCCTCTTTCGGTTGTAACTACTGCTTATAATCTCATTTTCGTGTCTATCATTCCTGATGGAGGTACGTTCATTTGTGGCATCATAACGTGGATTCATATACATCAATCGAAAAATCGTGTTGATTTCAATATTCATGGCAACAATCAGACACCGAGTAATCGACGAACGAATCGACAGTTAGTCCTTTTAGTATTTGGACAGGCTTCTGTGTCCGTCGTAATCGGAGCTTTACGATCTAGCGCATATGCATACAATTTGCTGACGAGCTCTGTGAAGAAGAGCATTGAACAACAACAAATTGAATATTTCATTCAGCAAAGCACTCTTATACTTTTTTATTTCAAATTTGCTTTGGCTTTTTATATCAGCTATGGTGTGAGCGCCATGTTTCGAAAAACATTTCATAAATCGATGCAATCACTAAAAAATCGGTACTTTCGTTTTTGTAAATGTGGTTAAACGAAAAAATAGATATTTGTGTAAAATCATAGAACATGAACTAAATCAAAATGTAACTAGTACCTGTGTTTTCTTGCTTTCAATAAAACGATTAAGATTCGTCAATAATTAACCCTCCGTAGATGTTGTGGGGTCCGCGTGAACCCGCACCGCACGATTTTTTCCTACTAGAACTGTATTTTATCAACTGATGCACTATTTTCAGTAACTTCATGTGTGGCTAAATAAGAGAAAAAGACTCCGCAATAATCCATCAATTCTACAAATAAGTTTCCTTTTCTATGTTCAAAATTGTATTTCATAAATCAAATACGAATCATAAGTTTACTACTTTATCTCAAGAGATTACAAATCATGACAGTAATCGTCACTACATCACATACCGGAAAAACAGTAAATCAATCGATCCAAAAGTCCGTCTGACGAGGGAAGTATCCGAAGTTTTCACTTGCTTTACGGCTCATATTTTGACCACAATTAGACCTCCAGGAGACTGGTAGAAAGTTAAAAAGATTTGGGCCCATGGTTCCGTAGTCAAAAGATATGACCACCTCACCGCTGATACGAAACGAAATCTGTGACCAAGAACCTGAAAACTTTTTTCTGAAAATCTTTTGATTTGAATAGTAACTTTTCCGAGAATAACACCATGTAGCTCGGTGTCTATCTGCGCTCCCTTTCGTTTCTGTTGTGTAATGGTCACAAAATGAATGTGATGAATAATGCGTATATCTACTAGACTATATTTCTTCATTCACTCGCAAAAGTAAAATGATAAACGTCGTGTCTGTGACGAACATATTGGCTGATCGTATTGCGAAGAAAGATTCATGTCGTCCTTCAAGGAAAATTCATGAACAGAAACTCGCTGTGGACTTCTATGACACAATGAACGAAACGACTGGAAAACGAAAGCATACATGGAAATGTGTTCAGCATCGATTCAAACGGGTCCGTCACATCCAATATATTGGCCGTTTTCGCGAATATTTCGAAGATCTTAGCACAAAAAAGCAAAAAATAGATAATATCGATACGTTCGTATTTCAAAGACTCGAAGCGGCTCGTGAAAACTGTCTTCCTATCCACGACATCGATCTCAAACTCTAGACTCTACAGAGAGCACAAAGACAGTCACTCCTGGAATTCGCAGCCTCTAAACATTGGATTAATAATTTTAAACACCGGCATGGCATTGTCTTTCGGAAAATTACGAAGTTCGTTACAAAACATGCCCTCGATGATGTTGAGGAAATTGAACACGCAGGTGCTCGATTTCTCAAAGGAACCAAAGCTGAAATGCGGGAATGTAGGCCCACATAAATTATGAATACTGATCAAGGTGGATTGGAAAAAGAGCTGCATTCCATTCCGACATTGAGTTATCAAGGTGAAAAATGGACAGTGACCGGTGAATACTAGGACCTATTTGCTTATGTCTCAAGGAACCCGACGGACGGATAAACGAAAGTGAGTTTGCACATATACTTTTCTGTCTTCAGTTTAAACTTTCCTAGACGTTCGCGCGAAAATGTTTCAGCTAAGAAATGTCGTCATAGAATGTAGCAAATCTGACAAATTGACCAAGTCGCTCGTTCATTATTGGTTTCATATAGTTCTGTCTCCGAATGCATCCAAGAAGTGTCTTCATCTCTGGGACGCCTGGCCTACTCAGGATGACGTCGATATATATACCAGAAAGTGTCAGATTGCAAACGTCTCTGTATCCCATAGAAGACTACCGATCGATTTCAACCGTTCGATGTGTTCTACAATCGGTAGTTGGCGTGAGAAGAGCTTATACTTTAACCATTTTTTTGTAGAATATCATTCTCGTCAGTGATATTTCATTCAATATCTTTCATGCATGTGAATAGCTAAAAGGTCCGAGATGAAGTATGTTAGAAAGTTTTTAGGAATTGAGGCTTGGTATTCATAAAAAAACAGACCCAGGGAGCACGGTGCCTGTTAATTATAATGGGCTACTACAGTCATTACAGAAAAATTTTTCAGGCTGTTGGTCACACCTTTTGACTACGGAACCATGGGCCCAAATCCTTTTAGCTTTTTACTAGTCTCCTGGAGGTCTGATTGTGGTCAAAATATGAGCCGTAAGGCAAGTGAACACTTCGGATACTTTCCTCGTCAATAAGCTCCCAACGTAGAGCTAGACCTAAAAGAGTTCCGCCTCAACACACGTCGTACATAAAGACTTCTTAATAATATGTTGCAAACTTCGTCCAATTTCAAATGATAATTTTAATTCATTTATATAAAAAGAAACAAAGTAAAGTATCGTTTTTAAAATACTATGGATTGACTCCTATCCGTTTCTCAGAAATTCATTTTGTTACACATATTTCAGCTCCTCTAAACCTCTGAAAGAAACCAGAAAGTGAAAGTTAAGTATTTTATGAGCCGCTATACTTAGAGAATATTTGCCTGATATAGTTTTTCATATGACGATGCCTGCGAAGATCCAACAACAGAATCGTTTCGTTTTTATCTACATATTTTTGCTAAAAATCCTTTCAAAGGTCTAATGTGTAGCAGTCGAGAAATTACTGAATTTTTGGCTCGATTAAATATTTCTAGGTAAAACGTGATCTCATTGATGCAACACATCTAATCTACCTAGTACTGACGCTGAAATTTTGGCAGTATCATATAAAAAAAACATTATATTTCTAAAGTGTGTAGAACTTCATTATTGAGAATTATTGGAAAATTGGTATGTACTTTGACAATGTAATGAACCAAGGTGAGAATACGCAGTGGAAGAAAAGTAACATATGTTTTACCACTATAGAGTTCTACTGTATGTTGCTTGGCATATCGTCGAAATTATTGAAAGCAACAATTACCTATAGAGATTCATATGAAAGACGATGAAATATATCAGTGTGGACTATTACGATGTTCATAAAAGGTAACACATAGCGTGCGATATGAATGCTGTTGTGCTGCCAATTGAATGATAGAAATAAAATTCAAACTATTCAAATCAAACTGAAAACATAAATTATAATTGACGCCCTGTGTTAATTAATTTGATGATCTCATCAAAATCAGGATTTGTTTTGAGTACGTCGAATAAATATGTTTCATGCAATGTTTGTTTGTATCACATTAGTAGAAGTATTTCGCTCTTTTTCCACTATCGTATATAAAATGCACTCGTATTCTCATCGCCTGAGGAGCAATTATAAAGAGAATCTTTTCTGAGACGTATATAAGTATAAATCTATGTTTGACGATAAATACAAGCAATAATAGTAGAACAATTAAAAGATGATTTTTTGTCTTTAATCAAAAGATATTTCAAATTTTTGAATTCGATGATTCGCATAATCTGCGACATAAAAATCTCCTTCAGAATCAAAAGATAAACCATGCGGTTGATCTAATTGATTTGACTGTTTCCCTGATCGATTATTTCCAATAACAACAGCACCTTCACGAGAACCTTCATACCAGCACATTATACGATGATTATCGGAATCTGCTATATAGATTTGACCTAAATGGTTAAGAATAATTCCTTGAGGAGATGATAGTTGATTGAGATTTTTTCCTTGACCATTTCCACCAGCAACAATTATTCCTTCACGAGCATCTTTTCTCCATTTTATTATACGATGGTTATCACGATCTGATATGTAAATAGAATTATTTTCATCAACATATAGAAATGATGGATTATTGAGTTGATTAAGTTGACCTCCTTTTCCGTTTCCACCTGCTACTAATATTCTTTCTGTTTCATTTTCTTTCCACCGTGTTACTTCATGGTTAACATGATCAGATATATAAATATAACCATCTTTATCCATTGCTAAATGAGAACAATCAATATTTGATAGAAGAATTTCTGGATTTTTTTTCTCTCTAATTGACCAACGCATTATACGTCTATTTCCTTGGTCAGCAATAATTAAAGACATATTTTCTTGATCAATGAGAATCTCTGATGGATAATTCAATTGGAATATTTCATTTCCTTTTTCATATCCTCCTGCAATACATTCACCTTCTTGTCCATCAGATTTCCATTGAATAATACGATGATTATTACGATCAGCTATAAAAATTCTTTTATAAGTATCGATAAAGATTCCATTTGGACAATTAAGTTGATTTAATTGTTGTCCTTTACCATTTTTTCCAATAACAGTGGTTCCTTCTTGTTTCCACTTGATTTGTGCTAGACATTACAGAATAGATTAATTGTTAGTAAAACATCAAAATGTAAATCCAACAAAAAATGTACTCTGCATGACGTTTTTCTAACTTGTTATTGCACTGTACAGATCTCATGATGTGTTCTTAGCAAACATGATGCGTTCAAAAAGTTTCCGGGCTCGTTTTACTATTATTCCTGGGCTTTTGTCTATATGCAGTAGAGACAGAGCACGATCTACGGATGTGATAATCATTGGTTAATGAAATATGCATCTACGAATTTAACAGATTCTGCGAGGCCATCATGTTTATACTGATGAAAAATCAAAAGTCTGTCATGTGTGATGGGTATCGTCACTATAAACCACTGTTAAACATTTTTGAATGTCGGCTGGAGATTCCCTTTCCAACAACCAGAAAGTTGATCACCACACGATACGTGGGCTTTCGATTTTTCATCAGTATGAAACGAGTGGTCTAGTAAAACTCGTTAAATTCGCAGATGCGTATTTCATTAACCAGCGATTGCCATATCTATAGATCGCGCTCTGTTTCTACTGCATATAGACAAAAGCTCAGGAACAATAGTAAAACGAGTTCGGAAACTTTTTGAATGCACCATATATTATGTTTTTGATCAGATAATTCAAGATCATTATTTACATGCCAAAAGATTATCAACTAGGATAAAAAGTTCAAAATGCCGGAAGTAGAGTGAACAATTGCCTCATCCCAGAATACGCCGCTGCAATACATTAGACATCCGTTGTTTCTAATCTCATTTATGTTATCTTACGTCTATATGTTACGGGCATAACCAACGTTACGAAATTTTACCTGTAAAACCTTTTCCCATGCAAAGGTGATCACTGACTGATTTCATCGTTATGTAAAGAATCTGACTTCTTGTTCTTACTACCAAAATGAGTGAATCTTTTTTACACTAACCCGTTGAGATTATTGAAATTTCATTGAGAAATGCAGATGGTAATGTGTTATGTCGAATGGAAATATTTAACGGTTGAATAAGTTGCTTTGTAAGATGTGTTAATTTATTTCTCAATTGATTTAAATCAATTTCATTAAAGTCATTATCTTGTTGAAATTGTTTAATTTGTTCAATAATTTGATAAAATTTTTTTTCAACGATTAATAATTGATCATTAGGATATTTTATTAACATTTGTCGACATTGTTCTGCTGTTTGTTTGATTTTTCCAATAGAATTTTCTTCCCATTGATTAATTCGTTCGATTACAGAAAAGTTTTCTGGTTTGTGTCGTTCTTGTTCAATTGCTTGTTGAAATATATCACGATCAATTTTAATTTCATTTAATTCTATACGAAGTTTTTCTCGATGTTCTGTTATATGAGAAAGACAAAAATCTTTTAGACATCCTTCACAATGATAAACAATTTTATCTTTGTGACAAATGAAACATTGGGCTTTGCTACTTGCTGTCGTCATTAAAACACAAAACGATGCGAATATGTGTTTGTGTACATAGTAAGTATCGAAAAGAAATCAGAGAACGAAAAGAAAAATTTCGCTTTTTTATATGTAATAAATTTTTCTTGTTGTTGAAACGTGACTAGTGGAAATAATTTAACATCCATTGAAATTGTATGAAAATATTCAAATCCTCCACATTCATGTAGAATCTTATTTCTTTTCTTTTCTTTCAAAAACAATTGTTACGAGAGTAAGGGTGAGAGCGTTGGTGCCAAAGGGGAGTATAGAATCGTGTGACTGTAAGTCTAAGCGTTGTTACCGTGAACTTGGGCAACCGTGAGTGTCGGTATCGATGTGAATGTAGTTAAGTATCAGTATTAGTTCGACTCTAAGTGTAGTTGTGTACGGGAAAAGTGAGGATGTAGAAATGAGTTTCAACAACTATGCCTATACGATACCTGTGTTTAAACTCACAACCATACGCACACACTTACATTTACCTATATATGAAGTTCATATATATGTTAATATGTTGTCTAAGCGCGAATGTTTTGAAGTGACCCACACCTGATTGGTTTTTCTAAATAAAGTTAGTGATTATTTATNAATCCATGTTTCGGTTCCGACGAGATCCGACGTGGGATCCGATCGGATCCGAGACCGTCGGAATCCAATGCGATTCCGTCACCAGGATTTCATCGGATCCGTCGAATTCCTGTAGGATCCGGTAAAATTCAGTATTGGATCCGATGGGATTCGATGGGATCCGGTGGGATCCGAGTATGGGATTGTTCGACCTGGGTACCGCTCAGATATCAAAACGGAACTCAATTACCCCATTTTCCGAATTCAATGGTGACCTTCAAAATCAAATTTCGAAAAAAAATTAGGCGTCGATTTTTTTGAGCATATGAGTATCAAACGTTTTTGAAAATAAGTGACAGATTTTCTCCTGTTCCAGATGACGTTATTCTCAGAATAATATATGCACAAGTAAATTTTCCCTGCATAACAGCGGCTTTTTCAAATGCTCATTACAGCGCACCATTCATTGATATTGAGTTTTTTTGCTTTAGATTCGAAGGAAATGGGTAATTTTTTCAGTGATCTGCTGGGTATCGAAGCGGCTAGTGATAATTTTTCCAATGCTATCGTAGCAGCGGAAGTAGATGCATCTAGACAGTTACGTTATGTCTTGCTTATGGCTCTCAAATATGTTAGGTCGTTCACCCCGATCATCGTTTTGACCATGATTTCTCTAATTGTTCTCTTGCTGGCCAGTATTTTATTCACATTGAATCGATTATTTATTGATCTCGAAGTGAATCTCACGATTCGTCGATATATCGCGTATGGAATAGCAATTCTTCTATATGTCTGGTTTACCGGTGCTCAAATTGTAGCAGCAGTTAAACAGAAGAGTGCGACTTCTATTTTTATTGTCATAATGGCTTGCCTGGGCCTGGTGGTTATTATAGCTATTTCTATCGAGTCCATCCGTAGATCGACCAAGAATAATCAATGGAACTCAGATTCTGAAAACGAACTGCTTCCGACTAAAGGCAGTACAGCGGATTATTCCCGATCAAAAACAGATTACACCAAACTATCAGATGAGAAAAATTGACACTTTTCTCATAGTCGTTGAGGATCGCTCTATTTAAACTTTAATTAAATTCTATAAAATCCTAGAAGTTTCGGTATTTTGAATACGCTTGTCTATAATTTTACTAGATATAATTCATGGATTTAAATGAAGTTTCTATTTTGTTTTTTATTTACTTTCAATCCAGCAAATAGGAACACTTTGTGTTACCATCCATTGTGTATTCAACTAGATAAACCGTTTTTTATGCGTTGCATTGACCATTATTTGGAATACACGGTTTCTGCCTATTCACAGCCCAATCACCAATTCCACCACAACTTCCTGAGCTAAAGAGTACGTAGCCTAAATACGAATGTGTTTTAGATAATTTACATTTTATTTTTGCTTCTCGAAATGTTTTCGACTGTTCATAACGTTTGATGCTTTATGCTGGTTCACCCTCATCGATGTGAGTTTTGCGAATAAAAATTGAGTCTTATATGTTCCTCTTGAAGATTTTTGTAATTTTATCCATCTGGATTTAATCACTTTCTTTATTGGCTATTGTCGATAAGAACGAGTGTTTCTGCATTAATAATCAATCTGCTAATTTTTTCCAGTTAAGGCGTGGGAATTTAACCAATGTTCTGATGATTATGGCCGCAATGTGTCTTCAGAGACAAGTAACGCTCATCCTTTGGATTCGCTGGCCCTTTTGTGAAACAATTATAATAGTACTCACTAAGTCTCAACGTCGATATAGATCTAACTGAGCTGCATCCCAGCACGCTTTGGACATAAAAACGTTTTAATAATTTTTTGCAAATTTTCACCGATTTAAAGTATTTTTAATTCATTTATATTAGGACAAGCAAAGTCAGAGAACGTTTAAAAGAAATTATGGATCGATTCCTCTCCAATTCTCAAAAATCCATTTAGTTACTCGTTTTTTAGCCCTCGTGAAACTCCAGAACACACGCCTAGTCGCTCGTCGGCCTCCTTCTGGTCGGCCACTCACGGCTAGTCGTATACATGCATGCTTCCAGGTTTTTATGTTTTTGATTCACTCTTTAAAAAGTCACTGATTTTGTTTCTGTGACTCTTCGAAAAACATTCGAAGTGGAGGTCAGGTGTCTTATGATCTGCTGGACTTGAAGGATACTTGTCTAGTACAGCTTGTTAAATGTTTGTTTTACAAATTAATCTCTGTAAAGATCCAACAACAGAATTCTAGTCAACCAGTTCGTTCTCATCTACATATATCTGTGAAAAATTCTTTCAAAAGTTCTGAGGTGTAGTTATTGACAACACAAAAACTTTGAAAGAAAATTTATATCAGACTCTTCTGTCTCCTTCAGATGACCTGAACTACAGTTTTAATGAAGCGCTTGATGTATCTTATCTTTACAACTCGATAATTGATTTATTGACACACAAATCACAGACAATGTTCAACTCATCTTGTGCCGTTAAGGTTTCAAAAAGCCATGCACATACGAACGTCTTGCGTCTGCCTTATAAATTTGTTTAGATATACGTTAATTACACCACTACGAAGTTAATAATTTAAAGTATCTTTTAAAAGCTATCTTCAGATTCGAGTTACTCGACACTAATAATCTTCGATCAAACCTTATACAATAGATTTTTTTCTGAAACGTTTCTTTTCCCAGAAATGCCATTAGATACGGGATCATCCACCTCCAAAGCCGTGCGGTCAACTCGTACTCGACAATAAGCCAAGTGATTAATTATATAATTAGTTAATTAATTGACGGAAACTTTTAAAAACTAATGTCAGATTCGTGATCCTCGACCTCGATTACCCATCGATGGATCATCTCGAAATGGCCATCATTAAGTTTTTAATAGCTTATAAAATGCTGCAATCTGATTGGCTTGGACAAACTCACAAACTTTTTTTATTTTATTGGCCGTATTTTTTACGCTATAACCCTTTCTTTCATAAAAGGGAATAATACCAAAAGCTTTCAATGACATATTCTCATTAAAAAAAAGTTATATACTAATTTAATCTAAGATCTAAAGAAAATAACTGTTGTTCTTTTTCATCTATAAATCTAAATTTCCAAATGGCATTAATCTAAATATTTACTGACTAAAAGCTCATTGAGATTATTAATATTAAATAAAATTATAAAATTCTTTATTATATTTCTAAAAAATGTTTAATTCAACTCTTATAATAATGAATTCTGTAACACAACAAGTGATCATTTATTTAGGTTTTTTACTTTTTTATTTTTGGTCTTATTAATAATTTTTTAACATTATTTAATTTTTTAGTCTTGAAACATTTCCACAAAATTCTTGTACATTTTATTTATTAATAATGTCTTTTATGAATACGTTTACGGAATCCTTTGGAATGTATGGACCTCACGGCACGACTTTTCTTTTCGTTAGCATCGAAAAGAATCCATAGCATTCACAGGATCTACTTTTCATCCTTGGCTGAAAAGAATCGTGTAGAAATGCATTAAAATGTATACTTTTTATGCATTTTTATAAAGTTCTTATCCAAGAGGTATTAAACGAATTCGACGATGTTTCTATTTCTTAGAATGTATTTTTTCGTCTTTCATTTTTGCCAATAAAATAAAAATAAATGAATACAGTCGATTTCTCTGCACTGAACAAAAATTCGGCGTTTAACCAACCCTCAGAAATGGTTTATGGCTGAAAAATTTGTTCATCAATCTGATCTACCCCCAGATCAACCCTTGGGTTTATCAGTTTGCAACGTATAACAAACCCTTCATGGGTTTTTGAAGAAAAAAGGGTTGATCTAGGGGTAGATCAGGTTGATGAACAAATTTTTCAGTCATAAACCATTTTTGAGGGTTGATTAAACACCGGATTTCTTTTTTGAGTGTGATTAAAGCACTATAGCAATGATAAAAAGTTTTGTGTATGATAAATGACTGTTCGAAAATTCTTGTTTTATTTATCAATATGAATCCAATTTTCTGTTGATGCATTGAATAGTTCAGATTGTGCAAGTAAATAATCACCAGATGATCCACCAGTAATCAAAACATTTTCATTCGTTAATACTTCTGAAATATGCCATGCTCGGTTAATATGCATGTTATCAACAATTGTCCAGTTTCCCGTTGTTGGATCGTATAATTCAGCACTTTTTGTAGGGTTTTGAAATTCAATATACCCACCTGTAATCAATACTTTTCCATTTGGTAGTCGGCTTGCGCTGTGAAAAGCTCGATCAAACATTGGTTTTTCAGTAATTGTCCAAGTTTCCGTGATTGGATCGTATAATTCAGCATGAGTACGTTCATGTTTAGTACCACCAGTAATCAGTACTTTTCCATCTAATAATATGGATGCCGTATGATAACCTCGAGCATGGTACATGGAATTAATTTTTGTCCAATTTCCAGTTAACGGATCGTACAATTCAACGATCTTTGTTGCATTACGTTCATCAATTAACCCACCTGTGACTAAAACTTTTCCGTTTGATAATAGAGTTCCCGTATGGCCACGTCGTTGCATATGTAAAGTACCAGTCGTTGTCCACTTTCCACTTGATGGATCATATAAATAGGAACGTTTTTTATAACTACTAGCGTTACACCATCCACCTGCAGTCAACACTTTGCCATTTAATAGGACAGTTGATGTGTGACCAGATCGACAATCAGGCATGTCATCAATAGTTGTCCAATTTCCAGTTGAAAAATCATACAATTCAGCAGTCTTCAAACTAGATTCGCCATCATTATCTCCGCCTGTTACTAAAACTTTTCCATTGGATAAAAGAGATACTGCATGGGCATATCTCGAATGTTTCATAGCAGCTGATTTAGTCCACTTTCCTGACGATGGATCATATAGTTCAGTACTACGTAACGTTTTTCCAACATTCGATCTATCATAATTTTTGTAAGCATTTCCAGTAACTCCACCAATCACTAAAACTCTTCCATTCGGTGTCAAACATGATGTAAACATAGCTCTTGCAGTAAGCAGACTTCCAGTAATAGACCATTCTAAATCAAAGTAACAATATAAGTTCTGTGCAAAAACTGTTTTATGGTGTAGATTTTAGTTGTATTTTATAAAATCCTTACCAGACAGTGCAGTTTCAATTGTAGTTCTTCCAGAAGTAAATGATGTTTTTGAGTAAATATTTTTTTCAAATTTTCTTGATGCATCAACGAGAAATATAAACAACCATACGAAGAAGACCAAAGTTTCTAATCATTTTAAATGAAAAGTCTTGGCATCAAAGAAATAAATCGAGTATAGTACTCACTAAAAATAGATTGATCTTCCATATAAGAACTTAGAAAAAATTGTCATAAGTTACTCACAACAGATGAGATATTTTATATTAATATTATTGAAAAAAGCATTTCTCTACTATCTTTATGGGAAGATTATCATCTGTCTGCTTCAAATTTGAAAAACATCCTCGAAGAAAATAGAGTATTTTACAGACAGAAGTAGAACGAAATTCAAACATTTTACAAATTATTGTTTTTTTTCGATTGAAGTAGCGCGTGTTTGCGATAAACAGATTTTGTTTTTACTAAATAAAGTCATCAAATGCTTCTATAAATAATTTAAGATTTAGTGTAGCCAATAAAGCTTCATATTTCTTCAAATTTTAATACATTTATTGTCTTATAAAATTACTATTTATTTGTCTAGAATTTGATAAATTATTTAAAAAATAATAGAAATGATAAATTATATAAAAAACTACATATCTGCATATATTCCCAACAGCTATGTGTAAATAATTTTATTTATGTATAGAGTGATTTTTTCCGAATCACAAGAGTAGTGTAGAAATCGTTAATTCGATTCTAGTTTTAAAACTTTCCTTCGAATTCTAAATCTTTCGGTGTCGAATTCCAGTACTCGAGTTTTAAACTTTTAAACTTCTGAACTTCCGAACCTAAAATTCCCAGTTTCGAGTTGTCCGCTCATCCATCCACACCCACACCCACACACCCTCACCCTCACCCTCAGTGTCTTACGTTCTATGTAAATCTAGTGCGATCAATAAATAAAAAACAATTACTATTCTAACAGAAGACATCCCTTATAACTTGATTGCTCACAGTGAGTCTTTTCTCTTTGAAAAAGATGAAACAACGAAGAAAAAGTCTTTTGTGTTCTGTATGTCATCTGCGACGTTAGTATTGGGATTGATAAAGACTAAAACATATTCTCTGAATGACTTATTATGCGTCTTACGTTTCTTTCTAGTCATTGTAAACAATGTCATGATTACTCATATATTAATGACCACGAAAAAAAAGGAACATCAAACATTTTTTTCTTTGCTTAATAAAAGGCACTCGACCATACAACAGATCAAAATACAAAGGCAATAATTTATATAGGTCTTGATATAATCGAATACAGACAAGGAAAATATGAAGAGGCAATCAAATTCAATGAATTACTCCTTTCCTTACTATCTTGTGAAACAATTTTTTCCATAGATCAGTCATTCCTAACAAGCATTTATCAAAATATCGGTAGTACATACCACAGGATGGACGACTATCGCAGAGCACTTTTATCTCATACTATAAAATCAATTGAAAAACTTTTGAAGGAAAGTAAAAATGGCTATATAGACATATAAATAATCGAAGTAAACGATTTACAACACCTTATTTAATATCATTATTGTTTTCTGCACCCGACTCCTATGTAATTTGTCAAAGAAGATATGATTTTTTGTAGAAAATTGACTGGTATTCAAATATGCGTCGATTAATAAAACAGAGACTATGCAAAATGACTTGAAAATCTTTTTGTTGAACTATGTGTACTCACCCTCTCTCAAATGAGATATTCTAATCACGTTTCAAAAAACTGATGCAAAGCAATTACAATATTCGAAGCTTTTACACAAAGAAACACGTTTCACGAAAACTTTCTTTGGCACGTTTATGATACCCTCAAATAGTGTAGATAAAAACATAATTATGGAGTAACGCTTGTATGATTGTATCAAAAAGCACGTGTGCATATGAATCGAAGGTAAGAATATTACATATTTACCTGTTTATTCATCATTTGAGAAGAAAAAAAATGAATGGAATAAGATCGATTTTTACTCGAAATTTCAATTGGTGTTCGAGAAAATCAAATAATAACTCGTCGTTCAGTTAGTTATTCAAGAGATTCTATTCTTTAATAAAGCTTTTGCTTCAATGTAGGTGGACGATTAAAACGAAATGTAAGAAATATTATCATCGTTGGTATTATTGGTGTTGGAACATACCATGGTTATCGAAAATATCATCGTTATCAATGGATAAATGCAGTCAATGATTTGAATGAAAATCTTGGAAGAAAACCGCGATTAATTGTCTTAGGAACAGGTAAAACAAATGAAAAATTTCTTCTTATCGAAAAGATATGTGTAGGGTGGGGTTCTGTATCTCTTTTAAAACATATTGATACATCAAAATATGAAGTTATTTGTATATCACCACGAAATTATTTTCTCATGACACCATTATTACCATCAGTTAGTGTTGGAACAATTGAAACTCGAACTGTTATCGAATCAATTCGATCATTAATTGGACCACATATTCAATTTCTCGAAGCAAACTGTTTTAATGTTGATATCAATTCCAAAACAATTTCATGTAAGACAAATAATGAATCGAATCAGTCAACATTTAATCTGAATTATGATATTCTTATTGTTGGAATTGGTTCAGAAAATAACACATTTAATACACCTGGCGTTGAACAATATGCACATTTTCTTAAAGAAATACCTGATGCTCGACGTATAAGAGCAAAGATTAGTGATGCTTTTGAATTTGCAATGATACCAACACAAACAATTGAAGAAAAAAAACGCCTTTTACAATTTATTATTGTTGGTGGTGGACCAACCGGAGTGGAATTCGCTGCTGAAGTATTTATTTTTATAGTTTATCNAATGTACGTAGCTTTTTATCAGCTTTTTCTAAGATAAGACGAAGTGTATCAACGGTTAAATAACCCGAATTTTCTTTGCAACAAGTATTGAAAAAGCATTTGCAGAAGCTGACAAAGAAAATTCGGGTTATTTAACCGTTGATACACTTCGTCTTATCTTAGAAAAAGCTGATAAAAAGATACGTACATTACCAGCAACAGCACAAGTTGCATATCAACAAGGTTGTTATCTCGCCAATTTATTAAATCAAATCAATGATTTCAAATCGATTCATTTTCAAGAAGGAAATTTCGAACCATTTCGTTATAAACATCGAGGCTCATTGGCATATGTTGGTGGAGATTCAGCTGTTTTAGATTTCAATCATTCGAAGACGATTTTCGAAAGATTTTCATTGAAATCATTATCTGGTCGTAGTGCTCTTTATCTATGGAAATCATTTTATTTAACTGAAATGTTTACTGGACGTACAAAAGCTTTATTAGCTTCTGATTGGATTCGTACTCGACTTTATGGAAGAGATATTAGTCGATATTAAATCAATGACAAATTGTTCAGAAATACAGTTTGAATAAAAGATAAGATTTATCAATATAGGATTCAAACTTCTAAAAACTAATTGCAAATTTATGATCTTTGATGACTCTTGTAAAATGAAAATGACTTTGGTATTTCCCTCGACTGAAAGGAAGGTCATATGAAAAAAAAAGTTTGTGTGGGTTTGTGTCAGGGTCGAAAAAAAACATTTTTTTCCGAAATGCTCAGAATTCAATGAAACATCGTTTGGAATAGGTTTAAAGATCGACCGAGAATAGTTTTTATATAACAAGAGAAGACTCTTAGGTCTAAGAGAGAAATTTGCCGCAGCAATAAATTGACTACTCTAATAAGATATTACGGATATATACATGGACCAATTAGATATTCTCTGGGCTAGAGGGAGAATCATATAACGATAAATACTGTATATGGCAGTTTGCTTGTGCTAGGGTCAAAGATCGGCATTGACAGAGACTTCACGAACAGGATTCGAAGATCAATGAAACTAATCGATAACTATAATGGATTGTGACAAATTGGATATTTAGGATGAATGAATTAGGGAATCAGTCATTCAATACATTAGATTATTTAGTTGTATGTGTCTCCTCTCATAACTTCTAGAAAATGAACGACATTTTCCAGCTGAAGGCCTTCTTCATTTATCATTTTGTTGAAGTAGCTTAATTTGTGAAGCATTGGAGAGAAAGACACGTGCTCATTAAGTAGACTATATGTACAATGCGCAATATCGAGCAGTCGGGAGTGACGGGCTGGAGGAACGCCGACGACCGACTGCGAGATGACCCAGATCAACAAATCCGATCGGATTCCTGGAAACGGAATTGCATTGGGATCCGACTAGAAAAATCCCGTCGGTTGTTGCAAATTTTATGAGCGATCTTTTTAGCTATGTTCTATGATGACTCTTAGAAAATCCAGGAAATCCATGTTTCGGATCCGAGTATAGGATTGTTCGACCTAGGGAATGGTTTGATAGTTCTTTTGAAAAGTGCGGAGTGAAAAGAAAACCAGCTGAGACTTAAGTCATCCTGCCTCGGCAAGCATTATCTAATTATTTACAGTTATGGGCAAAGGTGGTTTATCTCTATCATCAAAGTTGTTTCTGAATTTTTAACTGAAAACTAACATTAGTTTGTACGCGAATGTCATCTTCAGTTTCTCGAAATAAAAAAGGTTTCAAGAAAATACTTCACTATATGACGCCTATTTTAAAAAATCAGTCGAGAGTAAAGCGAGTCTGCCTCGACGAGCGTTACTAAATTAGTTAAATAGGGGCAAATTATTTACTTTAAATGGCTTATCAAATAATTTTTAGATAACAAGTCCACTTCATCTAACTATTTTTGAAGTGATAAATGGATTATCTAAACAGCATCAATCACGAGAAACTAAAGCGCCAGGTTTTGTGATAAAAACAATGGAAGCAGCATTATGGGTATGTTATCATATGAATTCATTTCAAGAATGTGCATTAAAAGCTGTTCATTTAGGAGATGATGTTGATACCGTCAGTGCTATTTATGGAATTCATTTTATTCCTGTTGAATGGAAAGATAAATGATGTTTCAAAGATTGTGTACAAACAATTATTGATGAAATAAAGAATTTGATGAAGATGTCAGAGACTGGGTGAGTACAAGTACCGGAAGTATAAGTTAAAATATTTGTACTATAAAAATATCACTTTCAACTTTAACTTACCTATAATTACTTGAGTACATTCATAGTCCGTACTAATACTCCAATAAATCTGTACTAAGTAAAAGGCTTAAGTAAATCTGTACGAAGTGGTAATATGTGAGTACTTTTATATTCAAGCAACAACATTATACACCTGTAATATGAAATACTATGCAATAGTATAAATCATTCTTGGATATCATAGATTAGCATTTATGTCTACGTGATTTTCCTTTGAATTGTACGAGTATTTTCAATACAATATGCATTATGATGAAAGTAATTCAAATCCTTTTATCCGGCATCAAGTGAAGTATGAATTATTATCATCATAACTACGAGCAGTACTTAACATGTAATCATGTTCATGACAAACAAGAGATCCTCAAAACGCGGTAGGCTATCATTTTCCTGAAACTGTGGTTCCTATAACTGGTTCACAAATAAAGTCCACAATAATTGTGAACTTTATTTGCGGAACAATTCTCGGAGCCACAATGTTGGGAAAATGGTAGTCATTCCAAAACACTATCGATTACATAATTCGGTCTTAGTGCGTTTTCTATTTCTCGCTAGTTGATATATGTTCTCACGAATAGCTGTTACACACACGATCTTTGCTATTGTCTGGCTAAGATAAAGTATGAATGTGGTGTATTAGTATAGAACAAAGACAACCACACCCTAACTCTCCGCATTTGCATTATAAATTCTTTAATTATTCTTTCTTTCAATTATTTAATCAGAATATATACTCTTGTATTGAGCTGTTTGAATTATGACAGCCTGACATAAAGTTCGGTAATAGTAATCTTTACTAGTATACCTTTAATGATATAGTGAAATCTTGCTAAATAACAAATAAAAAATATTTAAGACTAAAAAACAAAGACAAATATGCAAGAATATAATGCAAGTACATTTTTTAAACTTAGTACTGATTCTTAAGAGAGGGTCCATGAGAGGAGACCCCCCAGTAGCGGGTCAGGGGTGGGGAGGTGCGAGGGTGGGAGCGATTCCCCCCCCCCCCCCCCCCCCCCCCCCCCCCCCGCCCGGCCGCGCCGGCCCGCCGCGCC